TTATTTTTTTAATATTTTTATAAAAATAAAAAAACTTATTATATTTATTTAATAAATATTTACTTATACGTATTATAATTTATAAGCTTTTTAATCCTTAAATTACGAAACATAGTATATTTTTGTCGTACATTATATTTATATAATATACTTTTTAATACATTAATTAAATTAGCGGGTTAGCAGATTTGTTCTTATGGTCCGCTGTCCGATTAACTACCTATATACAAACAAGGGAATTATTTAATTTCAACCAACAGAATATTAGAACATAACAATTCATATGTTTAACATCCACCACCTCCGCTGTCTCCGCCTCCACTGCTGCCCCCGCTATCACCACCTCCACTATAACCTCCGCTATCGCCGCCTCCACTGTAGCCTCCGCCGCTGCTACTTCCACCACTATGTCCTCCTCCGCCTCCGCCTCCGCTTGAGCCGTGGTGCCCTCCGTGATGCCCTCCGCTGCACCCTGCGCCATATCCGTCGGTATATCCTCCGACGTATCCTCCATTATAGCTTGTCGTGCTACTGGTATAGGTTCCGCCGTAACCTCCCGAGGTCCCCCCTCCGTATCTAGTAGTTGTGGGTTTCTTCGGCTGTGGATCTAGTTTCACGATTTTGGGGATCTTAGGAGGCTCGGCCTTTGTAAGGCGATTCTTCTTTGACTGAAAGACCCGAAGTCCTGTTAGCGACGATCCACTTCCGTATATTTGGTATATAGGATTAGGAATACTCACTCCGAAACACCACATGCTGCCGGATTGTTGCACGTTTTCTTCTAGATGCTTTATTCTAGATATGTGGATATTTGGCAGATAGGTATGTATAAGAGATGAAGTTGTTTGATAATTAAAAGTGAATATTACTAGGTATCACAAGAATTGGCGACATATTTATATTTGCATCTTCACGCTAGCCTCAACCTCTCAGTCGTCATTTTAATCTCCCTCTAGTAAACTACAAGTGTTGAGGCTGTCGATGCCGAACATAGCCTTCCATCCGCCAGGGCATCAATCTACAGTGATGACGTACCAAAGCTTTCAGCTCGGTATCAGATAGCGCATAGTCATTTTGAGTTCGGTATTCCGCAAGGCTGACTTGTGAGCCGCCTTCATATATGAAATTGAAGCTGGGGAGATAGCGTGACCATATTCGCCCTGATCTAGGACGCGAGTTCACACCGAGCTGTTCGTGGAGCGCGTTCAGCCCCGGCTCCGCATTTTCCAGGTATCCTCTTACTAGTATATAATAAGTCTAACTCCTTTAACTAGACGTTGAAACTCGCTGTTGACAGGATCTATTAGCTGAAAGTGGATTAGATTGGTTGTTCGGCTCCGTTCAGCAAAGCCTCACATGCTAAGCCAAATTAGAAGAAATTTAGCGAATAGTGAAGATCACGACTTATCCTGCGCCACTCATGACAACTGGACTTCTACGCGTAGATACCTAGGTAATCACGATATTGCTGACGGCAAGAAGACATCGTGACACCATAACATTAATCCCTTTCCCATACACCCCTAGCTTAGAATCATGGTATTACGTAATCTGGATATTTATTCTATCGGCCACCATTCATTCTCATATATGATCTTTTGATTTCACATCAACTTCGTCCTTCTATAACTGCCCATATAGGTAGAGAATATTTCCTAATTGGTAGAATGCGAACTCCGATTCTCATAACTACCTCTTACATATATGATATTATACAAGTGTTCATATACACCTTATACTCATATCGCACTTTTCCACCTATATAACATCTCTATCGCATATTCGGATGCGCAATACGAATAATTATGCCTTCGAAAGGAGTCGTATTATTCTTAGACGCGAAGAAATATCGGGTAGGTATCACAGATGTGTTGGATAAAGGGTATCAGGTGACCATCGATCTGTTTTAGATCGTCCCGAATTACCGGTAACTAAACCATGCCATAAGCGTTGCATCAACTGACAGTTGGTAAACACCCTCATCCAATCAATTAATAATTCTTTAGGACTTGCAGAGCATTTACATAAAAATAACTACGGTTATACTTGTATGTATCTGCTTAAGACTAATAGACTGCTTGTCAGTTGCGACTTTATACTAAGTACCATGGGGGACGCACCCACGGGCCACCCCCCCACGGGCCACCCCATCTCCCACCAAAACACCTTATGTTTGAATACTCATATTTAAATAAAGAAAATATATACAACTATATGAGTTAAATTAATCGAAAGATCTTTGGAAGCTGAATTAGAAGATATATTGATTTAAGTATGGAGCCGTTTCAATGGCGAGAAAACCGGGATCAAAGTAATATCATGTAAAATATACCTAGTATCTCACTAATTCTTAAAATTTTAGCGCTTGAATTAGGGACCTTCCCCCCTAAAACCCTTACCCAGACCCCTAAGAATCTAATCTCCTCCGATCTTATCATTATAATTATATTTAATGTTTATAAGACTTCTTAATAGAAGTCTAAAGTCGATTAAGTAGTAGTGGTTTTTATCTTGAAGGCGAACGGGTTGTTTTAAGGGTAGGCCAGCTTTTGATCCGAGCTCTCGAAGTTCGAGGAAGAGCAATACATACCTAAGCTCATATCTAAGTAACGACGCTATCTATAATGATATAAATTATATCGTTAAATAGCTAATGCCTAGTATACTATAATAAAAAATTATCTAATCATAATAATCTTTGTACGTTGTATAGTAGGTTGAAGTCTTTGCTAAGGTGAAAATCTGGGAAAATCTAAGAAATCGCTTTTTCGTCCAGTATTTTGTAACCCCATAACTCCTCCCCATGCAGTCATATAAATTATGAAAAAATATCACCATGTAGCCCGCCTTCGAAACTACATATACGAAAAATATTGTTCAAAAACATTTAATATTGATAGATTCTGGTGTAAGTGAAAACAAAGTGTTTTGGTGAGAGATGGGGTGGCCCGTGGGGGGGTGGCCCGTGGGTACGTCCCCCATGGTAGTCTATGAAATAGCGATTTGGATTATATAGGTAGCAGTGTAAGGAGTTGCCCATCTTGGTTGAAACCTTGAACTCTATCTTCAATGTACATGACCAAGACAAGCTAATGCATTTGGATCACTCGGCATGCATCCAACAGTTAGAAGATCTCTTATGTAAGACGATCATACAGCGGGTAATACTAGAATAGAAACAATCCAGTAAATAAGTCTTATATCATCTTACCTGTTATTAATTCTATCAACTCATACCGCCCTTTCTCTTGGAAGAAATAAAGGAAAGGAAAGGAACTCGGAGCGGAATTCGGATAAATTCTTGGCAAGAGAATTGTTGACTCCCTTTAATCCAGTTGCTGGGGGGTGGGGCTTCCTTGGGGGTGTTTACTAAACCTAATATAGCCCTTGAGGCTGCCATAGGCCACGATTATTAAAGCCGTTTCCTTGCTTGATGGCTTATCTTTCCAGTGCTTTATAATCTTAACAAACCTTACAACGGTACAACCGATCTGTCCGAGATTACCTCAAAGTACCCGATAGGTACGCTAGAGACGCATGACCGTATTCCTGTCTTTCTCGACCATTTCTCGATTATTTCTCGTTATCCTTTTTGTTTTGATTGTATCGTGCTCTAATGGATCGTAGTTGATGATCAAATACGTAACCTTAGGGTATCGGTGTACTGTCTCTTGGAAATACCGAACTATCTTCCTAGGACATCCTATCTCTTAACGGTGTACCTGATGTTAGACAATTACGGATTACGGATCACAACATATTAAACCCGAATCGCAACATATCGCGACAGGTAGAAACGATGAGTAAGCTATCACTTTTCTCATAACTCTTTCATTTTTCTTTCATCGCTCTTCATCAACACGTCTAACTTTAACTTCCAGGAAACCTTACTTCGCTCCCACGGAGCCTGCTATTGTTACTTTTAGCTGTTGCGCCTTCAATCGCAGCTCCTCAACAATGGCAGCCAGCTGGACAATCCGTATTACAGCAACAACAGCCATCTAGCTCTGGCAAGAGAGGAGCTGTCGCATCCGAGAGTAAAGTTTGTAGTCAAATCGGCATAGACCTTCTTGCCCAAGGTGTAAGTAGTACTCATAAGATTTACTCATCATATCGCTCATTACTCATTATTTTTTAGGGTAATGCCGTCGATGCCTGGATTGGCACTCAATTATGTGTCGGTGTGATTGGCATGTATCATTCAGGACTTGGGGGTGGAGGCTTTGCTCTTATCAGAGACAGCAATGGCAACTATACAGTCATCGACTATCGCGAATCTGCGCCCAGTGCCGCGTCTGAAAATATGTATAAGGATAACGTAATAGGTAGCGTCTTTGGTGGGTTATCCGTAGGCGTACCGGGCGAGTTAAGAGGCCTCGAATATGCGCATAAGAAATTTGGCGCATTACCGTGGAAAGACGTTGTGTCACCTGCCGCCGATGTAGCAGAACGTGGATTCACCGTTTCGGCGGACCAAGTACGTTATATGGAGTTCGGTCTCTCAATAGCTGGCTGGAACTTCTTGACCGAGGATCCGTCATGGGCTGAGGATTTCGCCCCGAACGGTGAGGACTATCATTTAATATGAAATAATTCATATAGTTTGAGAGGATGCTAATTTCATAATTTAGGAACCTTGGTTAAGCTCGGCGACGTCATGACAAGAAAACGCTATGCGGAGTAAGTTGACAATCTATGCAGATACCCTAATATCATTAGCAATACTAACATCTTAACTTAGGACTCTTAAACAAATTGCGAAATATGGCCCCGACGTATTTTACAATGGTCCGATAGGTTCGTAACTCTTACAATCTCTAGACCCGTGTCATACTAACCCTTCTCTAGCCGAGGCAACGGTCAAGCATATCCAGAAGCACAACGGCACTATGACTCTGGACGATATGTCCAGCTATGAGGCCATCATCCGCGAACCCATCAGCATCTCCTACCGGGGCTTCACACTGGTCTCCTCCGGCACCCCCAGCAGCGGCGCCGTATGCCTCAGCACTCTCAAGACCATGGAAGGCTACAGCGCCTCCTCACCCGACACCAACCTAACCCTCCACCGCTTCGACGAATCCATGCGCTTCGCCTACGGCGCACACCAAGCCCTAGGCGACCCAGCCTTCGTGCCTCACGCACCGGACCTCGAAGCCGTAATGCTCTCCCCCTCCCACGCATCCTCGATCCGCTCACGAATCCACGACGACCGAACCCAACCCGTCGAGAACTACGATCCAGCCCACATCTACGTGCCAACCGACCACGGGACCTCGCACATCTCCACCGCCGACGGGTCCGGGATCGCCGTATCAAGCACTACAACCGTGAACCTGCTCTTCGGCAGCTTACTAATGGTCCCTGAAACCGGCGTCGTGCTAAATGACGAAATGAACGACTTCTCCATCCCAGGCTTCCACAACGAATTCGGATACGCGCCGAGCCCCGCGAACTACGTGCGCGCAGGCAAGAGGCCATTATCCTCCATCACGCCCGTCATCGTCGAGCGACCCTCCCCCAACCCCAACTCCAACACCAGCATCCTAGTAGCAGTTGCAGGCGCAGCAGGAGGCTCGCGAATCATAAGTTCGACAACGCAAGTGCTATGGCACATGCTAGAGCACTCTCTCTCGCCACACTCCGCAGTCTCCGAGCCGCGGTTCCACGACCAATTAATGCCGAACGTAGCCACGTTCGAGTACGGCTTCGACAACGCGACGATCGCGAGTATGCGGGACCGCGGACACAACGTCACTTGGGTGCGCGAGGGGTTCAGTGCCGTGCAGGCTATTCGCGTGGGTGATGATGGGGTGTTTGAGGCTGCGTCGGAGACGAGGCAGTCGGCTAGTGGGGGGTTGGTTTTATAAGGGGGGTGTTGTGATTTTGTATTGTATAAATGTAGGTATGTATGTAGGATGTCGGTGTTATACATAGGTATCGAGGGATATAGACATATATGTGTACAGGTCGCGAATACGGACCATATCATTGATATTACCTAGTTTTTCCTATTCGTAATGGCGACTGTTGAAAATATGAACCATTGATAACCTAGGACTGATCCGGGACCGATCCGAGTCTGATCTACGGATCATAGTACTATAATGAGAACTGAGCAAACGTAACGTAAGAACATAGTCACATTCACGTCGGGGATCGATGTTCATTTTGTACTTATGCGAATTTGCATATACCAGAGCGACACCTCCCCATTGATGGTATCCTTCCTACCTCTTTCTTTCACGGGTAACGCAACGCAACGCAACACAAACTCCGAGCCTGCCTCCCACCGTGTAATCCTGGGGGTATCGGATGTGGGTCTATATCTAATAAGGTAGTAGTAATTGAGAGGAATTGAACTAGCGGGGTTTGTTCACAACTTCATCGCAACAAGTTTCTCCAGCTCAGCTAGCCATTTTCTAGCGAACTCCTCTTCAGTGAATCGCCTAGAAGATAGGCGGGCTCTACGCCTGACTGAGAGTGGGTCGGGGTGCGACAGAGCTTTCTCAAAGCCTTCCGCAAACTCTGACGTCGTCGAAGCGTGGTAACCTAAGATAACTCGTTAGCTATTTCATCTAAGGAACTTGACCATAGACTGTCATACCTGTAGGTTGGCCGTCGACATCAGTGACAATGTCCAGTTTTGGTCCTCCGCTGTTATGGACGACAGAGATCAGGCCTGCCGCAAGGTATTCAACCACACCAATTCCGAAATGCTCATTCCACATTCCATTGACTCCAACAAATGCCTTGCCAAGCCATTGAAGAATCTCAGACCACGGGGCATCAAGTTGGAATATCACCTGGTCCTTGATGTGAAGTTCATTGACGAGAAGACGAAGTTTGTATACACGTCTTGAGTCGTTGTCGTCCCTAACGCTGCCTAGGAGTACTAATTTGGCAGCTTTTGCCGACTCCGTGCCAGTCTTGACAAACTCTGCGAAGGATTGCAGAATAAGTTGATGGTTTTTCTCAGGTCGAAATTGAGCGATATACACCAAATATTTTTGGCGTCTCTTCTCGCTCTCTTCGGAAATCTCGACTGCTCGTTCGATCTCATGAACAGCGCATGGCGGATATACAACGGCGATAGGGTGTTCTCTACCCCTCTGGTTTCGGCGCGGTCCCCATATCGATTGGATATGTGCTTGAGTCCAGGAAGAATTCGTCATGACAACATCGACGGAAGCACCCATCCATGAATAGATATTGGCAAAAATCTTCCAGTAGTGTCTTTTGAGGAAGCCCTTGAATCCAACCCCTTTCCCGGCATTGACACCTTGGCTACCCACCGCGGTCTTGGGGTCGAGGGATTCAAGCATATCGGTAGAGATAGTAGGATAGTGTACATAAGCAGCAGTTGGCATCTTAGGGAATAGGATCTTGCATAACCCAAGGACAAAAGCATATCCCACAGTGTCGACGAAGATATCGGGAACCAGTAGAGAGAAAGCATCCAATCCCATGAATAAGGATCCAACTGATTGTCCGAGTAAGGTCATGTGAGGCCATGTAGAAGCGAGAACCCAGTGTCGAGTTGATATGTAGATGAAGTGGATCGTAGGGGGATGAATGTCGATGCTGAAGGTGTTCTATGGCTCAGTTAGCTATTTTTACCCCAAACCTATCGACACAAAGACCTCGAACCTTGACGCGAGCGAGCATGCTCTCTTTTGTCACATCATGATCGCCTGTGTATACAACAACCTTGGCGTTGGGCCATCTTTTTTGAGTAGCACGAACTGCAGCCCATAAAACTCGCTCACCACCTCCTCCAGCATTACAGAAAGGATGGAAGAATCCGACAATACCATCCCAGTCTCGACTGCCTTTTTCTCCGTTACCAGACGATCCAACTATAGAAGCTTCAATATTTTCCCAACCCTCATCGTCGCTACTAGGATTATCGTCTTTTTCTTGCGCTTTGCTCTCTCTGAATTTGGCCTCGTTTTCGGCAGTGACACGAATGAGTAAAGAACGGCGACCTTCGGCTCCCTTCTTTAAGCACCAACCAAAACCTCTTCCGAATGTTAAAGAGAAGATGCGGAATAAGAGGGGTAGAAGGTAGTTCCACCATATTAATATCGCGAATGGGGTGCAAGCGACGGCGATGGTCGTGAAGACCAGAGTTTGGGGCTCCATACCGAAAGAGAAGGGTGTGTCGTCTTTGCAGGAAGCTGAGCAGCTCAAACCGTCAGGGGATTTAAAGAGGTTTGACATTTGCCTAAAGAGTGACGAAGAAATATTGTTAATCTACCGATTCTACCTAGTAGGTACCTAAGGTAAGTACGCGAACACTTATGCTTCTACGAACGTAAGCATACGTGTCAAGAAAAGAATACTGTATCTGGCCTTGTCAGGCTGCGCGGCAACCCGTCCAGTTGACCCATTGAATGATCCGGTGGTATGGATGGTGTAGGTCTGGAGTTCGCGCTCGTGGATGTTTAAAAGATTGGAAAGATTAAATAATTACGGCGTGTGATCTGAAAAGACAAGAACAAGGTGTTCCATTAAACATCCCACCAAGGAAGGTACGAGCTTGTGCTACGTACCCATACAGTACATATGTACCTAGGTACATACATGCGTCGTACATGCCTCATGCAGTTTCAAGGTTTCATTCAGCCACATGGGACACTGTTAAACACAGTATACTGCCACACAGTACTTATCGATAGAAGCTATAGATTATGCGGGCAGTATGAAAATATCGACCCTCAATTCAACCCACCAATTAACTAGCGACCTTCAAATTGTATACTCCCATAAGTGACCTTACAGTGTCAAGACCATATTGATAGGATACGATGCTTATTCCTTCATAAACTCATTCATACCCCTTGAGCCATACAATCCACCTGATATTCATATAGACCAACGACGGCTCAACATGGTTCATTATGAATTCACTTTACTGGTCTCATACCCTCCGAATAGCTAGGCCTCTCGGCTTACTCTCAAGGACAAGAACTCAAATTCGACTCGCGGAACTCAGTCAAGTTCCACCTCGCCACTATGGTCAACGACCTGCAGTGCGGTCCTTTAGTATTATGCCAGCCGCGGTCGCCATCGTAGACACATCCATAACCACAATTATCAATATACACGCTGCTACACATATACCATGGTTTGTGTTAATCCCCCTCTTGTCAATCGGGGCCCACGCCGTCTTCCGATTACCTTTCCTCTTATATACACAATCGATCAACCGGCATCAAGCTAAATCTTTTCTGGTTATGCGAGGATGGGGTTGGCGCATCCCACAAGCTATTCACAAGGAAAGGATCCCGAAAGATCAGATCGAGAAAGAGGAAAAGAAGAGGATGTCGATGACAGTATCCAGAATAAACCGCGCCTTAGGTACGCAGAAATGGAAGATGTGGTCTAGCGTCTTAGGTTTCCCGGGCTGGATAATCTGTCTCGAATGCATGAGGGAAATATGTGGCGGCCCAAGAGGACTTTTCGGGAGCCTTATCGTGGGAGATACCAACAACCATGCCACAGGTCATGAGGCTACAATTTCGACAGATATTGCATCTGCAGCTACTAGCCAAGGGTCTACGGTCAATCCATCAATATCTGTTGCCACGACCGAGTACGCTCAGGCGGACCTATTAGACCCCAGCATTATGTTTGAAGGTTGTCTTTGGTTTACCGACTTATCCGTTCCTGACCCATACCATATTCTCCCCGTTGCATTATCTGCCATGTTGGTCAAGAACCTGTTGCCGAAGGGCGGCATTCCGGAGCTACTTGGTCGCAATAAATCTAAGGACGCATCTACAATAGTAGGGGCGCCAAGTCCATGGCAACTTAGGCTACGTCGAGCCGCCGTCGCGATAGCTCTTTTCATAGGTCCTGGTACTGCGGATATGCCAGCCGCGCTCCATTTTTATTGGCTAACATCAGCTACAATGAGCTATGTCATCAACAAAGCGCTATCCCGCTATAATCCTATTAAGTTGAGGAAAGTGGACAGGTGCAATGGAGTTGAACCTAACATCATTCAACCGAAACGATTCGGGAAAGACGGTCCCTATACCAGAAAGAATACTGCGCAAACAGATTCAAAGCCATAAAATAGCTCAAAGACATGGACCACGAGCCATATTCATCCGATATACCACATATCATGTAGTAGATAATCTGTAAACACGTACGATTGGTTCAAATGTATGTGACAATACTGTAAAAATATAAGTTTGGCGATCGGATAGCCGAGACATTTCAGGAAACCCTTGCGCCGATGATTATATCAAAGCAGTCTTCAAAGGGGTACGGTCTTCCGTCTGGTCTTTAAAGTGGCACAGTCGAAAAATATATGTTGAAAACCTCAGAACAAAAGGATAGCCGATCGATTATAGACAGCGAATTTCCATATACCAACCCAGTCAAACGTGTGGATATATCCACAATAACTCCATAACGCCCAAAATACCGCTCACGTCCTACTCGAACTTGAAAACTCGACCTATCCAAGGAATACAGCCAGCAGAACGATAGCCATGATGATAGCTAAAACTACGAGCAGACAGCAGGCCTTGCTCCGTGCGTTCTTCTGATACCTTGCAGCACTCCTCAACTCGTAATCAGCACCCCGGGTATCATCGCGCACATTAATAGCATTGCTCTCAATCGTCTCCAATACCTCTCCTTGCTCACTAACGATTTGCGCCACCTGTTGGAACAAGACGTTGAGATCGCCAACGCCTTCCTCGATTTGACGGATCTCCTCTTCTCGCTCGGTGATCAAGGCCTCCTGGAAATCAACTTCGTCTTGTGCAGCTAGGTGGACCTGTTCCTGTTGCTGAAGCTGTAGCTGCTCGCCTTCGATTCCGGTTGGGGCACCTTCGGTTCCTTCGTGATCGAGTGCGGCTTTTGCTGCGGTAACGGAGGCTCGCTGTTTTTCGAGGGCGGTACGCTGAAGGGATTGGAATTCTCCGAGAGCTGTCTTGAACTCGCGCGACAACTTTTGCTGAGAATACTTTTGGGTAGGCTTGATGGTAGATGATAATTAGCAATGCGCAACTTAAAACGGAAGCCGACTACATCTCCAAAATACTTACCGTAGGCTCTTCCCATGTCTGAATCTTCTTGATACCTTCACCAACCTCCTTGAACTTCGTTGTAGACTCTTCAATCGTAGCGTGAACCCTCTCTCGCAATCTAGGATTATCCCGTCGTGTGCCGAGAAGACTAATATCCGACTTAAGCTTCGAGATGTTGCCCTGGATATGGAAAAGCGTGTTCATGAGTCCTTGCGACAATCGAGAGAACTCCGGATCATCCGAGTAGGCGCCATTGTTCTGGCGACGACCTCCCCCGCTGCCGGATTCTATGGAAGATAGCTGATCAAAAGACATGGTTGGAGCTAGACGGATTTCAATCGAACGAAGGGCGAGGAACAGAGAATATAGAAATTTCTAATGGATAAAAGAAAGATTGTAAAGTTGTTTGAAAGATGAAACGATCAAACGTTAAAACGACGTCGGTTGTGATACAGTAAGGTGGCTAAGAAAGCAGGAAGGTGAGGTAAAAGGTGGGTTTGATGTTCGGTACCTGGCAGTCACCTGGACCGACACTTCCCAAATACGTAACAACGGCGAGGCAACCGAATTAGGGATTCAAGTACGCTAGTCGGAGCTAGTAAGCCACAGAATGTACGAAATACATGCATGCTACCATGTAAGACCCACATCAAGTAAGGGATCCACCGTAGTGTGGCTGGTGCGTAAAGCTAGCGCACTGTGACACCTCAAGGTGGACCTTAGAATATTCTCTTCAGTGGTTTGATGCCTGTATTATTTTTTATTTACATTCGACATTTGATAGGTGACCATTTTCTACAGAGCAACCGTGCTCGAACTTGTCATTCCTTTTCCCCCAAACCCAACATCGCGCGTATTCGCATACGTGCTACATCTCCCACTTCTTACGCATAGACAATGCGCTATCTTTAATATTTCATTTCTACAGAGTTGCGAAGATGCCTCCCGCAGCTGCGCGCCGAGCGCCTTACAAAGATTTCTTACAGCCCGCCCTACAGAGACGGTTCGCCTCGACTACCGGATTCTTACTCGCAATCTCCTACATCGAAGCTCTCACTCTATCAAGGTGGAATCACAGTATGCGGATTCTTTCCTGTTCTATATGACTACTTATGCACATAGCTGACTTCATATCAAAGTATTCTGGCCATGGCTACCTATTGGTCTTCCCGGTATTCGTACCTTAGCCATCTTCGGCAGTATTCTCCCCATCATCATATTACGAATTGCCCATTCGCACATCGGTATTCGAACTTCTAATTCGCCTTTCGATACCTTCCGCCGAACTGCGATTTCCCTCGAGACTATCGAGACAATAATTACCTTCACCATCTCAGCGTGGATGTTCAGCCAGATATATCTGTTCTCCACACCTACCGACGCAAATCTCAGTTGGATCACATACTACAGCGGAGATCGCGCACGACTAAACGAGCGCGCCTTGTTCTACACCGTCAATCTCGTAATTCTAGGCTCCGTCCAAGGATTTCTACACAAATTCCTAGATTTTGATCAAATGGTTTTAGGCAAGGTGAGACCGAGACGCGAAGGACAATTGAATAACCACGAATCAGGTGGTTGGGAAAGGCTGGGAGAATGGGCTCCAGTTCTTGTCATTCGGGCTGGGACGGTCTCGATGGCTGTCGGGTTCGTCAACTACCTAGTGACTTACCACTTTGTAAGACGCTCTGCCTGGAGCTGGGCTTTGTCCTTTTTCCGGTTGTTTTATAGTCTCCCGAAGTCCAATATCCCGCCTAGCCAAGCTCCGTGGAGTATCTGGATGCTTGGCCGATCGGTCTGGGCAGGGTTCCTGCTATGTCTCTTGTGGTACTTTGGCGATATTGTTTTCAGGCTTCAGCTTGGAAAAGCGCCGCTCAAGAATAACCAACCTCTTAGTGCCGAGTCAAAAGATCCAAATGGAAGCCTACTAAATGGATTGAAGAGCAAGAAGCCTCGGGTATCGGTAAGTGTCATTTGATTCCTTCTTTGAAGATTGTTACTAATGGTTTAGGCATTCGCTCTGTGGGAATTGGCGTTAATCGCACGGGACTTTGATGATAGACGACGAAGCGTTTTTGAGGATATTGACAGAAAGGATGGTCCTATGTGGTCGCAAATCTACGTCACGTGCTTAGAGACTATTAAGTCGCTTGAGGAGAGAGTTGATAACTATGGGAAGCCACCTGCTCCCCCCGCCGCGCCAGCAGCTGCGGCTCCTCAGCCGGCGGTCCGAGTTGTCCAACCCCCGAAGACTGATAACGTCTGGGCAACAGCACCATCCCAGAATGGCCTCCGGAATTCTCTGGGCAGGGTCGCCAGAAACGTGGTGACATCTCCAGGAAAGACACCCGCCGACGTCTACTTACCCGAAGCAAAGAAAGTGGCACGAGAGGCAGCAGAGCATTTCCTTACGGAAGAGCAGAGAAACGCACTATCGCCGCAGGGAGTTTCCGGTTTAATCCAAACTATATCGCTTCGGATCATAAATCTGCCCAGAGTCGGCCAGTTATTCCAGCAGGTTTTCAGCCGCCGATTAACGACCATCGTACTTGGACAGCCGCACGGCGAACTTAGCATCTACATAAATGCGGCCTACGCCCTGTCAAAACTAGCGGTTTCTAGTCTGACAGAGGACAAGTATGGAAACGTACAGAGAGATGTCCCAGCTATCATACGAACGTTTACCACGGTCATCAAGAAGTTGGAGAGATTCAGAGATAATCTACCGGCCCACTGGACGGACCCTGTACAAAACAGAGAGTGCCCTGAAGTTGACGAATTGTTGGATGCGTTGAAGGAGGGACTGGGCGAACTTATCGCGGCGTTTGGACGGTATAGCAGCGATCTGAGACTTACCCGAGCAGATATGCGGTTGGCGGCAGAGGCGGCGGTAAGACAACAGGCTGCGATAGAGGCAGGTCAGCAAGCACCGACGGGACCTGAGATGCAGCAGGTGCATTAGTGGCGTAACTTGCAAGTCTCGGATCCCAAGAGCGCATTGATGAACGCATCAAATAGTGTGCTCAAGAGTGTAGTCGCAAAGGTGCGATCTAGATTCGCTGGGGACCAGTGAGTGTAAAATGCCTAGTAATACAGGCTGTGTTGTAGTTAGATACAGCTTATGATGCAAAGTCAGTAATGAAAATGTTCAATGGGATGAGTTATTTCGTGTCCGTGCTCTCTCTGCTCCCTAAATTATGGTTGAGTAGTATCGTAACGTCATACTTGTCCTATGGTTCAAGATAAGGACGGATAAGAAGGAGGCTTAAAGTGGCGTACAAGACGTCCAATTAAGGACGGCTTAGAAAAGCGGGGATCGGAGTGGAGAAATAATTCCTCAAATAGCATCATCTAATCTTATTATTCACGTTGACATCACCCTTACTTCCCTTTCTTCTTCATTCATTAATACAGCTTGTTTTCTTTACGGTCATAGCCCTCCATGGAACTTAGACTCGACGAGCCTTTTGGCCATGCTCACAACTTATCGATTCGCCAATAATTAATTGTCACCTAATATGAGCTTCGATTACGCGCCTTCAGATTCATCGCGGTCGCGCTATAGCCCGAGCCTTACAGTGCTATACCGCGCGGCACAAGAATGTGACAACATTCTATTTAATACCTCTTGTACTATTGTAATACCATGACGACGAACAACAACCTTGTATTCCGCATCACCTACACCTCTATTTTCTTCCTCTTATGTCTTGTTCTCATAGCTCTACTTCTTGTTGTACCTGGCGACTTCATCCGTCAAGTTTTATTTACTTCTAAACGATACATCAACTTAATCGTCCTCGCGATAGTGGTTGTCATCACCCTCCTCATTATATTGTTCATCTACGCACTGAGGCTTTATGTTACCCGGACAGTGCTAGCGTCTATACCGAAGACATGGATACCTACGGAGAAGGGCGATGCCCCCAAGGAAGTTCGCAAGATGATTGCCACTGACCTCAGCCGGAGTGCCGCCATCGCCTGGGGTGCCTACCCAAAGGTTATTACGCCGCCTACTCGAGCCCCGTCTCCTGGGGATAAAGCAGAGGAAGCAATGGCCGAAGGCAATATGAAGGATGAAAGGAAATCTCTTCAACTCTTCAGATCGAAGCCGCCCACAACTGTTGAGGAAAAGATGGGAATTTTGCTTCCATCATTAAGACCCGTATGGGGTGAGGTTGAACATGATGGTTGGGGCTCACCAAACTCGCCCGACCTGCCTAATCTCCAGTACAGCAATGTGATCTCTGAGTTGCCGAATCTCATCGAAGCGAAAGCTGTCACACAAGCACCCCCAGATCCAGACTCCATTGCCATCCCGCCGACGCTGGATGCTGACGCCGTTGCCCTTCTTCGGCGTTCTTCCTGTATGACAATGCGAGACTATGTCACTCATCTCATGAACGTCGGCGTGCTACCCAGCTCTCAAGACGCGTTCAGTTTCATTGATAACTACGAACGCGCCCGCTTTTCCACTCGCCCCCTATCTAACGCCCATTTTCGACATCTAATGCATCTCTTTGCTGAACTCTTACGTTCAATCAGGCCCCTGGACACTGGCTCCATATATCATGGTACTGAGGACGCTTATTCCGAGAGTGACGGGCATATCGACGACGACGCGCCTCACACTACCCCCACTACCCCAGCGCGAAGCAATTCGACTTCTATCAGTCTGAGAAGCGGGAGTAGCACGCGGTCACGTGCTCTTAGGCCAAACCTCGGCGGTCGCAATTCATCATCCCATACGTGGAACCAGTACCGTACCGCGCCCACAACGCCGAGGAGTAAAGCTGGCGGTAAGGGCCTTTCACATACGTCTAGTACGAATAGTGGGAGCAGCTTCGCGCAGACGAGACGTATTTATGCCGCGAGTCATACCTCGAGTTCGAGTCTTAGGTCGGCCTCCCAGACGTCTATCATACGGCTCGCGACTAGAGAGGACCGCAGCGACTTGCCTTACGTGCTGAGGATTGGTGAGGCTTACTAGCCTCTTATGGTATAGAATTCGTTGGAGTAAAGGGGTATTAAGGAAAATGATAGGTTGCATCTGACCGGCGTTAGGAATGGTTTGTATTCGAACTTTTGATATTATCTAATGTAATTTTTCATTACCAGATCTCGTTTCGTACATCGTGCATACGCGGCTTACGCATGAGCGGTGGGCTAATCGACATACACGAAGATACGAGCTTTGGTTCCCCCACCTATGCTGTGAACCCCCATATAAGAAATAACTCCTCAACCCCGGCATCTTGATCTTGATTCGATATATCCGACGCCACACCATTACTCATAATAACTCCAACTCTCAAGAAACCAGGTCCACCGTTTCATGTCTCTGGACTATATTGCCTACATCAACATTAGCGCCTTTCATGCTGTGATGTATATTTCCCACGGTACTCAATCGGGTGAGCCCATATGCAGGTCATCCCGACTTGCAGCAGCTATGATGATGACTTTTTGGTTTATGGTTACATTTAATTCCCGACTCCCGAGTGCTAGCTCGTCTTGGACAAGAAATACCATACTCGAGCTGAGTTCTAATTGGGGCGCTTAAACGTGGCTTCCCAGCACTCGGAGACATGCGAAGCCTCTCGTGAAATGGAAACAAGACATACTTTTTTCGACGCCTGATCGAATTTCTTCATAGCATCGCTCACTTCACGTCGTACCTTGGCTTTCCGAATAGCCAGGCGTGATTCAACGGTCCCATTCTGGAGAAGCGCATTGATCGAAGCATCCCCATTCTTTTCAGATGCAGTATGCTTGCGGACGCTTTGGTCAGAGAATGAGATCTGGCCAGCAGGAGCGCGAATGTCAAATCTAAGTCCAGCACCAGCGTCCGATACGACAGCGCTATGGTGTGGTAACATATGTCAGCTGGGATTTACCACAACCTGAAACTTGGTGGCGCACAGGTCGGTGAGGCGCGGCAATAACAGCTCATGATCACATGAACATATTATCCAACCTCGTCCCGACCCGACCACGACCTTCAATAAACACGATAGATATAACGAAACAGCAAGAGAAATTATGCAACACTTACTTATTCAAACTAGATTCATGTGATCGTTGAGACATAGCTATTTCGAGTCGAGGAGAGTAATTAGAATGCAGAATCATGTGTGACTAATGGGAAGAGAAGATACTGAGCTGCATACTTAAAGATCCACGGTATTTGTGCTATCGACTTCGGAAATGGTCCCTCCTTATATACATACAGGTCCGGGACGTCATCGACTTTCTCTACTGAGCATTGATTGGAATTTCAATGTGCACCCCCACACCTCATTATATATAGGTAGCTTTCAAGCTTACGTCTTTGATAGATCTATCCAGGAACGTGGAAGCTAAGTCTTGTTCGCCAATGGATGTCGATGAATCCTAGCTAATGTGAATGGGGGTTTGTCATTTCAAGACTTCGTCAGCTACAGACTTAACGGTTTTGTACCCAGTGTCACTATGCTACATCAAGGATTCTCGGAATCGGCCTCGGGGTTCTCAATCTCCCTCTCACTCACATGCATCTTGCTGATCCAATGGTCGGTACATTCCTAGGGTTTGCTTAAACCGGAGCGAGAAATACACATACGATGCCTAGTCGACGGTAGCTCTAGTCGACAGCAAATACACCTTTGTCAGCTAATCATGACGCCAGATCCGCCCCCCTTATTACCAGCGCCGGCAAAGAATGCCACACTAATAACATGAGGCCGGTTGCTGATGTGGCTCATTACACAAGCAAGGGTTTAATGGTGTGTGGGTCGATATGCCTAACTAGCTAATAGGTATATATATACCTAATGTGTAGTGTATTGGCTGATTTGTTTAGCATAAGTGGCCTTGGGATCCTAATTATTAATATGATCGAACAACATACCTGGTAAAAAGCGTACATATATACCGACCTACCTGCCTGTACATTGCATATGCATTGCCTACCTTGCATACCCTTGTCGGCAGCGTGCATCGATCAACTGTGCCTCAATTTGTGTACAGTGTGAGTGAAGCCGGTAGCTATTCCTAGGGAAGCATGTCCCTCATTGATCTGGAGATCAGGGGACTTCTCCGCGCCGTGTCACGTCAACCATATACATCAGCGTCCCATTTGAGGCAGTGGATCCTGGAACATAGATTGGCCCGGCTCACGGATATAGATTGGCCCGGCTCATGGATATCGCAGAGCCTCATCAGTATTCGAGGCTTATGTCCTAAGTTGGAAAGGCTCCAACTCAGCTCTCGAATGCACATTCACATTGTTCTCAACATATTTCGTGTACCTAAGTATACATCATATTGCCTTACTACCATTGGCCGTAAGGCTACCCATATGGTTCGCATCCAGTCAAGTCTGGTTCTCCCCCCCCCATCCCCGCCGGCATATTTCCATGTTTTTTCCTCGAACAAGTAGTATACACAACCAGTGACACTGAGACACCGTCTTAACGACATTGATTCGCATCTTATATACCTATATAGGCGCCTATCTCGCAGAAGAATCTAACTACCTACTAGTGTCCTTTGTAATTATTTACCTACCTAGGTACGGTAAGCCGTAAATGGAAATCATCTGAAACCGCCTACATCATATTACGTAGGTACTCGGTAGGTATGGAGGCACTTATGTCGACTCATATGTCCATGATAACTTAATTATAACTATCTAGCACATGCAGCTTATCGGAGAATAATGAGATAACGATGCCATTACTTGCTTACAGTATAAAAAATATCTGCCGCCGTATTTGTCCAAGCTAGGTATCTACCTATGCGTGTGACTTGAGAAAATAAAATGTCGTCTTTTCTTGTACGGCAAATTGAGTCATCAAATACCTAGTAGACAAGGTACCTAGATTAAGATGCTAAACAATTGTAAAATAGCGAAACCTTTATTATGAATGGAACATCCGAGACACTTTTCGATTACTATAGTATCATTTATATGGAATCTTGTTGAAATTCGTACAATGATGGGAAGAAAAATTGAATGGGGGGGTGAGGGGTCAGGTCGGGTTTGAGGCTTCTTCTGGGATGCGAACCATGCAGATGCCTAGCATACAGCCTGCCTGACGTTGAATTCGGGTACGATCGGACAGTACCTAACGCTGAGGCAATCTAGATGATGAAGAGTATGTTTACGTTCGATCCTATGGAATTATAGGTACCTCTCCATCGAAGATCTCTGGCAAATTTTCACCCCACTCCATCGACAAGATCCAAAGGTGATTCCGACATGACTTATTTTAGCGCTCCGTTATATTCCCCCAACAAATACAAGACAAATAGGCAAGGCAGACCGTTGGGCAGCATCGTAAACTTGGTATGATCACGCGATTCGATAGATGCCTGTAAGATGGAACGGATGGTTAGGCTGAATGTTTCACAGCGCTGGACTGTTATAATCGTATACCCAAGATCTTCGGAAGCCTACCTAGGTTAGCATGCCTATTCTTTGATGACTACCCTCGCGCCAACGTCTCAATGCCGACCTACCACCCCATATGATGCTCGTATTCCAACCCGGCAATGAATACTGCCTCATAACTTCTCGGCCGGCGGATCTGTGTTGGCTTTTCCGTGCTCACAAACCACCAATAAGGGACCATCTCGGCCATCCTCGTCTACCGATCTCATCTCTCCTCTCAAGGCGCACAGATTACGACCGGCATGTAGAATGTCGCACTTGATGTGGACGGTAGTACCAACGGGCACAGGCCGGAGATAAGTAACGTTGAGCGTCCGACTCACGCCGGAGTACTGCCAAAAACCCGGTTTTGAGATGAGATGAAGTACCATCGTCGTACATGCATCAAAAATAGTCGAAGCGCATCCACCATGCAAGTTATTGAGGCCGTTAGAATGGATGGGATGAACGGTGAATTTGAAAGTGATACTAGGATGTGGTAATGAGGATGAATATGACAAAATGGATATATATGGTGTTATAGCCGACATCCATTCCTAGGGCGAAGTTAGCACAGGTGGCTATTGTTATGACTAAACACTGTCGGAGTAGAACCACTCGATAAGGAAGTAGAAATGAGTACTCGATCTAATATGAGATAGATATTTATGAGATTGAGCTTACGTGATTCTTTGGGTCCTTGTATATCTCCGGATCCCATTCCAAAAAAGCCTTGACTTTCTCGATACCTTCGAACGACTTTGTATTTTCCAAATGAGCTAATCCGGAGGGCAATCCCTTTTCTTCGGGGGATTTAGACATTGTTTGGGAATGCCCTATGTAAGTAGTAGCCTAAGTGCTGGAGAGTAAAATCCGGCGAGAATTGTAGTCTGAATCGGAATGGGCTTGACACGAGATTGAAGTATTTGGAAGACTGAAATTCAATTGATCAATATTTTTATATCATATTGAAACCAAGGTAGATGCGTAACTGTTCCTGCAGTTATGGTAGACGAGGATAGGCACATAAAGGATACCTGGTAGCCACATGGTAGCGATCCATAGAATGGGGAAGCCCTAAATAACAGCCTAAATGAACCTCGGTTGTGGCGTTTGGGCATATGCCTAGGTACAGAGATGCATATTGGATCTGTAACGGTTACCTGCTAGTTAGTAGTAGCTCCGCTATCTGGGTAATATTTAGGTAATCATGTAACCTCCAGCTTGATTATTGATAATTGGTCTTGTAAATAGTAGAGCCTCGACATAGTCTCTGGAGGTTGGGATATCTTAATAATTAGGGCATTGAATGAGCCAGCAGAGTAGAATACCTACCTAGTAGCTAGGCTAAACAAAATAAAGAGATGCTGACCTATCCTATTAATAATGAATTGATGGGTTAACTGGCTTGCTTCGATATACTTATATCAGTAGTTGTCTGAAGTTGTCAATGGATTGTAATTTGTATTCTTGTAATTTTAATATTGTGGACGTACTAAAGTGAAATAAACGCGCATACAGAGTTGACTGTTGAAGAACGTATGATTACGTAAGCACGAACCATACCTAATAAGCAAGGAACATTGGACAAAAGACGTAGCGTGGCTTTAGCTAGGGATGTCTTGGAGCTTTGATAAATGGTGGTCAATGCGTCTAGAAGATAGCAACATTGAAAAGATGCACAGCTTCAGGGGAACTTTAACCTAGCCTCGCGTGACATTATGTTTTGATTGGTTGAGTACCGTTGGGTCGGGGCGGCAATGACCTAATTTAGCAGAAAGTACAAGGTACAGTGTACATAACAAAAGTATGGGGGTCCATACCTTTGGTACGTATTTGTCCTCTTGTTCCAAAGAAGCAGCGAGCCAGCAGCAAGCCACAAGACAGCAGACAGCAGGACCAACCTAACAGCTTTCTAAATCCATCACGTCTCGAAATCTCCCAACTTCTATCAATCTCGAAAAAAAAATACCACAATACCCCGGCGAAACCTTCAGTTAACATAATCACGCGTTCACGACAAACTAAACGAAATTGGGTCGCTAGCCAATTTAAGATATTTGTACTGCGTCGCATTTTGTTTTCCAGTCAAGTAATTCTTTGAACCATCTTGATTCTCTTCGCTCATTATTCGCCCTATTTAATCACTATTTTTTCTTCTGATTATCCACGAACGAAGCTCCTTACGTACTTCACTTATCGCGACGAATCAATCATTTCATTTCAAAAACAGAAGATATTTCTGTTACGCCTTTCGATCCTTCGTGTCCCACTCTCGAAACGTCGGGCTAATTGATTTCCCGCCATTTCGCATCTCCTTATCCCGGATACAACATCGTATCTCCCGTCAGTACTTACAACGCAAATGCGCATGTCGAAAAGCCAACCTCAGCTTAAACGGTGAAGACGGCAGTGAGGGCTGAAATACCGTCAATTTGGCGTGCCAGATATTAACTACCTCATGAGCTGGCCACAGGTCTCCGCCATGGGACCCGGTGGGAATGGATCTGGTATTCCGGGCGCCGGCGGTCAGGAAATGTCCGGAGGGGCATCCGGGAACCACTCAAATCAACCACATGCCACCGAGTATACGTTACAAGGTACGATCTTATCATGGAGAAATGCCTACACCGTGTTTCCTAGACCCCTCTTAGCTAATCTGCACGTGTTCAACAGGCGTTATGCGCTTCCTTCAAACCGAGTGGCATCGTCATGAACGAGACAGAAATGCTTGGGAAATCGAGCGTCAGGAAATGAAGGGAAGAATAGCCGCCCTCGAGGGTTCCGCCCGAAGAGCAGATGCTACACAGAAGGCACTTAAGAGATATGTTACCATTCTGGAGAAGAAAGTGAAAGACCAGGCCGCCCAGTTGAAGATTGCTGCCTCGTCTTCTGTCGCGGATCATTCTGTGAAGCAGCCTCAGAAGATCGATAGGGCTTCTTTGATACAGGAGAAGTTGAAGCGTATGTACAGAGCTGGGATACCTATGCAGGAATATGTGCGGGCTTGAAACACTAACTTCGTTTATAGCGTCTAGCGAGAAACCGAAAGAACCCGTGCCAGGCCTAGAAGGTCTTGTAGGCGAACGTGTGCAGGAAGACGACGAGCGCGAGAATCTTAGGGTCTTCCTGGATCAGTGCCAATCTGAGTTTACTTATCTAATGATCACTCCCGCTAACCCTATGCCTCCTCGAGAATCTCCGCCTTTGCCACTAATGGAAGAGGGAGACTTCGGGCTTCCTATGAATCAACAACCTCTTGATGCGGCCTTCCAGGCATTGAGGCTTAACCAGAATCATGTTAAGGACCAGGGCGCGCGTCCAGGTACAGGCAATGCTAACAACCACCATGTGCCGGCGATGCAGCAAGGTCATAACGTCAGCTTACCCCCAAAGAATGCCGACTTGCAATCGGCACCTATGGTCCGATCCGGAGAAGGTCCTGCTCCAATGTACCCGCACCCCGGCGAGTGGTCCGTCTCTGGACCACCTGCGGCTCGTATCCAGGAAGATACGAATGCAAGGCCTAACCACTCGAACGAGTCTGTGCGCTCTGAATTTAGTGAAGCTCCGTTAGAGAAGCGAGGATCAACCGATAATGACGCTTGGGACTTCGGCGAAGGCAATTTCTCTGATCCAGCATCTACGCAGCAACTGCAGCCTCTTACACATCGCCCAGATACTGACGCTTTCCCTAACGCCGAAAATCTCCCCAAGTCTCCTAACCGTGGTCCTGCTTCCCATAGACGAAAGACTTCTATGTCTCGTAGGAAGAGCGCAGACCAAGAACTTTCGCTCAACGGCGTGTCACAGAAAACGGAGAGTGGTAGTTTCAAACTCCGATATGGGCTACGTGGGCATCTCAACGCGGTTCGCGCCGTGATATTCTCAGGTGGCGGGAGCCCAGGCGAGCCAGAGATCTGCACGGCTGGTGACGACGGCTTAATCAAGCGTTTCCACATCCCGCGCGAGACGCCCGGTCATCTCGGGAACATATCCTCCGATCTCGACGTACCTGCTGATTTTACCCACCGTGGACATACGGGTGCCGTTTTATCGCTAACGTCGTGGTCTCCGTCCCCCAATTTCTCTACTGGGGGCCGTGCTCAGGGGGATGGCTGGATCTTTTCAGGCGGCCAGGATGCGACTATTCGGGTATGGGAGCGCGGCAGAGTAGATCCCAAAGCTACTCTCGACGGTCATAGTGATGCCGTCTGGGCCATTTGTGTGCTACCTGCGACTCTCGGCTCCGTTTTCGGCCAAACTAATCCGTATGGTACACCGGATCGCATTCTTGTCGTTTCTGGAGCTGCCGATGGTGCTGTCAAAATTTGGGCCGTTAGTGCGCCGCCACAGTTGACATCGCCGCAGCCGGCTCCACCTCGCCGTGGTACGGGAAGTGGAAGAGTTAGAGGCAACTCCATGAGTTCCGGATCGCAGTTTCCAAGTTCACCTCAGCCTAACATGGCCTCGAATTCGCCATTCCATTACACATTGGTGCACGACATCCGCCGATCTAATGGGTCACAAGCCTCACCGACGTGTATTACGCCACTATCAGTCAGCGGAGAAACCTTCGTTGTTAGCTATTCGGATGCTAATATCGTAGTATTCGATACAAGAACAGGCGAGGAGATCGGTTCTATGGCTAGTCTCGAGACTTATGACAATACGATTGGCACAAGCGTCAACTCTGTCGTTGCAACCACAGCGGGCCTCGACCAGAGTTCCGGACCCGGTTTAGGTGATGATGATGCGAGTGGGCCTACAGGTGGTAGTGGTACGGCTAGCAGTGGGATCGAAGGTGTTATTATATCTGGGCACGAAGACCGCTTCATAAGGTTCTTTGATGCTAATAGCGGTAAGTGTCCCCAACTGGTATAACCTCGGAATACATGTGTCTAACTTATTCAAGGCCAATGTACATACAACATGCTCGCGCATCCTGCATCGATATCGTCCCTTTCCCTTAGTCCTGACAGCCGTGAGCTCGTGTCTGCCGGTCATGACGCAAGCCTTCGATTCTGGTCTTTAGAAAAGCGAACCTGCACCCAAGAGATCACTAGCCATCGTATCATGAGAGGGGAGGGCGTGTGCTCTGTTGTCTGGAGCCAAGACGGCCGATGGGTTGTCAGCGGTGGAGGGGACGGGGTTGTAAAGGTATTTGCGCGGTAATGCTAGCCGTCTGGGGATGTTTGCGGGCAACACTTGAGGGAAAACTATGGTAATGGCATGAACCTAGCCGAGGAGTTGGTGGAATTATCCTGCGACAGAACGAATCTCATACTAGACGGATGATCCCATCCGACGCTCTCGACTACTTTTTGAGATACATCCACGAGTTTGGGGAAGTCAACTAATGCATGAAGGGGTTTACACTTGCGGTTCACGTTCGAGTCTAAGGTGGAACGGCTCGTGTATAAAAAATTATGAAATTTCAGAATAATAGGAGACGGGTGTTGTTACGTTGTACGACTTCAGAGGTCGCTGCAGATCTATACCCACTACCAATAGGGGACAGGATAGGAAATCAGTCTAGTTCACAGTTGAGGTTCCGATCGGTGGACCCGGATGGGTCTACCTAGGTAGGCATTACGGGATGGGGACGAAGTGGGAAGGGGCCGCGAAATTCTTGACGTGTAGATACCTAGGTGGTGTATGAACGCAGCTCGATACTTTGCGGAGCATAGCCCTTCCGAGGTTACGGATGTAAAAACAAAACAAAATCTTACTAAGAGACCGAGTTGCATTCTAACTCTGCATCCGACTTTGGAATATTGCGAATGAGCTTTACAACGTGATTTTTAATTAATCCGTGTTTCTCGTGGGATATAGGACCGAGTGAATCTTGTTAGAATCAATCTCGCAATTGCTCTTGATGGTTATTATCGGGTAGGGCAAGAACGTCATGACAGCCAAGCTACAGTTCCATCATACAGGCTAGTCCCACTATTCGATGCAGTGTACTATACAGCTGGTCTCTGATTGGCCAACTCTGTATCTTTAGCACTTTAGCAAATAGTGTTAACTAACCGAATTTTTGTTATCGAAGCGGCCTACAAGGTCCGCAGTGTCCGAATTGGTGTAGTGGCTAACATTTGACGCTCTCAAGATTGAAAGATCTGAAGAACCGTCAAGCCCGGGGTTCGATTCCCCGATTCGGAGTTTATTTTTGACGTTTTGTCTTCCTAGTAATTATTTTTCCCGTTTCGCTATCATGCTCAATCCTATCGCGAAGCATTGGATTTGATTAATAAGAAGTATTCTCTATATGGACCTACATAATTGTGTGGCAGATTTGGATGCTTAGGTAACTTACCTCCTTAATGTTAGGCGCATGCCGTATGTACTAGTAGAAAGCTGTACATATGAAATACGAGCATACCATCCCACAAACACTTTTACACATTCACACATATTTGGAAAATACATAGCAATGACGTAGGTATCTAATTTTTTATTTTTATATTTCGACCTCGTAACAGCTCAAGTGTACTACGTCGGTCTGTCCCCCTTTTCGATCAACCAGATCTTGTCTAGTGGCCGCAGAAGCAGCACACAATCCAGATTATCCAGATGCCGGTATCTCGTGTGCCCTAGCACCGCACCACCTTGTCCTTGTGCTATGGTAGACATACACAGGTACTATGCAAGTCTCTGTAAACGCGCAGACATTGTATATCAGGAGACCTTTGCAATTCCTTCTCTTATCTCATCTCTTCTACTCTCTCCTTTATTTCAGCTTCTATCCCAAACCACCACCCACCCATCCCTTCTCACCCATCTTGTCCATCCCATCCTTCTCGACCAACAATACCTACCGAATAGGCAGGTATTCAATATAACTCAAGTTTTTTAAATAAAAAAGTGCAAGGAGGGGGTATCATGGCATGCACGCAGATGCAGGTCCAATCTCTTCATCTAAGACAAAAAAGAAAACGCACACAAAAAAAGACCACGGTCCAAAAAAAAAAAATCAAGCAAGCAAACCAACCACCACAAGCGCGCACACATACCAGGAAGTACGTATTATAAATCAACAACACAAGAAGACGCTCCTCTATGTGTAAGATTCGGTCGATCGATCGATACTCCGCGCTGCTAAGACAAGGTATATTCTTTCAATTCCAACTCCGAGGGTATAATTCCCCCTTATCCCACTTTCCTTGATTTTACTCCTCTTTGCTCTGTTTTTATATTTCTACTCCTTCCTTCTCCTACTCTTATATCAACAACCGCTCATCCCAGTCCAAACGAAGCCTCTTCCTCCGTCGGCAATGGCGTCGACGCGCTTACGCTTCCCCTCGCACCGACGTCGTCGTCGTCGTCTAAGACGCTCAGTGCGACGATACTGCTACTCTCGCTATCCTCTCTCGGACGAGGCGCCGGGCTCGGCAGCGCTGACACGCTCTCCTCGGTAACAAGGGCCGGCGCCGAAAGACCCTTCTGTGCGCGCCAAGCGGCGCTACGTTCCTCGCGTTCCTTCATCATCTGCTTATCAGCCTCGATCGCCTTAGCGCGTCTATCCTCGACTTCTTCTCTGCGGACGACTCTCCTGAGCCCCTCGGACGCTTGGATTAGGCCATCGATGCTAATGGCGTGGTTGGTCATCTGATGGTTGATGTATGTGTACACTGAAGCTGGGGTTTCGCATTGGAGGAGCTGTCTCTCGTTGAGTTTGAGGAGTGCGAGCGCGACTTGGAATAGGAACGTGCTTCCGTCGTTGATGCAGAGAACCACGTCCCAGACGCGGAACAGGGCCTCAGCTGAGAGGCAGTCGGTGAACACGCTGAGGAACCATTGGAAGGTCAAGGCTTCGAGCTCGATACTCAGCACGTCGAGATGCTGCGATAGCTTCGGGAGGACCTGGGCGACGTATTGGCGTAGGACTTGTTGGTCGGCGCGGGATGCCATTAAGCTGTGGTCGTAGTATCCTTGCGGTAGGATACGTTCGATGAACGAGACGAAAACCCAGAAGACATCTTCGGCAGACGGCATGATAAGCAGCAAATTTGCAGCTATCAGATTCATTCCTTGGCAGTATCCAACTTCGGGATTATGTCTAGCATACGCCCGGAGCACTTCGTGTAACTTCTCAACTCCAGGGCCTTTGCGGAAGAATATGTTGTCGGTTAACGTACGGTTAATATCCATTTCAATCTGAGAGATCACAACAGCGTCGTCGGTCTCGCTAGATCGAGTAGCAAGATCGTGGTAGTAGCCCGGAGTTCGCTTAGAAAGAGCACCAGAGCATTCTGCCCAGATCTTTGGACGATTCGCCACAGGAATACCGCCAAGCACCAGGTTTCTGAATTCGTTCCATTTCGCGCGTCCAACTTTACCCTTCACTCCGAGATCCGCAATACCGATGGTCTCACCGTCGGTAAGTTTGGCCTCCGGGATCATAACGGGCGCAGTTTGGAATCGAGCTTCGGCTGCAGCTGCCGCGTTAGCTGCCGCAGCCTCACCCTCGCGTCGACGCTCGGCACGCACTTTTCGTAAAAACTCGTTCCAGCGGACGGATCTTTCTCTCTGTAGATTATCATGAACATCGTTCAATTGTTTCAATAAAAGCTTCACTGCCTCGACATCCTCGTGCACCAACGTAGCAATAGCAGACTCTCCTTCCGGCTGCGGGCTTGTCTCTCTACCTAAAGCCGAAATGGTGGTACTCGCGGATGGAACAAAGCCACGCTCGTCTGAATTTATCATGCTTGGAGACCTGGGATGCTCCGTCCCTTCGAGTACTTCTATATTCGAAGCCATTATTGAGGGAGTATGTGACAGAAGCTCTGTCGGGAAAGTTGCAATCTTAAGATAGTCCTGCCATCTCTTCGCTTTACCTTGTTCAATCGGGCCTTCGATCGATGTCGGGCTCTCTGGACGATCATCGTTCCCGGCATCACCATTAGACCCTGGCTCTTCCTCTAATAAATTGGGAGAGATGCCAGATCGTCCACCAGAAAGCATTTCGTGCCCTTTCTTCATTTGAAGAGCGACCTGAGCTGCTTCACGCTGCCTCTTCTTTCGACGCTGGTCGTAAATGAAGCCGAAGCGATCGATCAAATGTTCGCTATTGTTGTAATTATTGTATAGTTGCGACAAAGCCGGCGGCTGGCCTTCGGGAGAAAATATTGTATCCATTTCTACAGGGCCAAAGTTATCCGATCTCGTCGCTGACGAATTCTCGGGATTAGCGCCTACACTATTCCATCTCTCACGTGGCTGAGAATATTGTATACTCGGAGGTTTAGGAGTACTACGCCGCATTGACATGAGCGATTTAGGCCCTCCTTGCGTGGACACTCCGCGGTTCGAGGCACCCGTCTTGGCGCTAGCATTCGATGATGACCTCACAGAACCACCCTGGCCCGCTGAATCTGACCGTCCCCTTGTAGAATCCGAATCGCGAACTGAAGTCCCCTTCCCAGCGACTAGTTGCAAGGCCATACTTGCAAATGAAGCTGAAGGTTTCCTCGTTGTGTTCTCAGAATAAATACTCGAAGCGCGACTAGAACTTCGAGCTGAATCCACGTTGAGCGGCACGAACAAATCCTCCTGTATAGGAGGTCGGCGATCCACGGGCGTAGGTGCGTGAATGACGGTCTTTCCGATTTCCTCGTTAATGCTGCCTGCTCTGCTCGGCTTTCTGCTCGTTCCACCCCAGAGATATTCTTTCCAAGCCTTCATGGTGCCTTTACTTGTAGCATTGTCTCTTGGGACGGACAAACTACTCGCTCTAAGTGTGGCATCATTTACGTCATTCAGACCCAACACATTGTACGATAGCGAATCTTGTATCGCGTCACTCATCATACCGGAAACGTCTCCAGTAGATGGGCATTTTGACTTGTCCTGCGCCTGGAGCTCCGCTTCGACCGATCGCAACTTAGTTTCGAGATCCAAATTTGATAATCCACAGCCTAGTATGATCTTTCTCAGCGCTCTTTCCCTCTCGTCTGCTCTTCTTCGTATTTTAGCGATCTGGAGGTCGCGGTGGGCTAGGTCCTCTGCGACTTGGCGCACAAGGTGAACGGCACCATGCTTCGCAATTAAACGTTCGATATGTTCGTCGTTGGCGTGGTGAAGAGCACCCGGTATCTTCTGTGTCGTTAAAGGGGTGTCGTCAAATAGCGCATTGCGCGCCGTCTTATGGGTCTCGGATGAGATTAAAGTGTCGACAATCGAAGTCTTGATGGGAGTCTCGGATATCTTGCTCTCGATGTTATGCATTGAAGCATGGTTGGACTCGGGAGTAGCGAAGGAGTGTTCGTGGCGCGGAGACTGAGGAGAGAAGGAAGGGAATGAAGTGAGGGACTTGTCCGAAGCGGCGACAGACGAAGCCGAACTTGAAGGCTGTGAGATCAGTTTCCTAGGCTTAGATTTCGCGCGCGTCGAGTGGTTCCGAGAGATCCTAGCGGAATTTGAGGTTGTAGAGAGTTGTGAGGTCGATCGTTCCAGGGACGCATTTGACTCGGGGGAATCCATATTGTTGTCTTCCTAGGAATCATGATCTCTCTTTCAAGGCGCCTATCCCTCTCCCTTCTTCTATCACAGGTTCCCTCTTTCGCTTTGCAAGTTAGAACAAGACACGTTGGGCCATAGAAGTTTAGCACATTGGGTTTGAGCGAGAAGAGTGTGTGAGCAGATAAAAACAGGTAAGGTAGGAATTTCAAAGTAAGACTGATGATACGTTCAAAAAGTAAAATGGAGTGACGATATAATATTATGGTTATGATTTATGCAAGAAGAATGGATGATGCATGTGGTATGTGGCATGTCCAATACGTATCTAGGTACCTACCAACTATGTGCAATAATAATACACGTACATATTATTATGGATTCCAGCTAACTCCATTCATTCCAATCTCCATATTAATTATCCCCACCAACATGATGCAGTCCCTTCTTTATCGTTATCAAACATCTCGACGCGCCCATATCTAGCCGAGGATTAACCAGAATACTAGGTACCCCACCTAGCTTATGTAAGTCAGTAACTTCAAGCCCCTTTTTCCCTTCCCCTCCCTGCTGTCCTATTTTCTTTTTGACTTCAAATTCGTACCTAAATATTTTCGGAAAAGATAAATTCGCCATTATCGAATCGCGTAATACCCAAAGGAATAAACAGAATATTAAATACAACTCTTTATTACGCTCTTGTCTATCCAATGTTCTAAGAATCAATAATTGATTCAGTAGCCACTTTTGCCATCAGCCCTTGCATCCATTTTGATAGAGCAACGGAAGGTTCAAGCTGACACCCAATAGTACCATTTGCTTTTGGCGTGAGGGTCGCATGGAACTCCATTTCTTCTGTCTCTTTTCCTCGTACGTTATATGCCATTTTTACATTGAACGAGAAAAATATAGGATCCTCTTCCTTTTGACTCTCTGTCATCTTGCTTTCTTGAGCGTTACATGCTTCGCAACCATGAGGCCTTTGGTCAGTATTCTCTTGGATGTCATCGCTTTGTTGCCGATCAGCATCACCTTTTTGGCCTAATTCCTCAGGCTTCTCTGCTTCTTTCTGCTGGACGGTCTGACTCGCCGAGTTTAAATCGTTTCGCGTACGATTACCCATATTTTGAATAGGTTCTCTCCAATTTCCAGATTGTAGACGTTCCGTTCGAGAGGCGTGAGGTTGAGATTTGGCCGCTCGATTTGTTTTCTTTTTACCCTCCTGTGAAGTAGGCGTTTTAGTATATGATTGAGACTTGGGTGTATTCTCACGACGGGCCTTAGGCTTGTTCAGACGTGGCGACTGAGCCCCCTGTACTGAGGATGTGAGTGGCTTTTCAGCAGCCCGTGGCTTTCCATCAGTCGATGCCTTTTTATCAGCTAGTGGCTTCTTTTTCTGCGGTGGTAGTCGTACAATTGGCAATTCGGAAGGGTCTTCAAGCAAGGGTGACAGTGATTTAGTCGGAGAACATGTATGTGAATGAACTTGGAGCTGAGGCTCGAGTCTTGGTTCAGACATCGGTTCATTTCTACCATTCTATGGTTCCGATTCTGGCCGAGAAACATCTACAGGGGGTGTGGGTGTTGAATAACATCGAGACTTCTGTACAAGTACCTGACGCCCGGTCGGTAACGATTCTTCGTTGACCTTGCTATCGGGAAGGGTCTCGTGCGCTGCCGGGGCATCAGAAAGAAAGGATGACGCTCCAGAACTCGATACAGAAAATTCATATTCCAGAGCTGAATCACTTGTGTCATTTATGTTGCTTTCGGATTTGGGGGGTTTTCCAGCCATTTTATCTGCCTGTGGGTCCTTCTTCCGCGACTCTATGCGACCGTATACAGCGTCCATTTGTTGACCAGCCCTTAAGATCAGGTCAGGGTTTCGGGGGTTGCCTTTTACAAGCTGCAGGCGCCGGGTCGGATACCTGAACGGCAGAGCCGGTGCGTTGGAGAAAAGACTGGTGTAATGTTCTGATAGGGACCCAGCCTGCTCGAAACCTGTCTTGTCTTCTCTTTCGTTACCGCTCTCTCCAGGGTACCACAACTTGGTCTTCTGGTCGTTTTCTTTACTTGGTATCTTATCTTCGTTTACTTCGACTTGGAGAACTTGATCAGGCTGCCCGCTGTGCTGCGATGTTTGCTCGATCCATCGCCCCGTTCGCTGATGATGATCGAGCTCCTGGGTTTTGATAAGATCCGAAATAGTCGCGACTGTGGAATCAGTTTTTTGCGCCACCGAAAGCTTCTGGGCACTGTTACAGGATTCCTCGCTATGGGGGTTTCTGATTCCTCCCCCACCGTCGCTTCGGATTCTCGTCGGCACATTTGCTTTTATCGCTTCAATCTCCCTAGCCTTTTGAATCTTTCTCTGCTCAGCCTCCTGTTGTTCTATTTTTCTCTTCTCCTTCAACTCCCGTTTAGCTTGTTCCGTTTTTGCTTTTTTCTCCCACTCAGCTGCAGCGGCCTTCCTTTTCCTCTCTTTCTTCTTGGCATTCTTCTCTCTTGTCGTAACTGGCGCCACCCTTTGCACCCTTTTATTATCCTCAGGATTCGAATCTATGTCTATCTTCTTGGAAGAGTCTGGGACCATCGGCTTCATATTAACTCTCTCGTTCGTCTCCTTTGGACTTCTTGCATTTCTAAGCGTAGATTCGTCCAAAGGGCTTATGTTGTCTTGACGAGGCAGATTTGGCCGTGTCACATCGGCAGGGTTCATAGTCTGAGCATCATTATCCCGGGACAAGTTATCTTCAGTCGGGTGCATGGTACTAGGCTGAGCAGTTTCCACACCTCCTTGTATTGTAGCTTCTGTTGCCAGCGTCACATTCTCCTCTTGAAGCGCTCCCACGGCCGCCGCCACGAGCTCATCCCATGGACTTCTAGGAGTATCGTCATTTCGGTTCGTCGGCTCTTCTGCTTGGAGTGTTGCAGAGCTTGGAACAGATGCAGCACTCTCTGCTTCTGAGTGGGTTTCTTGAGGGTCTTCGATCTTTTCGTGATCTGTGTCTGCTATTGGTGATTCGATCCGGGCAGTCATTTTTGGTAGCACAGCGCTCCCAACTTTGAATTTCACGGCAGTTGCTTCATTCTTTTGCGCGGTGTCTGCTTGTGTGTTTTTGGCTCCAGATGGCTTCTTTTTGATGTCTCCCGAGACTAGTTTGCCTTGAACCTTTACGTCCGACTTCCCTGTACCTCTCAAGCTTGCAGAATGCGGATCGATACAGAATTGAGTATATTCTGATTTATTCATTGGACGATATGGGGGATCTTCCTTCTCGGTGTCTTTGGATTTCTTGTTCTTCTTTTGTGCCGCCTTCATCTTCCACCGAGGCATATTCGCTTTTTCTGTCTGAACTTGTCGCTTCTGTTGTAGCTTCTCTAGAGGCGACAGAATCTTTGCGGGCGTGTCTTTGGCTGGGCCCGAGGACTCAGTTGACGTCTTACAGGCTACGGCTTTCTGACTTGGCGCGTGATCCCGCTCTACGTGCTGGTTTTGGGAATTGGCGATCGCCGGGTCACTATGGGTCTCATATGCGGTGCTTTTTTGGTGCTGTGGCGGTTCAAGTAGATGTTCTGGAGGTACACTGTTTAAATTTCGGGTGATAGGCCTCTTTTCAGGTTTCGCAGATCCATTATTGATATGGGAGTTAGAACCACTAATATTGTTGAGTGTTTCGACACCGTTCTGCTTCATCTGGGTTATTGCCATCTTTTCGTCCTCGCCATGTTCCTTTCTACCAGATTGGAAAGGATCTTGTTGTGGCAATTGTACACTCTCGCTTTGCAGGTTCGGGGCAGCCTTTGGTGATGTTGTAGGTAGTGAGAATGATGACGATGCTGAAACGGTTGAAGACTCTGATGGCCTCCTCTTCTTGCTTTCATTCGACATGCTGTCGGTAGGCGGAGGAGTGTTGTTATTATTATCCGTCGCCGAACGACTTGATGAAGTAAAGAAGAACCGATCAAGGCTCAAGAAGTTTTTATAGTTGAAATCCGATACCGGCATCGCGTTACTTCTCGCTGGTGGGTAACTCTTAGGAATACTTCGGTTGAAAATAACGAGAGGATGTAGCTATAAAATAGCTCAAGATGCCTCCTAGACAGGGTGGGAGGTTTGTAGAAGGTATGTCTTACCAGAATCCACTAGTTAGCTATGCCAGTATCGATAGGATAGTAGATGAATAATAGTTATCTAAGGTGATGCTCTCATGGATGTCACAAGGGGCAGGGTGTCACAGCATCTGATGATTGCGAAGGAAGGGGTGAACTTGAGTTGCACATCTAGGTTGGAATTTATATTGAATGTACGCCGTAGTGTTCATATACTGTGTTAATTTATATGTTTGGCAATCACCTTTTCTCTGAAGAATACCCAGTCGATGGCGCCTTACTCTCAATTCTAAAGTTAACTATGATTTCTAACTCGAACAGCTTCTGAACTCAATTTAAGCCTAGCACAAAATACCTAAGCAGATGTCAAGCCTCATTGGCGATAAACTCCGTATTTAGCTTCAATGTTGTTTAAATGGCTGCCTAGGTAGATGTCTAACTCATTCTGCGATGAGATTTTACGGGGAGAAATTGATATTGAAGACTTAAGTATTTCATTTAATTAAACTAGGTGTGTGGCGCTGTTAGGGATCGTCTAGCCTTCTAAGGTAATCATTCTAGGCCCTTTTTACTAGCTCCATCATGCTAAAACAACGTTAACTGCACCTGCGCGAAAATAGAGAATATAGTACCTGTAGGTAGGTGCATCGTCGTAGATTTGAATCTCAACTTATCACCTTAGTAATCAAAGAAAAATTGCACCCGAGGTAGGAGTCATGAAAATATAGAAAGCTTCAGATAATTTTAAGGGGAACAAGCATAGACACGTGTACAAATTGAGAAGCCGGATGATCCGTAAGTCAAACCGCTACACGGGTGTCGCTAGTGTCGGCAATGGGTCCGTCTGTTCAAGACGGGGCAATAGATTATGTAGGTGATCAAACCCGGCGCGGCCAGGTGACGCCGATTGAGAGTTTTTGGTAAGATGATGCGTCGAAGAGGTCGAATCCGGGAAATCAAACTCGACCACAGGCAGGTAATCTCAAAGGATCTGGGATGACGTGGACTGTCAAGTCTGGTATTCTGAATATGAAGTAGGACGACGCTTAATGTAACAATCGACAATTCAAGCTTTTACAAGCTTTTCAGTGCGCCATATGGGCCATATCATAGCCTAACAACATTGATGAGTTTGTTACAAGACGGGGTTTATACTGACGTAAGTCAATGCAAAACTCGCTATCGATCTAAAATCAGTTACCTGCAGGAGTATTGTGCGCAGGTAGATCTTGATGTCCCCTATTTGTACGCCAACTAGGACGGGTAGATGGATGGGCAAAAATGGAGAAAAAAAGATCGTCGCCGTGTTCGACATATCAGCATATGTACGCTGTATATGATCAATTCATGGAAATCGCAGAATGGAGGCCGCCCTTTAAGGATTTTCCTTTGAAAACGGAATCTGCGGTTGGATCCGCAACTGGGAAAGCCAAAACGAAACTAAGCCAGTCTATTCTCCTATTCGCTGGTCCTCTAGCTTTTATCCCTGTTAGCTAAACATGCCACCTGCCCAATATCTACCAAGCTTTTTTGCCAAGGCCCAATCCTTGGCAATGTGAAATTTGGGCGCGTTTTAAAACTTTTAAGCTAAGGGAACCCGAAGATCCCCTCATCCCCTGTCCCTTGTTCCCTGTTCTCTGTTCTCTGATGCCCCCCCTGATTGAAAAACCGACTGGTCAAAACCAATGCGAGAAAACATCACAGCCTGACTGAAGCTTCTCTGGATAGCTCGGAATTGTGATCAATTTCAAATCTCACGATTCATCATCCCTTGTTCCGCCTGTTCATGCCTAATTCTTCTTACGTACTTCTCATGTAGGAGTACGAATACCCGTGAAAAAGGGGGCAATGGCAAGAATGGGAGGCCTGCTGAGTCGGTCGTATTCACCGCCACGCCTCTTTAACCTGCATGTATGATGTCGGTGTGCTAATTGAAGGCCTAGGTCGAGCAGTTAAGGAGATTCTGCATGTCAAGGATAGTGATTCACTAGCTTTATTACGTACGTACCTACCTACCTAGGTATGTATATAGTACAGTTCCGGCAAATCAGCTACGCCAGCTACCTGCTATGAGATGCCTCAGCAACTAAGCTACCCCGCATAACGGATTTCATCCCATCCCCGTCTCATCCCTACTAAGTAGAATTTAGTACCTGTAACCTGTGAGAAACGCTGCGCTGGAACGTGGGGTTGTACAATTGGAGAGTTACCGCACTCAATTCGTATGTGTAGACCGGCCTACTACTAGGAAGGTACGAGAAGGTATTTAAGGATACAATATCCTCTCCCTTTCCTAACATTTTCATCTCCGTTACGAGTCTCTTCTAGTCTTCTCTCTTTGTGCGACATATACTACTATATTACTCTATATATCGAACCTCATATTCCCGCAAAAATGGTGCATCTAGCCAAAGTACCCAACGCGGCTGAAATGGCGGAAGGCAGTTTACCCGAGGTCGTCAAGAAAATCAGTCTGCAGCTAAGTAACGACGAAGACAGCTTCACGACTAGCGTCTATGGGTCGAAGTTCGCGGCCGAGGACCTCCCCAAGCACGAAATGCCAGAGGGCGAGATGCCCAAGGAAATCGCTTACCGCATGATCAAGGATGAGCTAAGCCTAGATGGTAATCCGATGCTTAAGTAAGTTATGACGTAAACGTCTCCTGACGATGTTTCGATGCCGTCTTCTAGAATCTCCGCCTGGAAAACGAGGCGAACGTGGGCTGATAAGCTAACCACTTATTTTCTTCATTATAGCCTTGCCTCATTTGTTACCACATACATGGTACGTAACACCCCTTAATATTTGTCTTGGCATTGGGGGTCTCGTGGTGGCGTTACATCGTATGGAAATCACCCGCAGTTGACACTAACCCTTTCGATCAGGAAGAAGAGGCTGAGAAGCTTATGGCTGAGAGCTTCTCTAAGAACTTCATCGACTATGAGGAATATCCCCAGTCGGCCGACATCCAGAACCGATGCGTGTCTATGATTGGCCGGCTATTCAATGCCCCCACTGAGCACGAGGAGGGTGGCGGTGCTGTCGGCACCTCATGTGTCGGAAGCTCTGAGGCCATCATGCTGGCTGTGCTAGCCATGAAGAAGCGGTGGAAGAACAAGCGCGTTGCCGCTGGCAAATCTACTGACAAGCCTAACATCATCATGTCATCGGCTGTTCAGGTATGTTGGGAGAAGGCCACGCGTTACTTCGAAGTCGACGAGAAACTGGTCTACTGTAGCCCCGAGCGCTTTGTCATCGATCCTAAGGAGACCGTCGACCTGGTAGATGAGAACACAATCGGTATCTGTGTTATATTAGGGACGACTTATACTGGAGAATACGAGGATGTCAAGAGTGTTAATGATCTGCTAGTGGAAAGGGACCTCGACATCCCTATCCATGTCGACGCTGCTAGTGGTGGCTTTGTAGCCCCTTTCGTCGTTCCGGATTTGGAATGGGACTTCAGATGCGAGAAGGTTGTGTCTATTAACGTCTCCGGACACAAGGTGAGTCGGAAAAGGTGGACATAGGCCACAATGTTGCCCCCTATTGTGCTAGGCTAACAACATCTACAGTACGGCCTAGTATATCCTGGTGTCGGTTGGGTGGTATGGCGAGACGCCAAATACCTCCCCCAGGAGCTTGTCTTCAACATAAACTACCTAGGCGCTGATCAGTCATCCTTCACGCTAAATTTCTCCAAGGGCGCTTCCCAAGTAATCGGACAATACTACCAATTAATCCGGCTAGGCAAGAAGGGCTACAAGGCCATCATGTCCAACCTAACGCGTACGGCGGACTACCTATCCGACTCTCTCACAGCTCTCGGATTCGTCATCATGAGCAAGAAGTCCGGCGAGGGCCTACCGCTCGTAGCCTTCCGACTCGCAGACACAGAGACGGAGCGCAACTACGACGAGTTCGCGCTGGCGCACAAGCTGCGCGCGCGGGGCTGGGTAGTACCCGCGTACACCATGGCGCCACACACCAACGACCTGAAGATGCTACGCGTAGTCGTGCGCGAGGACTTCACGAAGAACCGCTGCGACTCCCTCATCACCGACATCCGGTACTGCCAACAGCTGCTCGACCAGCTCGACAAGGAGTCTATCCTCAAGCAGGAGGAGTTCATCCGCAAACATGCCATGAACAGCGGCCAGGCAAAACACAACCACCCCCGCTTCCGCGTAAGTCTTATACCCCGTACCCCGCCCCCTATTACCCCTTTGTTTGCTTAGGTCTGTCTGCTGACGTGTCGATAGAAAGAGAAGCATTCCATCCAGGGGAAGCATGGGAAGACGCATTCGATTTGCTAGAATTCGTTGGTGTGGTGGATATCTGTGTCTGATGTTTATTAGCAATGTAGTGGGAGGGTGGATGATATAAGGGGGTGGGTATGGTTAGACAGATGTATAGAAACCTTTGCGGATACGGTCGACGGTGATGTAGACGGGCTTCCTGGTTATGACGAATGGTAACTCATGATGGGTAGGGTAGGCGGCGATGACGTTTCCCCTATTTTACTCGGATTTGTTTGTGCTTGGCGCGAGAGAAGGTCTATAGAATTGATTATTCATGATATGAAGAAAATGGCGTGTCAAATTTTCGTGGTATGTGGTTAAGGATGAGGGCTTACCTATTGATCGCCGAGCAGGTATGGTGCTTCACCAAGGCATATAAGTTCTGGGTAGTCGTTCCTAGAAAGGCGATATTGTAGAATATGGTAAGTACCAAGGAAGCAGAAGGAAAATATCGCGGGTCTCGGTCATCACTGCGATCGGGGGTCAGCACTGCTATTGTTTGTAGGGGGAAATGCGTTCTTGGTGATTATGCGCTGAGTGGCATGGTGTGTCAGTGATGGGGAGACGTTGATCCGTATCGTGATCGATGCGACTACGGGCGCGTAGAGATTAATAGTGCTTTTGTAGGTGGTAGATAGTTGGAATAGTGACACTATGCGTACAGGATACTAAGAAGGTATAGGTGGGCGAGCGGATGGACTGCTCTGTCGGTAAATATAAAAATATATTTCATGGCGTACTTAAAGATGAATGTGTATGGTGGTTGTCAGGCGGGATTCTAGGAATGGGAGTATGAAAGGTGTAGTGATAAAAAGGAGAAAAAGGAATTGCCAGGTGCTGGGATCGAACCAGCGAGCTTCCTCGGAGCATTCGTCATCTATGATCAGTAGGTGGATGTGCAGCTTGAAAGCTAGAATAAATTCTTTGTAATACGCACGGAACCTGCTACCGGCTACTTACACCATATCGGAATATTCTTGGAGCGACTCCTTTAGTCGTACCTGGTTGCCTGGCATAATTTTATAACGGTATATAAGTTCAACGCACTGGGTAATTATCGGCTATCATGAATCAACCGAATTACTTGCATTCATACATACGGTGCTGCTTTGAGTTAAATATTTTGCTTGCATACTTCGAACCAATGTCAGTCCGCTAGTTCTGCGTACAGAAACCTCCTCACATGGCTTCTTTAGCTAGGATTAAGAGGAAAACCCTCTGACAACCTAGATGAAAAACCTCATATTCCTATAGAACTCCAGGATTCCTGCGTTACATCTGGTCCCCTTTATATCCGTAGGTAGGAGTTCCATACCTCACCGTATGATACCTTAGGCCACGCTAAGGGGGCTTCCTGCTTTCTCTTGGTTGATTCGGAGGAATTTCTCTGTGCGTTTGTTAATAATAGAAAAAGAAAAAAAAATTAAATTTAAAAAAGGAAAAACAATAACCAGGTGCTGGGTTCGAACCAGCTGACTTAACGGAGTTCTTTCTTCATCTGTAATGGGTTATCTAGACGAGTTAATTTAGAAGCTACAACCTTAGTACCACACCACATCGTAAAGACTCTGAAAAGCGAACGACTCTCCTCCCCTGTCGTACCTGGTTACCATAAATGACTTTACAATGATATATAAGTTCCATAATCCAAACATAGCAACCTGCAAAATGGCCGGAATAGTTACCAGGTAGGTTAGGTACCCCGTTGATAACCAATTTTCCTCGTACACAAACACCACACAATATCTATCTGGTGCACCTCAACGCACAATATCAAACATTTATGAACTAGTCCTAAATCCCCTTCATTAATAATTCCACTTCACATAGTGTCATTCTCTTGTTATTATCAAGATATGTACCTACTGCCTTGGTACCCGATATTACCGCTTTCCATAGAAACATCTGCCATTTATCTCTATTAGTAGGTAATTACTGGCCACACAAATGTACCCCTAGAATCCCCTAAGGGAGTGCTACGCTTTAATTAACAAAATGGGTAGGATTGGCAATCTGCTTTCAATTATTAGGAGATATTCTATCTTGAACTCAAAAGCCTTACCGACATAAAATTAATACCTGGTACTCTTATATGAACTACATAATTTTTTTTTAGAGATCCATATGGATATGTTGTTGAATACGAGTACCTTCTTTTACCAATTTAATCATATCACCCCTTAGGGGACTGTCGGGTGGGTGTTCCAGTAGCTAGCACTATTAATGACTAGATCTCACGACACTGGAATCTCATCACGAAAAAGTAGACTATTTTTAATATGCCCTGTAAGTGATTGAATTCAGAAAATCACCTAACTAATTGTTTTCGCGCAACCTAATTCCCTCCCCCTAGACGAAGTCCATATATGCATGACGTCTCTTTGTACGAACTTCTTCGTTCGTACCAGATCCGCCACCTTGGTCTGGGTTCTCGTCATTCTCGGAATCACCACTGCTCTCCGTGATCCAGCCACTACCCTCGGAGTCACTATCGTCCTCTGAGTTGTCAACCTCGACTTTAGCAAGTTCGTCCCTGATCGCCGGGGACAGGAGCCTGACAGTCAGATGCGGAGCGTCGGTTACCACCTCAAGCTTCTTATCCATCTTTCGGCCCTGTCGGAGGATAAATCTAGTTACCCCCTTCTCTGCTTGAGCTTGAGCCTGTTCTTTGATTTGGCCCAAGATGCGGTGGAGTAGCAGAATGGTTTTCTTGATTGGTTTCTTCTCTGTCCACTGATCGACCTTCGTCTTTTCTTCAGGATCTTCGTCATCGGAGCCGCATTTGGGATGGCTTCTCTTCCTGGAGCTGGCATTGAAGAGCTCGAAGTCATCAAAGAACTCGATACGTCTAGCCTCTCGATTGTGAATATACTTGTAAAGAAATGCTTTTTGGCTTTGGGAAAGCCACAAGTAGGACATCAATCTAACATCTCCAATGTAGGGATTAGCCTTGCCAGAACGTTTGCGAGGCAGCATCTGTGTCTGCTCATTTGCGAGTCCCCGTGTCAGGACTGCCGTATAAGCCGGTAGGTCGTCGTTGTGGGGACGGCTGGCATCCTACTCCAAACCGTCTGGTCCCTTGATGACACCATGGTCAAGTGATTGACATACGTGATGGGCGGACAATGCTTGCTTCTCATCTTGGATAACCATTCTAATATCTCCGATGGCGTAAGAAATCACCCGTTTGAATGTCTTGGTTTCCTGTGGCTCTTTCCAGCCACCTTGTACCGCCGGGCCATAGCACCAGTGCGTTGCTTCCTTTCTCAGATATGTTGCCGCGATTTTCACGTCCCAGTCATCGCAATTATGAAGATTCAAAATCTTCATGAACACCGTACGGTCGATAACTTCCACAGCAATAAAAAGGCCTTTGTTCCTCTTGTACTTATCTCCATGTTTCTTGTTAGTCACTTCAGTGTGCAGGGTTGCGAAAATGCCCCACATCGTATCAACATCCGTCACGAACTTGGCCGACTTGATGAGATTAAGCTGCTGTTGTTCAATAGCGGCGCAACAGAGGTTCTCAAAATAGAGCTTCGGTCGATCAAAACCGACCGGTTTCACCACATCTAACACACGTTTCTCTAGGTTGAGGTTCTGGGCCGATGGTGGGCATCCTTGAAATTTTGTTAGCTTTGGAACCTTTCAATGAAAGATTGATGTCGGTTATTCCGGAACTATTGCTTACCAGACACAACCACGACACGTGAGTCGGCGGATAGCTCGTTGTACTCATATTCCTCCTCATCATCAGAATCGTCCACGAAGAGGCCAAGGTCTGGCTGACTAGGTACCGACAGCGAAGAATTGGCCTCACTGAACATGGCGCTGAATTGAGCACCGGAGACCATGGACTCAGCAGCAACTCGATTGTCTTCCACATCAGGGTGGTCCTTGGTGGGATCTTCAATGTTGTTTCTATAATCAATGAACGTAAATAGCTCCTTGAAGGCCGAGATATTGATTGGATCATCGTTCTCGTTGCTGGATGGAACCAACGAGATTTCGGGTCTACCCACTGCCTTAGATCTAGGCATTGTATCTAGACTTGACCTGCCGGCTTGGAAATATTTAGTAAGGTGATTATCATACTAGAATGAAAGGGAATTGATATGGCGAGACTCAAATAAAATGCTATATTAAAGTGCAGCCAGGTGAGAGTGATGGGCGTGTGGGAGAAGAGGTAGAAGTAGGAGAAGTAGGAGAAGAACAATACTTGATTGATTGGTCCTTACCGATGAACAAGTTTGAATATGGATTGATTGGTTTGGGTTTTCGGAAGTAGGATAGATGGAAAAAGTAGGGAATTTAAGAATGTGTGAAGTGGGAGGTGGAAATGTGGATAGGTGGGAGTGGCGGGAGCGGGAGAGGTGGGTAGAATATTTGGTCAACTAACTGACGCGTAGAGGTGCGGAAGTGAGAGGTGAAAGAAGAAATAGAAATGCGCTAGGTGTGTGTGAAATGGGAGGTGTGAGAGAGGTAGAAGAGTGCATACTAAATCAGCTGGCACTTACTGGTACAGGGAGTTTAGGTTGGTCGAGGATTTCAAGTTGAAGGGATTCGAAATCTTGGAGGTGAGGATAAGATGTTTAGTTTTAGGTGAGGAAGTTTTGTGTGTATATATAGTATTTCAAGATCAACAGGCTCGACACCTTCCAGACAGCTACATAAATAAAAGGCGGCAGGAATACAGTGGTAGGCGACGACAGATGGAATTAAGAGTCGTCCTGGTTACTAAGTACTAAGTACTAGGTACCTAGGTAGATAGGTCTGGGTCTAGGTACAGCTAATACTGGAGTTTAGGACTGTTTTCTAACCTGCCAGGTGGAGAGACTACCTAATGACCTAGCCAACATGGCTGTGCACTTACCAACCCTAGGGGTTATCCGTGGGCGCTTAGCCAGACCGATACGTACCACGACGATGATCTTCAAAGTACCTAGGTACCTAGTAATACTTATAATACAATCATTTCTAAGGAGTCACAAATCTAGCCCTATCAATATAATGCAAATTTTGGCGAGTAACATCCATTAAAGTATATTGTGCTAATAATATATCAAATAATATATTGCGGATACATATATAATGACTACCTAGGTACCTACCTAGTACTTATGTACCTAGGTATACTACAAAACAGAAGCACAGCCCATAATAGAATCACATTTAGACTACGCATACTTTGTATTATCTTAGTGATCAGTACCAACGCAACCTGTATGTACGTCGAAACGAAGTGCTTTTCCACCGGTCAAGAAAGGGCAATGGAACCTAGGTACCTAAGTATCATCTCAAGTCTCAGTCAATATGTGGCTGATGACTTTGGCTCCCGGGAACCGTGTTCTTGATAGCGTGATATCACAGATAGACCCAAGCCGTGTACATATATAGGTACTACCCGACCATAAACCCTACTCCTTTTCGATGGTGGCATCAGCCCAACATGTCACGAGTGCTTTCAATTTTATCTTTAGAATAATAGTAAGACGTCGTGTTGCTAGAAACGCACACAACCGTACCATAATGGTTTTTGAGGACACTAATCGTAGTAGCGTCTCTGGCACGGGGGATTTGGCGCGTCTTGTAGAGCTGATCTATCGTAAAAGGATTATAACGCAACAAGATCGCCCAAGTTCGGTTCGTGCTTCAAGATACGTGTACTAAGTATAGTACGAAAGTATTAATTAGTAGTATCTTCGGCCTCCAGCAACGATATTAATCATATAAACAAGATGGGTGACATACTATAGAGCAAAAACTGCACCTATATTTATGAGCCGCCTTTTCAGTCGGGGCATTAACTCGGCAGGCCTACCGCGCTTTTTATCGATGTAGCCATAGATCCACTGTAGACCTTATATCTACAGAAAGCTATTCTGCACAGGATCTTTCATAATTAGATACTTGTAGAATTATCTACTAGGTAATTAAAAGGGGAGGGAAATAGGTAGAGAGGCGGTTGTATTAAGAACTTAGCTATGCCAAAAAGGGGAAGAAAGGTCTCCAAATTAATATGTGGGGCGGTCCTGCTTCTACAAAGTTAGGTACCTAACCTTAGGTACCTACCTAATTACCCATCACTCATACAAGGCTAGGTAGGTTCGGAAGGTGATATCGACTGCACAATATGATGACATGGGGTTGTGGTATTGAATATTCAGGGGTTATTTTGCGTGCAATATCGTCTATCTCGCTGATTATCGTGATTGGCCATTTCGCCTCCTACCTCCAGATTTGCTCCTCTCGATATGATTTTTCAAAATATTCCTTGTCGTTACCAGACTTCGCTTCTGCTTCGACTTCGCCTTGCCTAGCGTCATCATAAAGTTTTTCCTACGTGCTTTCTCCTTGTTGGTTGTGGATTTGCCCTCGGCGTCCTTCTTGGATTTGCGTATAGCCTGCGTGGACTTGTGCTCCTCACGATCCGGCTTACCCTCTTTGGCCAAGGCTATCCGCTCCTCCTTGGTACTCTTGCGAAGTTTAGATGGAGCCTCGATCTGCTCTGCCGTCAAGCCTTCGTCAATGTGTCGTGATTCCATCTCTTGCTTGCGTTTTCGATTTCCCATAGCCTTGTTGACGCTGGCCTCTAATCGCAATTCGCGGAGCTTAGCCAAGTCGGCTGGGGTCAGAATTTGGGTTGTGGCCAATTTCAAGAAATCGATAGCTTCATCTCCCGCATTCTCTTTGTCCTCTCCTCCTAGGTCTTCCGATCCGGTCTTTTGCCTCTTCGTGTCAGGCTCAGGCTCTGCTTCATCCTCTGAATCGCTCACTCGAATCCATTCGCCAGAATCACTGCTATCCGATGATGCTACCTCCCAGTCATCTGAATTCCATCCATCCTCTTCGTTTTCGCCTTTAGGATTTCCAGCACCTTCTTCCCCTTCAGGTATACCCCGTTCCGCCCGTTTCCGCACTTTTTGCTCTTCCTTCCATTTTGCCAGAAGTTCAAGGCCATCGATTCCACCAACCTCCTCCTCACCAAACCTAAGCTGCTTCAAATCGCCACTCTTGAGTCCTATAGTCGCGTCCTTGCCACGATCTTTTTTCCGTAGCATGTCTGCGCCCTTTTCGCGGTATAGCGAGAGCAGACCCTTCGCAGCCATCATGACACCCTTGTCTTTACTCTTCCTATACTCGACTAGATCTTGGAGCAATGTCTCATTCATAGCCAGCGGTTGTCGGGCACAGATCTCGCGGATCGCATTGAGACCTGCAGAACAAACTTCTGAAGCGGACGCCTCAGACACGAATTCGTTCGCAATCTTTTGTATCAAAGGCTCAATTGCGTCTGGTGGTACCAGGTTATGCGTCCCTTGGGCGAGTGACGCTAGGAAAGATGAAGCTGACTGTTGTCTTGGAGTGAGATGTTTGATGAACCAGGAGTATAAGGAGATGACTGTAAGCTTGTGTAACCCAACTAGACGTGTGACAAGCTGTAAAACCAGGAGCTTGCTCTCGAGAGCGATTTTGGACTTTGAGTTTTGAAGTTGCTTCTCGAAAAGGTTCTCGCTAAATCCTTGAGGATCTTGTAGTAAGTGCAAAGCCGAGAAGTTGAGTGGATGAGACGCATTCTTCTTGCGTTCCTGTCTCTTAACTCGATCGACGGCCCGATCAAAAGCCTTTTTAGACTTCTTTGTCTTCTTGTTGATCTCAATCAAGTGCTTAACCTTCTTGATATCAACCGTTTCCTCGTCGCTACTTTCATCCTCAAACTCATCGCGTTCCTTGTCTCCCCCTAAAAAGAACCTTACGCCCCCAATGATCACCTTTTCGCAATCCGCTAAACATGCTTGGCGCATAATATCAACAGTCCTAGCATCCGCCCAGATTTGGCGACGCCATAATTCTCGTACTAGCTTCACAGCCCATAAAGCTTTCGGCGATGATCTATCCGAGGTGACAAGATTGTAGAGCACAGTCTGCATGGTCCGATTCACTTTATGATTTGTCGTCTTCGTGTTCGTATTCCGTATGTCGCTTAATATTTTCTGGTAGAGGATCATGCGTAAAGACTTCGACGGAGTGCTAATGAGGATCGGAAATAAGGTGGTGAGTAGGAAGTTGCTGTCGATAACATCTTTTCGCCTTAGTAGAGTAAGGCTGGAAACAATTTTCTCCCGTAGTGTCGGTTCTAATACGGCATGATGTTTGGTAAGGACATCTTTAAGAGCGTCGGGGAATGTTGCGGTGATCTGAGGATACAATTCGGCGCAATGGGCAACTATCGGTACTTGTGAGCTTGAGTACGCAAAAGGTAAGGAGGGAAGGCCGCCTACTTAGATCTATCTGCTCACGGAAGGTTATCAGGGAGTTTGAGTCGGCTCCTACGGGAGCGGCAAGGAATTTTTCATGCGCTGCATCAAATTGTTGCCAATTCTCAATGAACTCTTTTTCGTATGCCCTGTAGACGGATTGTTAGATAATATACAACAAGCGCAATGCGTATATACGCACTCTGGGTCTTTCCGAATCTTATACTGGAGACCAGCAAGATCCGCTTCAATCTTCTCGAGCGCCGCGACTTTTCTCTTCCCCATGGCGCTGTCTTCGATTGCGCAATATAGGACGGTGCTGGTTGTTGTAAGAACCAGGTAGGTATTGTACAACTGCAACATAAAAATCAATCTTAGGAAAAGTGGAAGATTATCGCAATCGTTATCGTTATCTTATCAATTTATGGGTCTGAAGTACTAGGTACTTAGCACTCTGTAGTACATCTCGAGATTAAATTCCTCCCTTCCTTCAATAACATTTTGTTAGTCACTTGCAACATGTCGGTTTTCATGTATGGTTTGTCTTGTCTCATTTCAATATCCTTGCTTAACTACAGAATATCGCAAGTAACGAATTACTATTAAAATACTACATAGTACTAGCACGACAACACTGTTGGCTCAGATTAAACCACAGATGGCTTTTTTTATTCTCTATCCATATGCCTCTATATTTCTTCCTCAAACATTTATATACATCTATCATCAATCTCTTCTAAGAAGAATGTGAAGCAAGTTTGGCATCCTTCAATATTTCATCTGTCGCCTTTTCCGCGAGCATGAAAATAGGGCACACTGGAAATGCACCGGGCACTGAGGGGAAAGCAGACGCGTCGACCACGCGCAAATTCTTAACACCATGAACCCTGAATTTTGAGTCTAGGACCGCCAATTTGTCATCAGCAGGTCCGATCCCACACGTACTCGTGGCGTGGTGTGAGTACGTCTGCAACTTTAGGAACTCCTTCTGCGCTGCATCCGTGCAGTTCTGATTCTTCCCCGGACACGGATGTTTCTCGTCAAAGGGGCCAATAGGCTCGCCAACAGCCGTGATGGCCTTACGGAATATCTTAGCCGCGTCTAGCATCTCCGTCAGATCCTCATCCTCGCCGTGCTCGAAGAAGTTGAAGTTGATCTCCGGAGGCTCTTGCGGATCATTAGAGCGCAAATGAACGTAGCCCGTCTGTGAACGGGGGTTCATGTGTACAAATGCGCACTCGTATTCCGAAGGACCATATTCGGTTGGAAATCCGGGCCAGAACCCTTCGAAGGAGAAGGACTTGCACCATCCGTAAATATTGCGGTTCTTGCGAGCTGTGGGTGTCTTGAGCAGCACTGCAAACGGTCCCGAAGATCCGTTCAGTGGCTTACTAGCCAGTGCAAGCACGCCTCCTTCGTAATTGTCCGCCAATTTTTCGCCAACTCCGGGAAGGTCCTTGACAACGGGGATATTAAAATTTTCTAGTTCTTCAGCAGGACCGATACCGCTGAGCTTAAGAATTTGCGGCGAGTTAAACGCTCCACCCGCGATGATAATTTCCCTATTAGCAAACAACTGGATGACCTCTCCCTTGGTACCGTTATAGCGTGGGTCAGCCTTGTACAGAGAAGGGCCACGAATAACTTCAACTCCGATTGCGACGGGCTCTTCAGCGTCTTCGGAAAAGAGCACCTTGGTCACAAGACTCTGAAGTTGGACGGTTAGAGGAAACTTTTCTGGGTCATCTAAGGTTGCCCGGATGTAGGTGTTTGTCCCAACGCGATGTCCATTAAGGTCTGCATGACTGGCAAGTCCAAAGACTCCCGTAGATTGATCTCGATCCGCGTCGGGGGCGTTGATATCTCGTGTTACCTCGCCCCCAACCACGTTGATGATACCTTTTGCGATTTCCTGTATGTCGGAGGTTTGTTGCATGAAAGCAGGATCACTAATTGTCACGTTTAGGTAACCGTTATATCCATGCCCAGGGGTCCCAGCTGGTACATATTGAGCCGTCTCAATTCTCTCGAAGTACTGTCTCATATTCTTTGCCAGCCATGTCTCGTCCCCGGTGCTCTCGGCTATCGCGTTCCAGTCGTCATCGGAAGGTAAGTTACACACTCCGCCGTTATGCACTTAAATGATAGAAAGTTAGCAGGTACTTCTTAGATAATTATCTATAGGAATTGCGAGCGCGTTTCTGAAGTAATGATATCCAAAGCAACTAAGCCTTCATGGAAAGCAAAAGGACTGGATTTTACATACTCGCACAACCCCCGAGAGTGGCCGAACGAGGGTAATATATTCCTAGTCGTTTAGATCCAGCCGGGGGATCTAAACCGACGTAGAAGGAACCGTCAGGCTTACGCCACGTTGTGTGTTCGTATTTCCCCTCACGTTCTTCGTCCGAAGAATGCTTAACGAAGAAATCCCACCGCGATTTTTCGTCATTCGCTGCGAGATTGAAATTGATCATCTCCGAGTAATTCTTATTATTGCCTAAGTCGTCACCCGCCTCTAAGAGTAGTGTTGGGTAACCTGCTCTCGCAAGATTAGCTGCAAGCGGCGCCCCACCAGGACCTGATCCCACGATGATGTAGTCATAGCTGGCAGTTGTCTTCGCAATGACTCCGGCGAGGGCTAGCAGCACTAGGGCAAGGGCTTGTCGGACCATATTGGTAAGACGAATCTCCGTCTAGGTACCTAAACTACACGTTGGACAGATTGAACGATGGATGCCCGCATGAGGTGAAAAGTATCCCTTTATACCAATGGAACGAGTAACACTAAATTCAACACTTCCCTAGGGGAAGCTCGAGCCCATGTTCATCGTCGCTTTTGGTGCGGAGTAGATGATAGCGGTATGCCCAATATGATAGGATATGGAGCTATGATAGCGACCGCGACCGATCCGGCTAAATGGGTAGTTGGAGAAAACCTCGGAATTTCGCAGGACGACAGATTCGGGGACGTTCATGGTGCGTTTTCATTATTATCCGGCATGCCAGAGCCGTTGCGGCTGATTACGAGCAACCCGGAAATTCTATTCTTTCCCACCCAAGGACTCGTATGATCCAGATAACCATGCGCTCGTTTAATGCAATGATAATTGATGGTTCTAATCTAGCCCTCAGAGGTGTTCTTTCGCCAAGGCCTTGCCCGATACAACTTTGATAATCACAGGAAGCGCCATTTTCTCGTTGCGTATAGCTACTACAAGTAATAACTTATCTATATACTATACTTTCGAAGATTTTTAATTCTATAGAGAAGCGACCCGTTTCACATCCTAGTTTTCCCAATATTGTTAGGGCTGGATGAAGCAGCAGTTGAGATGGACTAGGGCCATACCCTGAATCCAATCAGCGTGGGCACAGCCCCCTGTCGCATCCAAAAGAGGAAATTTCTAGGACAACCCGATGGGTAGGAAGCTACGGCCGAGACATATACTCAGGCCCTTACTTCTCTACGAGTCGGGGGTGTTGATTCACGGAGTGGTTTGACGTCTCGTACATCCCGAGCCTGACCTCCGGTTCTTCGGATGAAGACGGCGCCTTCCCTAAAGCGAGAAGCGTTCGTGAAGTTTCTCGGAAGACATTCAACAGTTAAATCACAACATCTTATTATATCTCCATCTGGGGTCTTTATACTTAACGAGACTTAAGAGGTAAATATATATATCAGATTCGTTTCCTGTTTCTTTTAGTATTAAACCTCCGAATCTGTTTCTTCATAGCCGCGACACTTGAGATTCACTCGTGGTATGCATTTGGCGCAGGAGCCTCTGTATACTCAATTCATATTATTCACGAGGCTAAGGCTACATAACCAAAATGAATAGGTAGTAGTCACGTCTTTCCATATATAAGATTATCTAGATGAGCAGTAAATAATCTTGACATCTTTATGTGAGACAGCGGTAAGATGGGAATCTGGGCTCACTAATGACTGCCTACAATCAGTAAGTAGTTTTCTAGGCTACTATAGTAGTAGCATATGAGGAAGTGCTTTAGAATACCATCTTTATTATAACATATGCTTTTTGGGGCGGGATGCTCTTCAGAAGAAATTTTGCGAGGCAAGAGTTAGGAGCAAGTCTCGTCGGAACATCGGGAGGTTGGCTAGAACCTGGTGGGAGAGCGCTAAGACCACCTAAGTTGTAGACAGGAAACTAATGCACCCATCTCCATCGGCAAGCCTAGAATCTACATCCATAGTAGACCAGCGATCTTTGTCGTAGCGACCGTGTAGAAAACTCTAATCCGACCGATGAATGATAAGCCGCAATCTACTCTCCAATCACGAGAGGTAGTACTCTCTGTTTGCCACTTGGACATATCATGCCTTATCGTGCGTTCTTGTCACGCTTCAAGCTCGGTAAAGAAGGGAAATGTCGGAGTGACACAAACGATAGCACCGATCGGTACGATCTTTTAGTCGGTTAACATTGAGTTCTATTTCATACTCTACGGTGTTATGTCCATGGTACGACTAGATGAATACGATAAATGCCTGATTACCTCATTAGCGTAGACCAAGACGCCTGACAAGTTGCTCGGTCGTCCTACATGGAACCGCCGCCGGCCTGTGTAGCAATCACAATGGAGCTGGCCAACTTTTAAACACTCGGCATCACGTTGGCCAAGGACAAGCACATATTTGGGGAACAGTTTCATGTCTATCAGATATTAGTGCCCGCTAGATGCCGTACATACACCTACATACATCGATCTCGTTTGAGATGTTACGCTGCATAATAATACTCGGTAGCTACGTACCATATCCATTACAAACGAGTGGATTCAATTTGTATCCACGTTTAGTAAAAAGATCCATAGATAAGAAGACGGGGCACTGGGGAATGATCCTAGCGACTGTGGAGTGAGATTTGAAGGATGTGCTAATAGTATGGGCTTTTGAGATTTCATCCTCATACTACGCACGGTGCGATTTTGATGAGCCAAACAAAGGCCATGCATTTTATCTTACTCCCTACCACCTAGGTATGGTGTGCCTCTATTATTAGCCCTGAATTAGTGTGAAAATGCAACAGTTATCTCCGTCCATAACCGCGAATACTACGTTGGACAAGCTTTTTATCATTAGGATTTATATATACCGAAGTAGGCAGTGACGAAGCAAAATACCTATCCAGAGGTAACAAAATAACGATTACCCAACTACCCGTGTCCCCCAGAATCGAGGGTCAAATTTACTCCAAGATCTAACCTGATCTCTTCCAACCTTTTGTCCAGAAAAGAGGTTCTACCCCGACATATTTATGTAATAGAATAAGAAAATGGGATTAGGCGGCTCCATGCACAATACCACCCGCTCCACAAACGTACCGGGATCCGAAATGATGACATATCGCATAACTCTACACTAATCACAGCATAGTTATCGAAAACAATGGCCTGACGAATGCGTGACTGGGATGATTATAGGAATGCAGCATAAACGATGATAAGATATTATCTATATCCTATAACGAGCGCGAGAGCAGAAACAAAGAAAGCAATGTCTCAAAAGATGAGTACCCGTCATAACAAGCTTCCGTTCCTGTCTCGGCGGTGAAGGAATGGCTAGGAGCCGCTAGGAATCACTAGGAGTCGCCGCGAAGTGGAACCCGTTAGCAAATAGAATAACTCCGACTGCGCTTGATCTGCAACGCTAAGAAATCTCTTCTTTTTCTAGAAGGCCTAGGGACGTACAGGACCAGGGGGTCATGGTGACGTCCACGGGTTCGTGGCGCTAGCGTCGGTAGCTGGGCCAGGCGTAGCTTGGCGAACATCCTGCTACCCATGGATCTTGGTAATTTTACGTGTGCGTGTGTGGTCGAATTCGGCAATGCCTTTTCCGGAAACCAACGACCTTTTTTATTATTACGGGACCGTCCTTCACGACCTGAAATGCTTGACAACTCGACCACGCGAGACCCTTACCTCACTTACATACATCTCGGTATCCTAGGAGGTCTACCGCGGATGGGACCATAACAAGCTAGTGCTTTCAGCCACCAACGTCGACCAGTCGACCACGTAATGTAATGTAATCCCGCCGATCATTAGGGCTTTCGTCACGATACAGAACCGGGGATGCCGGTGTGATTGGCTTACCCACAATGGGGTGAGCCCCATTCATCAGGGCTATCCGGGCTATCTAGCATGTATCTCAGTCTATGTACAGTATGGATGTATGTATGTATGTGCATAGGTCTGAATGAGATGGGCTCGTATACTGTACCGTTTTGTACCCGGTATGGTTTTTTCTTCGGTGGAAGCAAATCCTAATCCACCTGACTACTTTCCTAGTGCGGGTTGTCTCGCCTCACTGGTCAGTCTGGTCTAACTGGTCTAGTTCTTCGGCCGCTTATATTAAAACCCTGAAGCCATCGCTTTCTTTTTTAACTTTCGGCCGTGACCCTACCACCGGGCGCTTTGACTATCTGACCAAAACCTTCCGTCGTCAACCTCATCGTCAGCATCACCTTCGTAATCAATTCACATCTACGACACGAGACGGTCGGTTACCCGGACTTTGCAGACAATATGGCGGACACCAAGAACGAGAAGAATGAGAAGTTGTTCGGCTCAGACCTTCCTTCGGAGCAAGAGTCTAGCAACGAAGTAGTCGGCCAAGTCAGCGATATTTCGGGATTCGAGCAGCAAAAGGCGGCACTTGGTAACGCTCATTTCAACAGGTTAGGATGGAAACGTCTAACGGTTGTGCTCATCGTCGAGGCCATCGCCCTCGGTAGTTTGAGCATGCCGGCTGCATTCGCTACTCTAGGTATGGTTGCCGGAACCATCCTCAGTATCGGTTTGGGCCTTGTCGCTATTTACACCAGCTATGTCGTCGGCCAGGTTAAGCTGAAGTTCCCGGAGGTGCAGCATTATGCGGACGCGGGTCGTTTGATTATGGGCAAATTCGGATATGAATTGGTCGGCGCTATGTTTGCGTTACAATTGACTTTCCTTGTTGGATCCCATTGTCTTACGGGAACTATCGCCTTCCTGAACATTACCAACAACGGCGCTTGTTCGTTGGTTTTCGGTGTTGTATCGGCCATAATCCTCTTACTTCTCGCCATCCCACCATCTTTCGCCGAGGTCGCTATTCTAGGTTACATCGACTTCGTGTCCATTATGGCCGCGATTTTCATCACCATCATCGCCACCGGTATTCAGCGATCTGAAATAGGTGTTGCCTCTGATTGGTCTGCCTGGCCGCAGGATGACCTTTCCTTTACTAAGGCTTTCATCGCCATCACCAACATCGTTTTCGCTTACAGTTTCGCCATCTGCCAGTTCTCCTTCATGGATGAAATGCACACTCCGAAGCACTTCGTTAAATCCATCTGGGCTCTCGGCTTAATCGAAATCGTGATATATACCCTAACTGGAGCGCTGATCTACGTCTTCGTCGGCAGCGGTGTCAAGTCTCCGTCTTTGCTATCCGCCGGTTCTCTTGTCTCCAAGGTCGCTTTTGGCATTGCCCTACCTGTTATTTTCATCTCTGGATCTATTAACGGCACGGTTGTGGCGCGGTACATTCATGGTCGCATCTACAAGAACTCGGTTACTCGTTTCATCAACACCACGAAGGGCTGGGTTACCTGGTTAGCACTTATCACATTCATTACGCTAATCGCTTGGGTCATTGCCGAGGCCATTCCATTCTTCTCCGACCTCCTCGCCATCTCCTCGGCTCTGTTCATCTCTGGATTCACTTTCTACTTCCCGGCTCTCTTCTGGTTCATGCTCATCCGGCAAGGAAAGTGGTACGCTAGGGAGAACATCGTGAAGAGCATCACCAACGGCGTAGTGTTCATCATCGGAATGATTGTGTTGGTCGGCGGTACATATGCCAGTATTGTTGATATCGTAAGTACTTACAGATTCAATTCACCATATTTTATTTTATTTCTAGAGCATATAACTAACAAATCGCAGATTGACCAATACAGAGAGGGTACAGTTCGAGGTGCATTCACTTGTGCTCCATTTGAGTAAACGTACAGGAATGTATGGAAAAGGGGGAAGACGGCCTCTTCAACAATCCCTCGAGGAATAAACGACCACGTCTCTACCACGACGTAATGGCTCTTTGATGACATTATGATACATTTTTTTCGTCGTAGTATCTCATACGAGCATGAGTAACTATGGCATAACGTTTGCTAGAGCGCTGGATAGTACCTCATGTATAGAATCTGATTCACGGCCTTGCAAAGGAGTTAGGTGCATTCTCTAGGACTATATACCTTTGTACATTATTGTTTAGTACTATTTTACCACCTACGACGGTATATCGCATGATGAATAGCAGTCTGATCGAAGATCATTCTTACGGCTATCACATTCCGAACTCTTCGTCATTTGTTCTTTACCCTCGGCATACTTTTCCCGTAAACTGATCGATTTACTGATCGATTTCACCCACAACCGTTTTGCAACTTACCAAGAGGCTTAAATTCAGCGTCCTGCGTCTAATACGCTATATGTCTTGGTGGTTTGTAATGAATATTGCTGGTTGGTTAAATAGTCGGGTTTTAGTCCTAGAATTTTCACCGAGCGCCTGTCCATTCCCTGATCATTAAGACTTCCATCGTATGTTTCACTACCCATTAGGCGACGAACTATGACCCGATAATAACCTAAGAACAGACGGGGTGAACCTAGACTCTTGGTGAATCGTTGCGAATACGTAACGACTTCCGTCCACCCTCGTTGATTGGCGTAACTCTAACCTCTTACGGGAGTTTCCGTATACACCCTACATTAGGATCGCACGTATAGCCAACTCACGGGATTGTGTCTGTCCCGAACTCACGAGAATGACTCGCGCTTCGATATGTTTCTACTGTATTCGAAATAGCTTATACCTCAGGCTTTGTAATAGATCCCGAATGAGCTGTTACTAGCCTCATGCCATACATTTCGTCTGGCAATTCTTCATAAGGACATCTTCCTTCTCCACTTGATGCTTGTTTTAAGCATCATCCGAAAGGTTCGGGTCGAAAAGCGCTCCGATATATAAACCACCTGGTAGTCAAGCAGGTCAAGAGAGTCAGTAATGGACTAGACAGTCCACGATGAGCTTCGGATGCACTGATGTAATGATCGCCTTTAACTATCTACCTTGGGACAGGTTAGTATGTTATAATTGACACATCTTTCCTTGAAATGTAAATGAATGCTAGGTACTTGGTTTACGTGTAGTTGACTGTTACCAAGTTCCTGCATCCGGATTTTGAATGTGGTATTGTTCCTTGTGTTTGACGACCAGATATGGACACGGATGGTGATTGTAGCAAATTGGCATTTAAGGAGATATAGTTCTACCAATGATGGTAGAGTCATCTTTGTCCTATCAAAGTTCAGCCTCTACTCTTGCTAGGAGGTTAGTAATAACTATAGTTACATGAATTTATGAATTGTAATAAGCAACGCTTATAATACATTCATGATGTCAGCGGTTGTCGGGAAACGGCAAGGTACATAAGCAATGCTTAATATGAATGCTGGGATGACATCGATTTTCTGGGGCATACCGATCTGCATTGTCGGAAGGCATTAGCCCTTCGGGGCGGGAAGACGGGAACTATGACGATACTGTACAGAGATGGCCCTGGACTCGATATGCTTGTGTACGTAAAGGATAAACTTTTTGGATCCGCGATTCCCCATAATGAGATAGAATATGAATAAATAAATATGCGTCAGAGTTTATCTTAACTGAATAGAGAGTTAGCATTGACATGACAGTGACGTTTATCGAAGGTCATGCAAGATCGTTAAAAATTAGATAATTCAAGGTAACATTCATGGATGCATCGCAATGCGGGATGGAAAGAGCTACCTAAGATAAAAAAGGTATGGATACCTGCCTACTTATGCGATTCGGTTAATGACAATTGTAGATGCTGTGGGACCAGATCTGAGATATCTGAGATATGTATCTCTATGGATATCTATATCTTCATCCAATAAGGGAAGAAGAGGCTCTTCCATATGATCGCCTCATCGACACTGCAGCTCTTAAATCCCGACCCCCGACCCGACCACGAAAAGGAATTCCTATTGGCCTGTGCTGCGGCATCTGATAACGTTAAAACAGATATTGATCTACAAATGTACCAATGTACCTATATACTTAGGTACATGGGCTACAGTGCAGTCAGTCCGTTGCTTAGAAACAGGTATCGCTCTTACCTTGGAAACTCTCTGTGTAAAGAACAATGGATATTTGAGCAATTAACTCGAGCTTTGCTGCGTAGATGAAAGTAAAATTGGTAGGCACCACCAAACGAATTTTCATTTGAATCAATTTGTATTTGGCAAGTACAACCAGAGTCTGGAAGGTCAGGAAGGTGCAGACCCCATATCTTTGCTTCCCAGCCTTCCATCCCTCGCAGCTCTCGATAACTTGGAAGGAAGGAAAGCACCTCCGCACCTGAACCCGCCTGAACTTCCCCAAAATATCCATTACTCTCAGGCCCCCAACACCTGAAAAGGCAAAAACATACCACTAACATACCACTGCTGACATCCCGTAGATTAGCCGTGTGGGGACCTTTGAGTCAACCAGCCTGCCAGCCTAGGGTCTAGCACGAGGTAGGGAAAGCTTTGATACACCACCTTGGCAGTTGCATTTCGCACCTCTCCACAGTACTACGACCGACCAACCGACCTCATTTCGACCATTCAATCCAACAAGGAGTTTTTGACGTTCGACCTTAGTTGTAACTCTACATCGCTCAATTCAATTTATTTTTCCCTCTACTTTTTTCTCTATCAACGACAATTAATTAAATAGAGAAATAAAAAAGAGGAACGGTTTAGGAATAAACCGTTCGACGAACGTCGATGAGAAAATTATTCCATTTAATCGGTCGCATGTAGCCAACTAAATTTCAACCATGTCTGCCGAAGCGACCGCCGCAATGGCGTCTGCGCCCAAGACTGAGATGGTTGAGACTGAAGTCGCAAGCGATCCTCCGAACAATAACAACAACAACGATGCACTTAACAACAAGCATACCGGCCTTCACTCACCGCCCGATAGTAACAGCGCAATGAAGTTGGACGGTAGCGACGATTCCGAGCTGAGTGATTTGGACGACCCAGATCTCATCGACATGACCGTCGACATGGACCTCCACATTTCGCCCTCTATACCGCAGAACCAAGATCAAAATCAGGATTCTGACAATGTTAAACAGGAGGAAGAGGAAGGGGAGGAGGAAGAAGACATCGGAGAGGTCATCCCCGACCATTGGTCCGGTACCGTTCCCGTTTTCAGACCGGATATGCATCAATTTAAGGACTTTAAGAAATTTGTACGACCTCTACCCAGCAACTTTTAACTTCATTATTTGATCCATCCTGGTCTAACTAACCTATTCTTTTTTTCAATAGATGACTAAAGTTGATTGTTACGGTATGAAATCCGGCATCATCAAGATCATCCCTCCAAAGGAATGGACGGATCAGCGTCCCCCTCTTGATGAAATGATCAAGCAAATCAGGGTCAAAGAGCCTATTAAACAGGATATCATGGGATCAAACGGCACTTATCGACAAGTTAACATTCTCCATCAACGATCTTACAACATTCCGCAGTGGCGACAACTCTGCGATCAAAGCGAACATCAACCGCCTGCTCGACGAGGCGAGAGGCGTGCGCAGGCTCCTTCGAAACCGAAGCCAGCTTCCTCAACTACCACCGAGTCTAAGAGACGCGGGCGGCCATCTAAAGGAAGAGGGAAACGGGGCGCCGTTAAGGACGCCGCCACCGCCACCGCCGCCGAACAAGAAGACCGACCAATGACACCTGTCTCTCCTAAACCTAACGAAGAAATTATCGAGTCTGTAGAGCAGGACCCGGGCGCTGATGTGGACGATGACGATGGACCCCCTATTGTTGGTCGGATGGGTGGCTCTAGGCAGGCTAAACCAAAGACGCAGTCTATATCAGCCCGAAGGAAGTACGCGAGGCGAGAAGCATCAGCTAGGATCGATGAAGAAGCCTTCAAGGACTTTGACTACCGTATGGACATCTCCGATTATACACCCGAGAGATGTGAGGAACTCGAGCGGATATATTGGAAAACTCTTACATATGCTCAGCCCTTGTACGGTGCGGACCTCCCCGGAACTCTATTCGATGACGAATGTGATGTCTGGAACCTCAATAGGCTTCCTAACTTACTTGATGTCCTCGGCACTAAAGTTCCCGGTGTCAACACTGCATATCTCTATCTTGGTATGTGGAAGGCGACTTTTGCATGGCATCTTGAAGACGTCGACTTATACAGCATTAACTATTTGCACTTTGGAGCCCCAAAGCAGTGGTATAGTATCTCGCAAGGCGATGCTCGTCGTTTTGAAGCTGCCATGAAGAGTATTTGGCCGACCGATGCTAAGGCCTGCGACCAGTTCTTACGTCACAAGGCTTTCCTCATCTCACCGAACCACCTCCAGCAATACTTTAACATCAAGGTCAACAAGTGCGTCTCATACCCTGGAGAGTTTGTCGTCACGTATCCCTACGGCTACCATTCGGGGTACAATCTGGGGTATAACTGTGCCGAAGCTGTCAACTTTGCCTTGGACTCCTGGATGCCTATGGGAAAGATTGCCAAGAGATGCGAATGTGCCCAAGCTCAAGACAGCGTATGGGTAGACGTATACGAGATTGAGCGCAAGTTGAGAGGCGAGGAGACGGACTATGAAGAAACCGAAGATGAGGAGGAAGAGGAAGATGAAGAGGACGATGATACTGGCGTTGTTGGTCTAACTCCAATTTCCTCCCATACAGTGAGATTAAAGCAACCTGGGCGAAAACGCAAACGTCTAGCAGCCGGGAAAGGGGAGAAGAGAGCCAAGAAGATTCGACTCCGTGTCAAAAATCACATCGACCCCCCATGCTGTCTATGTCCCCATGATATACCCGGCCAAGAGATACTCTCAACAAGCGATGGCCGTAGAGCTCATCGTATTTGCGCACTTTACGGGCCGGAGACCTGGATCGAGACGGTTGAAGGAAAAGAAATCATCGCTAATGTAGAGAACATTAGCAAAGCGTGCGTGGAGCTCAAGTGCTTGTATTGCCGCTCTAAGAGGGGAGCGTGTTTCCAGTGCTCCCAGAAGAAATGCGCCCGCTCCTACCACGCCACTTGTGCCGCAGCAGCGGGCGTTATGGTGGAAGAAGCAGATGTGCCAATCTTTGGGGAGGATGGAACTGAATACAAGGAACGAGGCTTCGAGTTTAGTTGTCGTTTCCATCGAACCAAGAGAGACAAGAAATTGGATGGTAATGTGCTAGACGAATGCCAGAAGACTCGACATGCAGCCGCTGCTCTCAAAAAGGACGATATATGTCAGTTGCAGTATTACCGCGGGGAAATATTCGCGGGTGTCATTGTCGAAAACCGGACTGATGAGCGCACATTCCTGGTTGACATTATTCCTCATGGGTATGGAATCAACTTGGCCTTTAATAAAGGACTTTTGCTAACTTCATTTAGGGATCGTGTCGAAGTTGAATGGAAATGGCTTCTTCTCCCGGATCCAGCCGACTTCCACCTACAGAAGGCGTCTGCTAATGCTATCCCTATGCCTACATCGCGCAAGGCTAAAGAGCAGATCAACGCCACCAAGAGGGTCGCAGAGGAATTACCTCGCGCAGATGCGCCGTTCGTCGAAGGATTCACCTGGGCAGAGTTCAACGCATGCGACTGCACCAATAAGTTGCAAGCCAAAATTGATTTCGCCAAGGACAACCAGATCTGGTATTATCTTGGAAAAAATTCGACCGAAGCTCGCGCTCAATACACAGATGATCCGAAGAGGCCTAAGCATAACCCCAAGAGCAACTTTTTGGAGACCATTCCGCGACCCGCTGTACCTGCAGTTCAACCTCGAAAGTCGTACGGGCCTTCGTTCTCGGTTCAAACACCGAGCACGACAGCTGGGAAATCCGATAAGCCGTACCAATACAAACCAAGAGAACCCGTCGCACCATCTTACGTTCATTCTCCCTTCACAGTCCAGCAATTTGTTCCGAAGCCTCCTCCGTTCACTGCACATCAATTCATCCCGAACCCGTCACCCTTCTCTATACAACCCACTGCACCAAAGCTAGTCCCGGCGCCCAGACCTCAGCAAAACGTACAGTATGCACCACAGCAAGTTGTGCCGAAGCAGGCTCCCGCAATCCAACACACTGAACAGTACTCTTCGCACCAAATAATCCCCAAATCTTCTTCCACCCCTCAATACGTCAATCAATATTCTCTGCAGCAACCTATGCACCAGCCGGCTTTTACAGATCAACAGAATGGGCAAATTTCTCAGCAGACGGTACCGAAACCTGATTCTGCCTCACAGCAGAACGTACAGCACCCATCTCATCATTCCACCCCAAAGCCCGTATCTACACCTCAGCAAAGCGCACAATATACTTCCCAGCAGGCTGTATCGAAACCAACACCCATACCTCGACCGACTCCTTCGCAGAACGGACACAAACGGAATCGGTCATCGCTCAATAGTCAGGGCAGCCAAGCATTGGCGTTTGGTTCGGATCGTCGATTTAGAACTCCACCTTTTTCGTACAGAACTAGTCAAATTGATTCAGCCGCGAAATCGCCCTTCAGTCATGGGTTTATGCAACCTCCAGGCCTTGGGCCCTCTCCGTCGCCGCAAAATGGTCAACTTTTCCAGGCTCAAGCTAGGGCTAGGTCGAGTTCGCTGGCTTCTAATCGTTCATACGATACACCGATGACTTCATCCGCTATTCGACCCCCTTCTTCTGCGTCTGCTCAAGGGACAATTGGAGAACCCCAAGCCCTCCAACAACAGAACGTCGTCAAACAGCCACGACCCAATATTGTCCAGAAATATGCATTTTTCCAGGTCCATCACAACAGGTACGATGATTGTCTTTGCTATTGTAGCAAAACCTTACACTAACCGTCTTATAGGGATTCCACAAAATACAGAACGCCGTACGCTCACTGGGGAGGGTTTACTAATGGATATGAGGGCAACCTTCGAGCTCACTTGATGAGATCCCCCGAAGCATTGTTCGATATTAGAAGGCGCTCTACAGGATTCGCTACTAGTACGCCTAGCCTAAGCCCGGCTCCCCGAATTCCGTTTAGCAATGGTTCCGAGAATAAGGAGACTCATAATCCGGTGTTGCAATCGGGCCATCACGATCCTTCTCGTCAAGCAGCCCCTTTGCCTTACTCCGCGTCTCCTAATCCATTTACCACACCGAAAACATCTTCGCCTATTACAGATGATTCTAACCAGCAATTAATATATGCACCAAATGCGTCGGATTCGAACCAAGAACCTATAGCACAGTTGCATCCCGCGATTCGAGCTCAGTATGCTGCCATGTTACAGAGGAGCAGCCTGGAGGTTCATCTGCCTCAAAGCCAGCAGACTCCTCCCGAGGACCGCCCAGCTGCACCAAATCAACAGTCGGCACCGGACTTTTCAACATATTCACAACCCCCTGCAAATTTAACGCATATGCCAGTGCCTTCAGATACTCAATCTATAACAGATAGTCGTATTCCATCACATTCGACCCTGGACAACAAAGTGCCTTCTTTAACAAACTCAAGTTCCACGGCAATGACCTACGCGCCCAAGCAAACATACATACCCCCTCCTCGACCATGGGAGGCAATAAGAAAGACGCAGGTCACGGCCCAACCTAATCCACAACCACCTAATCCGTACTCAGCTTTAGATGCTGTAGCTCCCGCCGTACCTGATCCGCCTCCTTTTCTAAACGCGCCGGGTCCGTTTATGAATGATGGGTTTGGAAACCCAAGGCACATGGCAGACCCAGGGCTTCAGCCCAGCAATGTAAGCGGACCTTTTTGGCAGGAGTTTCCGCAGACAGTGCCTAACAGCAACAGCGTCAATCCAGCCAGTCACGAGAATTCGTACAGACTTTACAACCAACCACTATTCATCAACTACGAACCGCCACAGAGAATTTTTCGGCATCAGAAATTCAGCAGGAATCAACGGAACTAGCACAACCAGCCACAACAGTGAATACCCTCGCACCGGTACTCGTGCCATCTTCAGCCGCGGCTACGAATGATCTTCCAGAGGTACCGGACGACTCGATGGAGTTGATCGAGAGCATCATCAGGGATGCTCGTAGAATAAGTGATACGTATAGCGGTCCTGCGGGCGGCAACGTTTAAGTTGTTGCTTGCGGGGTGCAGATGGGACGGCAGGCGCACGGGCAACGAAGGTAACGACAACCATGATGCGACAGTTACTCGGAATGGTATGTACTGTTCGGCGGAGTTTGGCGTTAATTAAGCAAGACCTTTTCTCTGCGGAGCTCTAGGGAGATCTGCATTTCTTTTCGACTAATAACCTGACCATTAGACCTAGTGCCTGCATAGGCTTGTTATTTTTCGTGGGGTAGCACGCATAGGGTTTATGGGACAGGGCTGACATCTTTTCATACCTCGGATTCGTGGACACGAACGAGACTTATATGCGACAGGCGGATAGGGATCTCGAGGAACAGTGCAGGTGTATACTATGGGAGGTTAAGGCGAACAAGCTTGTGTGACACGTGTAAGGATTTTTTTCTGTTTGTAGTGACTCAACCGCGATGGTTTCGACAGAGCTTGATTTTTAAAGCAGTAGTATTAGTGGTGTGAGATCTAAAGAATGCCTACTTGCTGCTCTACACATCGGCTCTTACTGTCCCCCAATGAGCAGATACTGCTTTACTTTATTAATGAATAAACTTGGGTGATGAATATATATGCTTTTATTAAGTCAATACTATCGTAATTTCTTTTTTGTTGCATATTTGAATTGGCAGCATGCAGTATGCATCAATCGCGTACTTGGTGGGGCTGACTATTGATTTGATCAAGAAAATAATTTGACTTTTAGAACTTCAAACTTTCAACTTCTAACTTTAACCCGTTTTTTTTTGTCAGCCTTGTCCAAAACCGTTTCTTGTGAAAACAGCTAACTTCCCGGACACGACGCCACGCGTATATCTGTCACTTTCCCTTAATTTCCCCCTTGTCCCAATTCACATAGTTGTTATTAGCAACTATGACTGATAAAATTAAGGAAGAGTCTCCGCGCAACGAGCGCAAGCGCATGAGCAGTCCGGATGTCCAGGCCCCGACCAAACGCATGAAGAGAGAGGATACCGATGATGCAAAGCCAGCAAAGTACAACCCATACCTTGCGCACTGGAATAACGGCAATGGAGATGCAGACGGCGACAACATCAATGAAGATAGGATACCAAAAGGTTCCCCGTTAGCGCACTTCAAACGACGAAAGACGACAGCGAAACAGGCATTTGAAGCTGAGAAATCCGACAACAATCCTTTCACCGGAGAGCCCCATTCTCAGCAATACTTCAATATCCTGAAGTCGCGAAGCAACCTTCCCGTTTGTCAGCAGAGGTTCGTTCAGCCCTTTTCAATCCCAGCTTTTGTTACTATTTACTAACGATTTGTTAACAGACAGGAATTCCTTGATCTGTACCATCAGTCACAAATCCTCGTCTTCGTTGGTGAGACTGGTTCGGGAAAAACTACACAAATACCCCAGTATGTAGTATACGACGAACTCCCCCACCTCAACCGAAAGTTGGTCGCCTGTACACAACCACGACGAGTCGCCGCGATGTCCGTCGCACAGCGTGTTGCTGATGAGCTCGACGTTACTCTGGGAGAAGAAGTTGGTTACAGCATCCGTTTCGAGGACAAGACTAGCTCGAAGACTATGTTGAAGTATATGACTGATGGTATGCTACTGAGAGAGGCCATGCACGATCATGATATGTCCCGATACAGTTGCATCATTTTGGACGAAGCACACGAACGTACTCTCGCGACCGATATTCTCATGGCCCTCCTTAAACAAGTGACTAGACGCAGACCAGATCTCAAGGTCATCGTCATGTCAGCTACCTTGGATGCCCAGAAATTTCAACGTTACTTCTACGACGCCCCTCTACTCGCCGTACCGGGCCGAACCTTCCCCGTTGAGATCTTTTACACTCCTGAGCCAGAGAAGGACTATGTTGAGGGCGCAATACGCACTGTGCTTCAGATCCATGCTGGCGAGGACGAAGGAGACATCCTCCTCTTCCTCACGGGAGAAGAGGAGATTGAGGATACGTGCAGAAAGATTTCTTTTGAGGTTGATGAGCTTGTGCGGGAAACGGATTGTGGTCCAATGGCCGTATACCCGCTTTACGGCACTCTTCCTCCTCACCAGCAGCAGAAGATCTTCGATAAGGCACCTCCCCCTCTCAGAAAAGGTGGTAAGCCAGGCCGAAAGTGTATCGTGTCGACCAATATTGCCGAGACTAGTTTGACAATCGACGGTATTGTTTATGTGGTTGACCCCGGCTTCAGCAAGCAAAAGATCTACAACCCTCGACTGAGAGTAGAATCATTGCTGGTTTCCGCCATCTCAAAGGCTTCTGCTCAGCAGCGAGCTGGTCGTGCTGGTCGAACGAAGCCTGGAAAATGCTTCCGACTATACACGGAGAAGGCGTTCAAAGAAGAGTTGATCGAGCAAACTTATCCTGAAATTCTCCGTTCCAACCTCGCCAATACCGTGTTAGAGTTAAAGAAGCACGGTGTCGAGGATCTTGTGCACTTCGATTTGATGGACCCCCCTGCTCCCGAAACCATGATGCGCGCCCTTGAAGAATTGAACTACCTCGCATGTCTCGATGACGAGGGTCAGCTAACGTCTCTCGGTGGTTATGCATCCGAATACCCCCTAGATCCTTCTCTCGCAGTCATGTTGATCTCAAGTCCCGAGTTCTATTGCTCAAATGAAATTCTCTCGATCACGGCGCTTCTCTCAGTTCCCCAGATTTTCGTACGGCCGGCCAATAAGAGGCGAGAGGCTGACGAGATGAAGAAGCTATTCAAGCACGATGATGGGGACCACCTGACAATGTTGAATGTATACCACGCATTCAAAGGAATACTCAACAGCGGAGAGGATGCAAGAGCATGGTGTCACAAGCACTACTTATCATTCCGCCACCTTTCAAGCGCAGATAACGTTCGCGCTCAACTTAAGCGGATCATGGAGACGCAAGACTTGGATCTCATCAGCACGAATTTCAATGACAAGAATTACTACCCCAATATTCGCCGAGCTCTAGTTACCGGCTTCTTCATGCAGGTTGCCAAGAGGGAGAAGGAGAAGGTGTACCGCACACTCAAGGACAACGCCCAAGCAGTTATGCTACATCCGAGCACAGTGCTGCAGACGGATTACGAATGGGTTCTTTATAACGAGTTCGTTATGACCTCTAAGCACTACATTCGAACGGTGACGGGGATCAAACCGGAGTGGCTCTTGGTATGTTAACTAACACCCTAATGAACTTAGAGCAGTGTATGGATATCGTACTAACTCGGTGACAGGAACTTGCGCCCATATACTACGATATCGAGTCTTGGGATGGCCAGAAGGACGTCAAACTGGCGTTAAAGGCGGTGGCTGATAAGGCAAGACGCCGCGCTGCTATGAAGGGTGGCCGCTGAAAGGGACTATGAATATTGATATGTATTAGAATATGGTGTGGCGCGGGGTGTGTCGGATCGATCCACGCCTACGATCGACTATCTCCCGGAACTTCGTATGCGTTCCTAATGAAAGAAAGTTAAGACGAACGATCCGAATACCGACATGTACATGCTACTAATATGACTATGCCTCGTTTTGGAAGCACTGGAGTTATTCTACAGACCGAAATGGAACTACGTTTACGCTAAGCACGATTTGTGGTGTTGTAAGAGGTCTATGATACCTTCTCTAGCAAGGAAATAAGACGATAGCAACGGCTAAGCAAGGCATTTAAGATGAAGCAATGATAGAAAGAGCATAGATGGCAGCTCGTGCTGCGGATTAATCCCAGATTCAAGACGTTTTGGACGGATACTAGGTACTTATCTATCTAGTTATTCCAGTTAGCCAATTTACTTGTATGTCTAGGTGCCTACTTGACGTAAATAATGAGTATTCTTAAGGATTCAGGTGCGTTGGAGTAGATGTGTCATCACTGAGAAATACGGGTGCCATCTTTTTCATCGTATGTATGTTTACAATTCAGCGCGTATCTTACTTGGATGCGGCTCTTGCGAGGAGGTCCATCTTTCGAATACGTCGTAATTGAAAGAGGGGCGAAGATGTGGGCGGAACCCTCCCCTCCCCCTTTTTTCCTCTTTTGCTTTTTCATATGATCTTTCCCGAATTTAGCTTGAGAATGTACTATACAAATTAACGTGGAAAGCCACATAGTCATCAATCTCACGACGCGGCTGTCACCCGTATTATCATTTCCCGTGTGAGTGCGGCTTACATATATACGACTTGGCCCTCTGCAGAGGCGCGCTGGAATTGGTTCTATCCGTCCAGCGATAATAAAAAACACACACCAAGTCTGTATTAGCGGAAGCTTGGCATGTAGGCCAAACCAGCCTTACCCGCTATATTTGTGTAGTGCTATCGCGATTAGTTGCCATTGGATTTTCTTATGTCTAGTAACAGTTGCACAAGCTGAAGAGATGTTTCAGCTGGCTGATGTCATCTAGAAGGGAAGCTTGTTAGTGGTCTTGCGAGTAGGAAGTAGGGCGTTCCTGTAATACTACTCTGTTTTCTAGCCTCAGCGTCAACCCGTTTCGCCGGTTATCGAGCTAGTATAACTCACGTGGAACTCATAATTACCTGCGCCGTATGGATGCATAGAGCTATTCCAGAAGCAATACACTATGACCGGACTTCTATACGACGTAAGCGTGAGTTCATAATGTCTCATTATAAGGGAGCTTGTAGGACTTGCAAGATTGGATGGCATTGCCGTCTCAGCTGCCGTCCTTTTTGTGCTTTACCTAAAGCATCATACCACACCTTACGTAAATGGGGCGCCGCATAGTGGCAATGCATGTAATGACGATCGGTCATCTTGTATCCTTGAATGATTTCTATTCGATGTGAGAATATTATAATATATTCATAACCTCCCACCATTTCAATTTTGATATTTGCATTTAATATGTCACATCTACCTACATGATGGCTGTTTGAAGTGTCTTGCCCGGGTTGCTTCTTTTCTCTTCTCCAATCTCTCTTATCACATCGCGATGGATATTATAGTTCAGCTTTGGCTTGGCTTCCGATACTAAATTCTCACCTTAACTGGGGCAGCAATCGTTAATTCCCATTGTCCAGTACACCGCGCGTTCATCTATCGACAAAAGGACTGAACTATGCTGCTATGTAACTTCATATCTGATTGTGCAAAGGACTTTGACCCGTACCTATTATTATTTACAACTACACTAAGTGAAAAAGTGAAGATGATTGGTGATGGCGTCGAAGCCTTAAAAGTAAGCGTCGGTAGGGGTTAGGATTTTAACTTCTTATTTTTAACGTTATCCACTTTCTGGAATTGCGCCAACGGGACCGCGGGATCGTCTGCTTGTTCTATTGCGCGGAAGATGCCGCGGGTGTGGAGAATTTACCCACGATTATTCTCACGAGACACGTAGGTACATACATGTGAATATTGTGTACAGTAATATGGAGGCGGCACAGATTTTGTTTCGTGTTTCCGACTCTACATAATAACTTACCAACAACTCACGAAGAGTAGGTATATAGCGATGAGTAATTACCATGGGAAACAGGAAACATTACCAACTTGGTAGGAGGTAACGAACACAATCCATATGGATTTGCAATTCCGGCTATGGGCTCAAGTATCCCGCTTCCCGCGCAACGACACCACATAGCTGTCCCCACAGCAAAAGCTCGAACGAGTTTTAAATAAGCCTAGGATGTCGATCCCACGCTGAAAGAAGTAAGGCTTAGTCGAATAGGGCAGGGCGCTTGCGATGCAACCCCAACCATGCAGGCTTTGCATGAAATGATCTCAATGGCGTCGAATGGGATGGCTCGAAGTCCGAGTGCCCAGCCCACCAAGACGGTAGCAGCAAAAGGGACCAGAGAAAAAGTGCCTGGGCTAAGCCGGACATCGCAGGGGGGTGTCTGTTTTTTTCAGGGCAGGCAAAAAGCCCAGCGCGGCAAAGGGTAGGTAAGATTATGGGCTACATTACCTACCTCATACCACCTGAGATCATAGCTGCTAGCCGGGATGCGAATCCTTCCAGGTTTTCCAAAATCCGGGACCCCATCTAGGTCTTTTTGGGGGCCGTTTTATTTGTCTTTGGGCTGAGTCCTGGCTTAAACCTGGGACGAACCTGATAAACCTAAGTCGGTGTCTGTCTGTCGTGCTTCCTCTCCGCCTTTAGATACTGTACATACTTCGTACACACCTAGGTATCTAGTATCTACTATCAAGGCAGGACAAGACCGAAGATAATTATTTCACCCGGATCGTCGTCCAGAATCTTACTTCTTCTCCGCGAGCACGGCCGCTGCGAATCGGAGGCACGTACGGTTGATCACCGAATAGGGTATATCTCCTTCGAAGCTTGACGGGGATAAGGGGGGAAAGGATCGGAGATCGAAACACATCAAAACGATAGACACGACGACTTCCTCATCTGTGGGAATATTACGCGGATAATCGAGGCTGTTGGATCCGGTCGAATTAGTCGATATTCAGATTGACATCGAGGGCATTTACGTCGTAAGAGTAATAGGAATTATCTAGGCAACGAGGAAGAAAAGGCAGAAGAGGAGGGATCAAGAGAAGAAGAAAATCTATATACCGCGTCTGACGAGAACAACACCGCCTCGGCCACTCATCCAATCCCATCATGTCTCTCGGCGCGCTCACGACGACCTTCACGCCGCCCGCCGATTGCACCGCCTCGTCGGCGCTGTACTGGGTAAACACCGCTTCGACGTTCTACTGGCTACACGGGCAACCGGGCCAGTCCTCGTGTTTCCCAGACAGCTACTCGCCCTACCAGAACCAGTACTACAGCCCCGGAGTATGTCCCGTAGGGTACACACGCGCGTGCGAGTCGATATCGACCGGTGGTGATAACAGCTTCACCACGCGGGCGACATGCTGTCCGTAAGTACTAATAATTCGCAATGTCTTTTTATTCTTGAGTTTCTATAATCGATACACGATGGTTGTAATAGCTATGATGGATGGATATATACCTACTAGGTTCCTATCTAGAGCAGCTAGGGGGTTAGCTCTCATCCTATTAAATGATTCCATCATCAAAACACCCAGAAAAGCAATACCCATAACAGAAATCTAACATCCCACAAACAGGCAAGGGAACTACGTATGCGCATCGACGTCAAGCAGTTACAGCTACCCGTGGGGCCCCACGCTCGGCTGCATGAGCGTATACAGAGTCAACACACAGACGAGTTTCACAACGATCGACGGCACGATAGCCGGAGGCGAGACAGCGGGGACAGTAACGAGTCTACGAGCCCCGGGCACGATAATGGCGTACGGCGTAGTTGTACAGAATAGCGCGTCCACGGATACAGCGACGACAACGACGGGGTCCCAGACTTCGGGTAGCAGCTCCATTGCATCGGAAACCGCATCCTCGACAGCGGCGGCGGGAGCCGGCGAAAGTCATGGGCTCAGCAGTGGTGCGGCGGCCGGGATAGGAATCGGGACGGCGTTGGGCGTGATGGCGATAGGTGGCTTGATACTATGGATGTTCTGGTCGCGGCGGAAGAAGAGGACACAGATCCCGCAGCAGGAATTAGAGGCGGAAGCTCCGCCACGAGGGGCCGCGACTACACCCGGGTCCTGGAGCGACACGACATGGTCGTCGACGCCGTACCAACATCCCCCTCCGCAGCAGCAACATTATCCGCAACAATACCCGCACCAGCAGTCCGTGGTACAGGTTAACTGGCCGCCGACGGAACTGGCACAGCATGGGGAGCCGATGGAGATGAGTGGCGAGACTCAGTTGCCTGCGGAGAAGGACGGGAAGAGTTTAAATTGGCGGCAGCGGTAATGCATCGGAGAAGGGGGAGGGGTTGGTGGAAATGCGAATATGGATTACTTGATAATAATTAAATTTGGAATACCCAGACACGTGATCAGACGAACCAGCAACATTGAAGTGACGGAGTAGTGGGTTGGTAGAAGATTGGAATGTGCTGAAGAAACGCTTTTTTTTCGACGTCAAGCAAACATGTGAAGATGGCGAGCCTTGGTTTTTTGTAGATATATTGGTAGTGTACCTAGTAGGGTTTTCGAATCGTTGAATGCTATGATGGTCTAGCGCGAAAGGCATATAAGACTCGAGAAGGAAATAGAAAATCGAAGACTCATTTGTTTAAACCTATATCTTGGTATGTAATTCATGATAGTGACTTGAAGGTATTCAATGGGGGAAAAGGGGGCGGTTCCAACTCAGGGGCTGAACAGCTAGTGACGGGACGGGCCGAAAAAAGTGGCAAAAAGATAGTAAAAAATCGGGAAAGTTTATTACGATACCGTTATCAGGCATCTCTGTTCGCCACTCCATTCAGCTCCTATCTTAGAGGCCCTTTGAAAGTAATGAACTGGTGACAATAAGAACTCAGGATACCCGAAAATTAAGCCGCAGGTATTTCGTAGAAGTTCTTGAAGCCTTGGTTGTTCCTAAACACTCTAAAATTAGACGAGCTAGCGAAGAATTCGTTCTTTGCTATCTTTACATCTGTACCCGAGGTATGCGTGCCAGAAAATGGGAAGACTCCTAGCAGGATCCTATCCGAATGCCTTCTTGAGAATTGCCAGAATGACGCGTCATTATTGACACATGATAGAACTCCAGCTGCCGAGGAAGTATGTAGCCTCAGAGAAGGGGCAAGAGCAACATCTTCGCATATTCGTGACATCTGATCAAGGGGTAAGGATGCAAATGTACGCTTAACGAGGTCTAGATGCCAACTAGAAGATCGATTCGGCGGGAGGCGGTGAATGAGTATCGGCCCTGCTCCCTTTAGTCGATGCAAGATATCAGCTTCCATGTGTAGTAACAATCGACGAGGCCGCTCGATTGTCATCACGAGGCTCCGGCGGGTACAAGATCTCCGCTATGGAACAGTCTAGACGGTTTATAGGCGAGTTCATCCCCATCATTGGCTCGCTCTCTCGGGGATATGTTTCAACTCCAACGTCGAACGCCGGGCGCCTACCCTCTGCAAGTGACATTTTTCTCTTAGATGTTCCAACAGCGGAGGTCTAGTCGCTTACATCGATCCGCGTCCCTATGGCGATCGTCAGTCCGAGGCAAGCCGACGTTAGAAGAAATTGGGGTAGCCACCGGCCTGTAAAGATGAGTAGTTGGGCTAAGTATCATCTCGAAAAGGGCCAAGCTGACTGGCTGATTGATGGGGATCGGCGGTAAAATTCGGTTGGGGATGTTTGTGTAAGAGCCATCATGAGCGTAGACTGTCGTCGTGGGGTGGAATATTCTCGAGCCGCTGTGCTCGGCGAGAGTCGACGTCTCAGGGGTTAACTCCGGCCTCGTTACACGTATGTAGCACGGGCAGTTTTAGATGCGTCAGCCTCTCCAGACCGATGCCTAGATCAAGACATCGCATTCGAGAAATCTACAACATCGTTGATCTTGCCGCCACTAGGGGCGTATTAGAAGAAATCATTAGAATTATGCGAAGGTTTACACGTGCTTGTCACTGAGGACGGCAATTATTAAAAAAAATGGATTTTTGATCACCTACCTCATTGAGTTATGCGTAATGTATTGTCTCAAGAGGACGTCACTCCGAATACTGGACACCGGTGGTTCAACCCTTTATCGCTTGCATCTAGGCGATCATCCAGCTCTTACGTTCACACGTCTGCATCTATTCCGTCGACGCCGTCTTCGTGGCGACCTTTTTGCAGCAAATTCGATCAATAGAGTGGGAAATCTGTAAACTATTCGTCAAAAACTTGGTACCAACAAACCCCTTATTTTGGATGGGTGATACTCGTGTCGGATGAGATTCTAACGGAGGCAGTACAATGGTATGCCTTCAGTTGACGACCATCACTCTAAGAATCATATAGTAAAGGAGGTTTGGTCAAACAACAGCGCGCCCACGTCTTGCATCGGGTGGGGAAAGCGTTTCCATTTTCAATTAACCGCATAAGGGGAGGGTATGATTATTGTTTCCTTGACCTGCTCCGGAATAGATATCATATTAGAGCGGAACTAGGACCTAGGGGCCGCGATCCTAATCTGCGAATAGCGGGTGATCCAGCTAATTGTGCATGGCTTTGGGAGGGTAGCTAACCAGATGTCATTGTCGTACTAGCTACAGTAGTATCTTAATGCAGTTTATGCAGGGTCTCTCCTTAGCTGACTCCTATCAGTGTGCCTAGGCCCCTGAGAGCAGTGGTAGGGTCACGCTATGGCGTTCCTCGATCATGCCGTTGGACGGTAGTATGAAAGCGGAAGGGCAACCATGTATATCCCTATTTGTTCCAGGAGAAAGCAGGTGGTCCTTAGCGAACAGCCTTGTCGTTTGGAATTGCTCCAATATTAAGCTAGGCAGGTAATAACGGCAAGGCTTTGGAGTTGGATGAACTCGGTCTTGCCTAGAGCTGTCAGACAGCGAGTGTCAACCATGATGTCTTAGGGTAACCCTTTCTTATTGCGCTAGATAATATTAGAAAGCGGAGCATTCTAGCATTTCTCAAGTCTCCACGTCTCTCAAATGGGAATGAGGGATTTGCGTGTGAGAAGACTTTGGCCGTGTAGTTCTCGTAATGAACCCTAGACTAGTCACATACCGACCAACCATAAACCCTCTGTAACCTATAATACGACTGCTTCCTGTCCAATATCCTCTTGAAGCACACGCCTTGCTAGATTAAGAGCCTAGTCGTAGATTAATTCCGATAACCTAGGCTGTAGTATCGTGTGATGCAAACAGGTGTCGAGCAGCATTACATTGCATACCGTTAGTGGGACGGTAAAAGAACGCCAACGAAGCTAGACTTCCGAGTATAGCGTATATACACTAGTAGCAGATGTAACGGAGCCAATAGCTTGGGTCAGCCGTAGATATTAGTAGGTGCCCTATCGAAAATCGAAAATCGAAAAAAGAGTACCAAGATGTAAATACCTAGCTGTCGTAAATTTCTTGAGACGAATTCTGATGAGTTTAACCATCTCTAGATAGTAGCTTGGAGATTAGCACAGTACCTAGTATTCTTGGGAATACGTCGTAAGTTGCGCCTCGAAAAGCCACATGTCATCAATGTGAAGTACTTAAGTATCTTAACTCCGGGCTAGATGGTTCATCTTGATTTTATGAATTGGCGGATAGACGCGGTTATGAGACTGGGAACAATTCGAAGCAAACCTGTCTCCGAGATAGTAAAATAAGAGCAAGGCCGAGAGTAGTGGCCAGAAGAGAAATTAATGTCTTCTCAGCTGCGTTTAGTTCAAGCTGGTTTACGAATTAGAGTAGCTATTAGAATAGCTTCACGGTTCGATCTAGTAGTCTGTCGTAGAGGAACGACTATACAACTGGATTCTGGTAAGCCGCATGATGTCGCGCAGTAATAATCTGAACAAATCGTTAAGTATAAGACGGGGGCCGTCACGTCATATAGTGTCTCTGAGTGACATACCTAGAAAGCCACTAGTTGAGTACAGATTCTCGTGACGGAGGCGTACCGGCCGCAGACTGACCGGCCGACATCCGCGATGTTGCTTGACGAGCGAAAGATAAGCACGGCTGAGGTTTCGCTTCAGTTCCTATCATGTATTCTAGAGAGATGATTTCCCTGGAAGTATGATATGTACTACCCATCATGACACAAAGTATGCATGAAACGTCGAAGTGCTCTAATCCGAGGACTTGGCCGAACCCGCGGTCCAATCAGCTGAGATGACCATGGCCTCGATGCATTTGGATACTTTGTAGGGCAAATGATGCCTTGAAGGTTGATAGCTCTATCATACTGCGCTCTTCTATGGTGAAGAAAATACTAGTACGCAGCACTAACAAGTTCAGTTTCAAGTACCTGGACCATTCTTAGAGTGGCTTTATCAAGGCTATTCGTTGGTAGATGCGACGGGTGAGTCGGGATCGGCAGGTAACATCACCCTGGGTACTGGAAGCCGATAACCTGGATTTGCTATAGAGCGGCCCGGCCAGGACCAATTGTTAATGCGCTATCCATACACGTAGGTACAAATTTTGCAGGTAGGTACCTAATGTATGTGGTATGTCGAGTAATTGGTGGTGTAGCATCGCGCTTAGCAAGCGAAGGGGCAACTTTAGAACCTATAAGTCTCTATTGTTAGTTTTTCCCATGGCAAGTAATTACCGTTAAGATTTTTTTTTCTTTACCAAAGAAAGACGAGAGGCAAACCATAATTCTCTCAAGCCTAGAACTACTGATGGTTATGGACCGATGTGAATGATTAGGTGAGCCTTATGTTCAGAAATGAAAATGCATACATCGTGGATGGCAACGCAATGGAAGAAGACTTGCATGCAGCTTCTTACGTTCGTTATATGTAAAGGATATATGATAGATAAGATTGTGGCGCGAGAATCCGTCTTATTTTCATTTTCATTTATAAATAATAAGAAGTCTGGCTTCTTGGAAAAGATTTTGTTGTTGATAAGGATTGGTGTGGGAAATCCAAGAAGTGATGTCAAGGGTCTCTTTTGCTGGACCCCGGAGAATTTTCAACCCAGGTTAAGCAGAAGGCCCTAGCCGACTTAGTAAAAAAAGCGGGAGCCAGTGCTTTCCCGGCATAAGGGTTTGCTGATCCTAAGCTGACGCAAGGGCCGTTATGGGGAAATGACCAGGTACTACTATGTAGTTAGGGGTACATATGTGCTACATGTCTACGAATGTACATATACATGATACGGCTCACATCTTACATACATGTACATACAGATGGCAGGCAGCCCTGAGGTAACTCATGTCTACGTGTTGTATGTACATCTAGATATGGATATACATACATCATGTATGTATGTATCTAGTCTAGTCTCATGTACCTACAAGATAGGTAATTTGAAGCCTGTAACTGACAGCAGACAACATTAGAACTAGTTCCATTTAGGTAGGACAACACAGGGGATCGATTTATCTCATGCCGTTAGGTACTCACCGGATAACATCCTAACCAATAATTGTATATTTAGCTGTCCATCTTCAGCCTCATCTCAGGGTCCCGGGATGTGCTCTTCAAATTGGGACAATTAGTCCGCGAGCAAGTAGGGTTGTTGCGGAGAGAAAAGATAGAATGAAAATACGATGACATGGCATAACGCCTCCAGTCACCTACACCACCGTATTTACATACCTACCTACATGATATGGCAGCAGTGTAACCAGAGGCGCATACGGGAGACAAGCTCGTCTCCCCAGCGCTGTTTCGATCTCCTGGGAATGGCAGATCGCAATGGACAAGATCCCGTGTGGCGCGTATGTGTGTGCGTGACAACAATTCGGCGACAACAATACCAGATGATAATCTAATTAGGTATATTGGAATGTTGGACAACAGTTACTACTAACTTACCTACTCCCAGACATAAAAGGACCAACCAAGAACGAACGTCGGATAGAATTCAAATCCGCAGCTGGCTCGTATAGTCCGTGTCTTCCCTCTATCAGAGTCACCGCTAATGGCCGACTATTTTTTTATTCTGTTATTGTAACGTCGTATTTCAATTCCTTCATGACATTACACCACACGGCTTAATAATTGTGGCCCGATCATTTTTTCTGCCGGCGCTGAGTCCTGCATCCTACTTGTCCGAGGAACATTACTTTAATACCTAGCAGTATCTACCTTTAAAATTCAAATATGCTACACAGGTACTGCATATATGAGACCACCGTACATAATGATATATCAGAGATATTACGCTGGGTAGGTACTAGGTAGGTATCTGTCAGCTGTTTTTCATATGCTTCTATTCGATGACAGGGTACCATACTAAATGAAGGTGTGTTTCCAGAATAAATGGGGATCCACCTATCGACCCTTGTTGTTGCAGGGTCCTCAATGATGCATAGCAGGGGGTAGGTAGGCTGGCCTTTCAACCTTTTTAAATATGTACACTCTCCCTCCTAGGCAGGTAAAGCTATCTTCACAGATGGGTACTAAGTAGGTAATAGGTAGGTTTAGAAACGGAATAAAATACCTACCTACCTAGGGTGTCTAGGTAGTACGTAGCTAAGATACGTACATAAGGAAATACCCCTGAAGGGATAAATAAGGGTGCTTCCGCACGCCTACCTTGAGTAGATCCCATTGCTTTTCGGAGCATCCTTGCAGGAAGAGCCATTTTGGGTTCTTTAGTACTAGACTGTAACTTCTTTTACTGTTCTGGACTTTGTTGTCCGTCAGTGAAGCTCCATCGCTCGGCTGCCAGCGGGCAGTCACCTCCTGTCCCATCACTCAGTACCTATATTCCTCGTTTATCCCGCAACTCGGTCGTCAAGACCTTTCTTCGAAGCCGCCTACAGACTATCGAGGCGACTGACTTGTTTTTATCACCATGAGTGGAAGCGGTGGCTACTACAAGTATCGATGCAAATACTTCTATACCCATAACTGCCCTAATTGGGTTTATGTGAATAATTCCCCTTGTGCAAACTGCTGCGTAAGTTACCTACACAGGAATACGATCATCTCACATTAGATCAAGAGTTAGCTAATGCTTCAGTACAGGCGGAAGGACGAGATGGCGACAGTGGAGCTTCTGAGACTCCTCCGTCGAGGTACTCCCATGACATCTGCGTCCCACGAGTTGAAGACGGCGTTGTACACTACACCTTGATGGAGATTGTCAATATTACAGACGAGACTGGAAATCAATGGGCACTGAGGTACAAGGTCAATCAGACTCAGGTTCCCATCGTCATGACGACCAGTGCCACTCCTGGACCGCCAGTCCCGGCTACGAGTTATTGAAAAGGCAATGACTTACGACCAATTATGGCAGCAAAGACATCGAACATAGAAATGAGACTGTTGATATACCTAATTTTCAAGGATCATAAGGTAGTACATTTAACCATTGCAGGATCTCTAAGACAATCCAGATAGTGGGGCGCATATGACCTGACGATCGTGTGGGCGGAAAGGGCGGCGTTTCGTACAAAATCTCTAATATGTACCTCTATCCTCATTAGCGTGGCTGGGCATGAGGAGGAGTATTCTACGTAGACTGACAGTGAAAATATTTATAATTCGGCCTCACAACAAACCCTTGTTGTAATTCGGGAATACGCATACCACGCCCTAATGATAGGACGAGGGGCCGAGATATCCATAGATATTTTCGAGGTTTTCAACACTAGTGCGGCCATAACCAATGGTAAAATGACACTTTACACAGGTTTATCCCACAAGCTATACGCATGAATGAAGATGTTCATCACCTCACTTTAGTATTCGACGCTTCGTTTAGCAATGTTTTGGTAGAAACCCGATATGTTGGAAGCTTCGAGCCTACACACGAAATCTTTTGCTAGTGGAGAAGGATGAAGAAAAAAAATCGTTCAACGGATAAAGATACGCGAGGCCGAAGTGGCGGCATAACATCAGCTAGTAAGAAGATGGAACAGCGTCGCAATACAGATCTCGGGGTCCTTGATTGGGTCTACTGCATGAGTTATCGCGTTGAGTGTGAGCCTCGTGATGACTGACCTACCTCTGTCCCACAACCTGTAAGCGCCCCGCAAGTAAAACACGGATGGAGAGATCTGTTTCTAGAATGTGGTAGACCTTGCTGCAGCTGCTTATGTAAGTTATGATAGTAGAGGCATTTTAAACCGACTCATTAAAATTTATGATTTGATCAATGTTATACTCGGAGATGGGTCAATGTAGGTAGGTATTGAGACCCTTCAAATACCTACCTAGGTACTTGAGACTATCAAAGTCAAGATGAGGGCAATGGTCCGCGAGGCTAAACAACCTAGGTACTATGTTAGCAGACTCGTACGACACGGAATTGCGATGCTCGACTTATGTTGCAAGAATGCTACGGTCAGGACGGACCTTAAACTATTTGGATACCTACCATAGTAGTATTCAAAATTCCTTCCACCATAGACGATATGGTATCATATATGGAAAATAAAGAGATAAGATTCCACATCATCTTCCTCTTAGTTTCCTTGAACATACCTAGTACCGACTATGTCAATCTTCCGAGAAACAGAGAAACACATAGACAGAGTAAAAAGGGATAAAGATGGGCAATCGATAGCCGACAACCGACGACAAATCTGAATTAGGGAATTTAGGGTACCTAAAAACGCAACCTCATGTGCTTTTGCCAAGGAAATATTATTCATATCTAGGTAGCAGTGATGATGAATATACATGGATACGTACGGGTCTAAGTCTGCACGGGCAATGAAACGGACTCATCTAGCCGAACCAGTCGGTCTAATTACATGGGGAAGGGGTGGTTGGGAAATCGGGAACGCTAGGACGCAGCTGCCCGTAGCCGCTAACATGTTAGGAGCATTATGGGTGGGGGCTTCCCGGTATGGGGTATTAGAAGCCCTGTCCGGCCACGTGCTTTATTCTTGGACTTGCTTTCCCGGGCCGCAGAACTCCACTTCTCATGTGTCCATGCTTTCAACGGCGACTCTTTAGCTCCTTACATTTCTTTTTTCTACAACCGCGGATATCCTCAACTTCAAACCTACAATCGTCAACATACGATGTAAAATACTTCGTGAGCATAAGCGCGAACAGCATCGGCAACGAAGGATGAACGCGTAAGCATTGATAGATTACGCGCAAATGCAACACTATAAATTACTTTCGATCACAGCTACCGACATACCTGGTATAATTCCCGATTCCGCGATGCCTACCATGTAATACCACTGTAGGTAATAATGGATCTGACAGCTGCAAATCTCGTACGACCCACCCTGCCACCTCCGATTTATTAGTGTATTACATACATGCTGTGTTACACCTCCGATATGTGTATTAGATGCAATAAGACCTCCTTTTACAGGTACCCAGGGATTTACACCACACAGGCCACCCCGCTGATGTCCCCTTCCATGCGCGTCAACCGTTCGGCGGTGGTGATCTGCACCAAGCTGAAATTTAGAAATACCATACATGAGGTACCTACTCTAGGTAGGTCAATAGATGTCCCAGATCTCCCACCGGGCCGACAAACCCCTAGCCGCTTCTCCAAGTTCTCGACGCCTTATCTCCAACTGCGGAATTCGGACTTGTTCGGTAAAAATCCACTCTATCACGTCGGCATGGTATTGGGTCAATTCTAGCGCGAGTGGGACGTCAGCTTACCTACTACTTACCTAGGTAAACATCTCCTTTACGGTAAGCTGACAGGGTAATGGTTTTGGTCCTCGTACCTAGTAGGGCTGAAACATTGATACCAGACGAAATGAAGGAACAAGCCGTTCTAGAACAAAGACGAAAGATAGCTCGGCTCGAATATTGTTAACGCCACGAAAAGATCCAAAGTAAAAGAGACTATCATTTAAGTCATTATTCCATTAGGAATAATGTATCTTTAATTCACTGTCAATCCGGTACCTAGTATGCTTACCAAGTACAAATCCCACATGAAGGACTTGACTACGGTATTCACATTACCTAAACACCGCGCTCTACCTAAGTATAACACCATCCGGTGATATCCTATTAGAAACTGATACCTGATAGTTCCGAAGGCTCCTCTGTTGCGGCCAGGATTCTTTCTAACTATATTACCGAGAAGCTTGCCGAGGAGCTGCAGGATGTGGTGATGTGATGACAAAATGGAGTTCTTTGAATGAACTTCATGCACAAGAAGCCGTATTCATTGGTATGCGTAAATCTACGTACGTCGTCGCCTACTGTTCACGAGGTGGAATTATATTGTACGATACATCATGTCGTATTAGGTTTGATATTTGCTATCTACGGTACTCCAACGAGTCTAATCTACTCTTACAAGGCAAGGGCAAACACATGTCCCAATCCGGTCCGCGCAGATTTTGGAAGGGTGGTATTATTATTATTTTCTCTATTCAGATGCAAGAGCCAAGACTAAGCTACTGAGTTGCTTCACGTCTTATTCGTTGACCCTTTCTAACGTTGGGTTGACAGTGACGGCCGTAGCTTCTAGAAACAATCTAGGCAGTGATTTGCCGTAACGGGTTTAATGTAAGGGAACGAACATCACGAGGAGTCATCCGCGACATCGGTTCAGGAAGCCAAATTTATGTTTCATCACTAGACTATTGGCATTCCTATCGTTGATCATTACCCGGCACGACGAGATTCGGCGATAGGAAGCATACAACCAGTCGGGTTCTATCAATTGGTCCGAATATCATATTTCATGTGCCGTAGATGTTTGAATAATAGAATTTTGATATTCAAATCTATCCATATGTTACCCCAAAGAGATGTCATGTCACTCTGAGGGATATCTGCGCCTTACCATCGAAATACCCTTAGCAGTATCTAAACTCGTATCATTTAAACTTATCGAGGTTCGCCAACCAACCCAACACTCTATATCAAAGCTCGTTTAGAGATACGTGGCATCAAAGTGATCAACCATCGATCTAGGACTTGAGGTCGCTGCCTGCGGCGCTATTGTAATACTCCCTAGCTGCCTAGGATATGCCTAATCTAGACCATAAAACAAGTGTGAAGATAAAGACTTCGTAACAGCGACATACACGTGTACGTACTAGGTAGGTATCATATCTTTCAGTACGGCCGTGATGCGCTACCCCTAAATTTATCTCGTGGTCATATTGGTGTGATCATCCAGAACCTGGTGCGGCTTTTAGCAAACTCGCTTGTAAAAGGCCAAATTGAGGAATTATGACACGATTACAAGCTACCTACCTAGCAAATGATCTTGTGTAATGATGTACAATTGAGGGCGTCTAGCTTCTAACTATATAATCCTATAACCGGCAATGTAGTCCCCCCTAGTTTAGTTCAATGGATGTATGCCACACCAGAACACTATGAACTAGTCGTAAGAAATTTTACACACTACCTACCTAATATGTAGGATGGGTTATGGAAATTACCCTTGTTGAGTAAACTCAGCTGATATGTCGAATATTTGATTGCTGTCACGACATTGAACATCACTAGAAGACCGTTGTTTTCGTGTAGATGTAAATTTCATGTATGATTATACTTGTTTTATGACCGCATGGAGCGATCACGATTGGCCGAAAGAAATACTACGCGATACACTATTTCCTCGCAAATCAACTACAGCCGTAGACTTTTATTCGTTGAAGGAGCTAAGTGGCGTTCTTTAAGACACCACAGCAGGAAATTTCTGCAGGCCCCGAATAACTCCTTGATTTACTTGCATTCTGAAAATAGGTACCGGGATAACTTATTATGTAATTTTGCTTTTGATTCATGCAGTCTCTGTAGAAATCATCGATCCTTCGTCTACTTAACTAACCTCTTACAAATAATTATTACCTCTTTAGAAGAAGATTACTCTTGTCGGCCAACATTATTCAAAATTCGTCAGACCGCTGGTTAAAAGTTGGGTAGGTAGGTAGGTACCTACTGGGAAAGTAGTTATGATGTACTTATTTTCCTTCGACAGCCAACTTTCATCACATGATGGGACATGCTCCAAAAGTCCCGAGTGGTTGGTTCCCGAAGATCGACACACATAGTGTCCGTATTAACTACCTATGATCATTGACGCAATTCTATGATAATAGCCGGAGGGCTAATGTGGCATTAAATGCATGGTTTAATGTCATAATGATGCTGAAGAGGGAGAATAATCATGGATAACTATCTAACCGTTTTAAATTTGAAACGGTGGCACGATAATGAGTGAGATAGCATGGTAAACAATCCCCGCTGTATATCATGCTACCAAGCAGACCGAAAGGACCTATGAGAAAGGACTTGGACCAACTGAGTAAATCTTACTCGTTAGGTAATCTCGACCTCGGAAACTATGTTTCATAAAATAGAACTACTTGGGGCTAACACGCCTATCTTGTGGATGTAAAGGGATAATAGGTATTATATTGAACTCATGCGTTGGTGTACCGGACATTATTACCGAACCGGGGGTTGTGGCTTTATCCCTTTCTAGCCCACGAATCCGATGTACCTTCTTTCCAAATATCCATCTTGAGTAAAGCAAGAATCTTCTCTATCAGCGAGATACTCAACGAGGAATTGTACGGGAAAAGCTGTATCATAAAGCTAACGCGTAGCTACCTACCTAACACCTTAACTAAATTAACTCCCTAATCTCTTACAGTGTTATAGGCCCTATCAACACTAAAGCGAGGGGATGATAGGAGACGCGCGATATTCCTACTCGATGGCGGCCTTCCCCGACATTATATCGCCCTTCGTCCAGTTATAAACTCCCCAACGCGCTATATCCCGATACCCTCTAAGCCTGATATAATATCTCACAACGCGAAGATAAACACTCGAAGGATAAGGGGAACGAACGCGGTCATGAGCTCATGGATGGACAATTTCGAAAAAGGAGGGAGATATACCAAACCATACCTACCTAGGTACATCCCGATAACCTATCTTACGTACCGTCGACCTTGAGCGATTTCTTTATTATAAGATATTGATAAATAGAATAATGTTCTATAGCCGACGAGTCAAGACCGATCATCTGTTATTTCCAACCGCTATATGTATTAACTTGATGCTAAGTAGAATTTCCGCGTAAATTCCTGAAGACGAACCTTAGAACCTCTGCTTATATCTTCAACGCCTTGGTTTTCATCATGCTACCTCCTGAGATAGGGGTATGTCTGCCCACCGAATTCAAAATCTTCCACTAGAACTACACGAACGAACCTATGGTCGGATGCCCAAGTTGTAACTACAATAGTAAACAAGTATACCCACGATTATCGAACAGCCTTATACGCGAAATATCCAACGAAAGCCATATATGGGAATCGGAGACTACGACTCGAGTTCGCGTTATCTGAAGTTTCACGTGATTTTTACGTGAGTTCGTGTCGGCAGAAATATCAATAAGGAGTAAGGACGGCAGCGATGGTACTTCATTATTTCCGAATTGATACCTATCAAGAGTACGCGAAAAGACATCTGAGACTGGCAAAGAATTGCCATAAGGTAACCTTGCCATGTCTATTGAGTTTCGTTTATCACGTACCTTTTCCTCCAGCCGAAACGAAATTTTAATTACATCTCTAGCAGCAAGAAACAAATTTGGTTGAGAGAACAATGGTAATACCGTAATACCTTATATACACCTATATTAAGTCATGTACTGTCGTAATCGTGATTATAAATTATCCAATTCCCAAGCATTAGGACATTAGAAGGACAAACAAAGCGCCGCTATCACCGGTAACCAACCCCAACTCCAGCCCCATTGAGCAGAGCGAGCACCAGCATTCCCAAACCCGCGCCCCTGATACCCGAACGTCACGTTCTGGACAACGGCTGGATTATAACAATTCCCACCAACAATATCGACACCTTTCAGATCGTCAGGTGTTAGGAAGAACATGTACTGCTTCTGATCGATACCCTCGAAGCCCTTCGTATTGTAGGGAAACAAGTCCGAGCTATCTGTGGCGGTCGTGTTGCGTAGGAAAATGCACTGGACCTGGCCTGGGTAGTCTTTTACCATCTGCGGGTAATCCTTCATTACATCTGAGTTGGATGTATCGGCGATGAGGACGAATTTACGCTGCGGGAATGTCTGGAAGATCTTGTCTAGTAGCGCTTTGCGGATTGACAGTGTTGCGGAGACGTCTGAGAAGTTGAGGGGTCGCGTGTCGAATGAACCTAGGGGGTATGTCTTGAAGATGAAGCTTTGGAAACCCAAGGTTAGTTCGACGATCACATGGTAACTACTTTAGACTAGAGAAGTATATACTCACTCCATGTAATTCCTTGTCACTTGCTCTGGTGTCGTGGTGAGATAATGAAAGTGGAAATTCGGGATCGAGGCGGACCAATTCGCGTAGATCTCAGGCATGTTCATCCACGGCGTGAACGCTCGAGCAAATGAGTTCAGGAGACCCTCCTTCGGATCATAGATTTTGGTGACACGGAGAATGTCGTCGATATCGGAGATAATGGTGAAACCCTCTGGCGGTACTAGGTAGGCCGTCGCATTGCCTGAATTAGTCCCATTTGCATACATGTTGAGAGCCTGAATGGATGAAGTAGCGTTTCCAGCCATCAAATGTCCACCGTTGGGACCTGTTGTGTTCTGCAAAACGACCAAGGTATCGAAATCTCCCTCGTCGGTGGTCGGGTATGGAAGTTTTAGCGTTTGCGCACCCCCTTCCTATGAATTGATCATGTTTAGCTAGGTGGAACATATACTATGCTGGCTCTTCATATGCTGACTTACAGCATTGATAACACCGCCGCTTGCGTCGGGGCGGATATTGACGTCGTTCTCGAAGTTCATAGTGACGTTCACATCCCTTTGCTGGACGACGAAGATAGAAGCCGTCATATTCCTCGCCTGCGTTTGCTCCGGCAGTGACAATTCCTCAATATCCGTACCAACTAGAAATATATTGGCCAAGTCATTCAGCTTCGATTCCGAGATATTGGGTTGCTTGTAGACATTGCCATGTATCCTGACGTTCCATCCTTGGTCGGTCCAATTTGCATATGCTCTAAATTTGTCAATATATTAACACCGTATTGCTGTTGGCAAGGAGGCGGGAAGTTGTAACGTGGTTCTTACGGGAGATTTAGGACTTGAGTCGGCGTAGCGGCAAGATCTGAGCTGTTTATCCCCAAAGAACTTTCGACGGCTGTACCACTAGGCAGGTCTTGAAAGAACTGAGGTACGCCTGACGCTACGTAGCTCGATACATCGCTTCCCAAACTAGTAATAAGGCTGTGGACGTAATCGACGGCATCGAAATCGCGCTCTACTATTCGATTCTTGAGGTCTGGAGCTGGTGTAATCATAGGATGACTCGGTGGTATGGCTATGGCTGTCCTAGCTAACAGTAGCGGCAATAGCCATGCTAACCGATGATATGATAGGTTCATAATTAGGTAGTCTTAGGCAAACGAATGTATTATAGAACGATCGTATGTTTAATTAGATTTACCGATTGACCGAAGCTCGGAAGCGTGCATAAAGGGACAATATAGGTTCGGGTAGTAGGTAAATAATAGAAATATCTCATACTGATCTTCTTTTTATTAATTGCCAATTCCATATCCCATAAAATGAATGACATGCGTGGCGCCACTAGGATTCTGCCCTGTTTGTTGTTGGCAAGTTTGGAAAGTCCTTTGTCTCCCGGTGGCTTGGCTATGACATCACTAGGTCGCGATGGTTCCTTGCATGTGTGATGCGGGAATGGGGAATCAAGCCTGGGAATCGGATTTCTCCATCAAATAAGGTTATGTAAGCGGCCTGCGCCGGGTGTCACATCTCGGCCCCGCGCTTGTCTCAGTTGAAAATCCCGGAATGGAAGGATCGAAGAAAACCTTGGAACTTGCTAGCTTGCCTGTGTTGTAGATCGTACCTTAAGCTGAGGTTACTTAACCGACGAAAGGAATATCAAAATCAGAAAGCGCCACGATAACAAGATGAGCAAAAGTATCGAGCCGGTGTTTGGATGTCGTTGCATTTAATTACCTAGGCAATATCGTGAAGTGTTTGTGAAGCTGAGGATGGCTCATGTACCCATGTCGATTGCTGACACCATCCCACCAACAACCCCCACAACACTCTATCGACTGAAATTGGATATTACCAGCTGGTGGCAAGTTCGGTATCTCATGTCTTAATCAACCATATATTGTCCTAGCCGACAATAGCCAATTCATCCTCCTATTCCGTGCTGAATATTCGAGATTAGATATTTGGCGATTGTATGCGACCATCGTGAGGTTTGTCAGGAGTATCGTAGAGCCTCGTGGCGTCATGCAATCTCGTTGCTGACTTTTCAGCCCGACGACTAGCCGATATCATGTCTCAAGGTTGATACTACGCCCAAAACGTGCATAGAGCTCAACCTTTAATTGTGTCATCTCGTCTTTCACCGTAGCGAGCTTGTCTTCGAGCCCTGATACATCTTCCTCCATCCGAGCAGTCGATGAGGCTAGTAGTTCTTGCGCCTGTGGTAATGGTATGTGGAAGAAAGCATCACCAATCTTGTACCTATGTGTCGAGCCGCTTGTTAGCGCTTCTAAGACCCCTCCAAGTCACCATAGAGGCTCATTCGGGTGTCGCCCGGCTACGAAGCTCATATTTCATTAAGGAATTCGTCTGGATATTCGGGATATTCTTACGGTATTTTGTCGTCTTCGTCGGCAAGCTCGAGTTCCATGGTGATGTCGTCGAGTTCTTCCTTCTCTTTCTATAATAAGGTCCCGTTAGCAATCATATTTGTCTTTTTCAAGGTCGGAGCCTAGCTTCTCGTACATTCTTGGCTTTCAGCTCATCTTCTAGACCCAGTTCTCGTTGATGTAAGCGACTGAATTTATTTATCTTGTCTTGGTCTTCGCGACGGACCTCGACCTCCTCACCGGCTGCTTCATCTTCCTTGGTAAGCTAGTAGTAAGGATTGGATGGTTAGCTTCGTAAGGTAGAGAGACACCAAGGATCAGGTATAAGCTAACCATACGACGGTTCATTTTGTTAGATCTGGACGATTTTCTTTTTATCGGTTGGTTTGCTGCGGGAACAAATATCTTTGATGCTCAAGCTTCCACAGGTATTGGGAGCTTTGAAAGTGGGCAGGTGGGGTGAAGGTTAGGCGGGATTGGGTAAGGTCAATATTCAATTAATCGATACCTTGTCGGTACTTTATTAAACAGTTACTCCACTCACATAGAGGGCTGAGTCACGTGGTTGATCAGATACATAACCCAACACCAGATGTGATTTTTAGTGATTTTTAATAATTATATCGAGTTTCCTATTGTAATATGCGAATATCCCATCTTAAACCTTGAGTTGAAACCTCTTAAATATGTGCTACCTCCTTCCCAAGATAAAATATGGATGTACTGAAAATTAATTTAACCTTAAACGACTGTTTCCATCTCGTAACGAAATATTTATTGAATATTCTGCCACTTCAATGTTCGTAGATACCCAATCTGGTTTAGGTACTAGTATTGTGCATCCGTAGCAGCAACTTGGCCAATGAGCAGTTCGGATGTTTAAAACATTGGTCACTGTTTTTCCGTATATTTTCGATACCTCAGCCTCCATCTTACCATACAGCAGAGAATTATATTAACAAGCATCCTTCATATCAAGGCCATACTTCTTCGTCTAATCTTTACTCCTTGACCCGACTCCGAAGTTTTGTATCTCATATAACGATGGGTAGGTACCTAACCATCGGCTAAAATATACACCACCAACTCTTTAACCTTACTAGTGACAAACATAAAACACCAGCAGTACTTCTCCCCATATTGATACCACCTAAAACGTAGGTAGTAAAACAAAAATAGTTCACCTTCTATACACCCTGCTAGCCGTGTTAAGATGTTGGATTCATTCGACCAGGAGTTTGATCACAATGAAGTCCGTCCGACTTTTTACATCGGCCAACATGACTCAACAAGATCAGAGACATTGACTGATTTACAATATGGCCAAGTTCTGAATTCTGGTGTAAGTAGTCGTCTTTCAAATTCTGTACTGCGCTACTCACACGCTCACAGTTCAGTTTTATCACGACACCAATCACTAATGAGCATTTTCATGACCGTGTCTTGAACCTCCTAAAAGCCAGCCTGTTGGATGCCAAGAATAATGAGCAAGCCGGCTCGATATTGGATCCCGTGGTACCACCATTAACCACCGAGGATACTAACCTCTTCCCGGGAACATATACGAGTGGCCTTGTTGCCTACTCCAGCCCCTGGATCGACTTATGTTCTTCTAATCATATCATCTCGAGCATTTCCAGGCAGGTTCTAAATTTGGAGGTCTCCTATGCGAATTTCTGTGGTGTTAGGAGCATCATAGTACCTGGGCCTAGGGAAGACTCGATTAAGATCGGCAACAGCCAAGGCATCGCGCAGTATGCTCGAGCTATCCATGAAGCCTTTTCCGTCGGAACGCGAGTTAGCATTATCATTCACATTCCCATGTATCGTGAGCCTAGTCTGGAAGAAAAGGTACCACTGCTGTCTCTGTTCGACGAAAGTGCGAGTGAGACGCCTTCTAAAGAGAAGGAGATTGACCTTTTCAGTGCTTGGGATTCCTGGCACGTCATTCGCACTGTTTGTGAATACGATGCCCGGCTTTTTGTTGGTAAGTGCCCTTTACTATACTTACCACAATGACTACAGCACCATCAGTAGCTTCAGTGCTAATATAAGGAACACTAAGCCCTCAAAATTCCTCGTGTGCTTCCAGAGAAAGAACTCCAGACGAGATGGTTCTCAGAGCCTCTCCAATACTTGACGTTTGGCCCCCAAACGTTTCAGACGAACAAAGCCGGCCATCCATCCCTTAGCCACCATCACCAAGACTTGATCTTCACCTACATGCGTCTGAAAAACGCGCCATACTTCCTCCTTTGCGATGTGGGCCCGGAAGTACAGGCCGATTCGGATCCTAAGCAGATAACGAGCGCAGACTTCCCGACCCTCGTCGAAGCTGCCGCACAGCATACCGCAAGCGGCAGTGGCAGCAGTAATTTCCAGGGGCAGAACGGCTACTCGGCTTATCTACGACACCTTGAGAGACACCAGGAGCCTCTCGACGACTTGGAGCAGACCACCCTAACAGGCTTTCAGGACTGGCTACAGTCGCCCCTACAACCCCTCTCAGACAACCTTGAATCTGTCACATACGAAGTCTTCGAGGGCGACCCCGTGAAGTACTTCCAATATGAAATGGCCATCGCAGCCGCACTCAAGGAGTGGGATACGCTAGGAAAGCCCAAATCAGGACCTGATGGCGAAGTCGTGATCGCAGTCGCAGGATCCGGTCGAGGGCCCCTCGTCACACGCGCACTCCGAGCCAGCGAATCGACCGGCGTCCCGGTACGCGTGTGGGCCGTAGAAAAGAACCCAAACGCGTACGTGTACCTCCTACGGCAAAACCAGCGAGAATGGAACGGCCGCGTGACCGTCGTGAAAACCGACATGCGAGCATGGAAAGGCCCGCTTCTCTCCCCACCATCTGACCCCCCGGTCTACGGTAAAGTCGACATCCTCGTGTCCGAGCTCCTCGGCTCTTTCGCCGACAACGAGCTCAGCCCCGAGTGTCTCGATGGAATCCAGCATGTGCTAGCCCCTGGCTCGGGTATCTCGATCCCGGCATCGTACACCGCGCACGCGAGCCCCATCTCCTCCCCGCGTATCCATGCCGACATCCGTCAGCGCGCGGCGGCCGCCGATGCGAATGCGTTTGATACGCCCTGGGTCGTGCGCCTTTTCGCGATCGATTTCGTGGCCGCCAAGGGCGTCCCGGATCACCCTCGCTTCCAGCAGGCGTGGGAGTTCGCGCACCCGCTGCCGAAGGCGACGATGGATGCCGTGGAGGCGAGACGTGCGGGCGGTGTTGCGGGCGGTGGTGGAGGGAGTATGGCGGGAGCCGTCGGCGCGAATGATCATAACGCCCGCCATTGCTGTATGACGTTTGTGTGTCGGACTCGGGGCGTCGTACATGGGCTCGCGGGGTACTTCGAGGCGGTGCTGTATGAGTCGAAGACGGGGGCGAACGGTGAGGAGGAGGGTAGAGGCATGGTGGATGGGAAGGTCGAGCTGAGCACGCTGCCGGATTTAATACAGAGGAAGAGCAAGGATATGATTTCTTGGTTTCCGATCTTCTTTCCGCTGAAGGTATGCCGTTGCTATACTTATCGTTTTTAATACTTTTACGTGTTGTGCTAATGGGAGGATCTAGGAACCGCTCTACTTCCCGCCGGATACCGAACTGGAGGTTAGCATGTGGAGGCAGACGGATGACGCGAAGGTGTGGTATGAGTGGATGGTCGAGGCATTCATGTGGGTTAGTCCGTCACAGAGGGTCAAGGTTGGAGGGTCGGAGTTATGCAGTAGCCGTAAAGTGGCTTGCCTGCTGTGATACATGGTCTCGGAGGACGGAGATTAAAAGAAAAGACACAGGCAAGGTACTGTAGAGACAGAGAGACGAGGTTAGGTTAGGTTAGGGGAAAAGCATTTGCATTTTTAGGGGCTGTCCTTAGACTAGTTCCTTTCCGGTGTTGCCCTGCTCAGGACCACCGAGTTGGCGATTGAGCTATTCCGTTTCGCGATGAATTCAAAAAGAACTACCATGACGATCGAGCAACAACAAAAATGCCCATCCCGTTCTGTTTCCTGTTCAGGCAGTAGGTCGTATACATTCATCGCAGTTGCCTCGAGGCTGTCGAGACCTTGCCCGTCATCATAAACCCGTGTGTCATGTTCTGCCTTGCTTCGTTCTTCCTAGACATCAAGATAGTGCTTCATTCAGGGGTATATATCTGCCACCTTCGTCTGACCCGACTGTAGCTTCAACTTATCCGCCCATCTTGACGTCCCCGTTCTCGCCTTGGTCGGCGGCTTTGATCCATAATACGTTGTTGCACCTGTAGATTGACATATTAGCCAATTATTCAAAGAGTAAACATAAACACACAACCCTTCTCCCGATTGTTTCGTGTATAGATATGGGATAGTATATGTAGGAAACGCACCGGATTAAGATCTGTCCTAGGTCGCTCGTAAACTTCTGGTCGATGAATTCTTGGGCGTTGGTGAGTTGAATGTTCATGTAGCTATCGGAGCTAACGAGTCGGCCGCGGTATTCGGTTTCACCCCACTTTAGTCGCACGACGATGTCCTTGTTGACACTATTTTTCTGTTAATTTCTTGACCGTGGCGCCTAGGGATTCGCGTAGGGAAACATACAGGTCTTGCAGCATAGGCCGCGGGTTAACAGGCACGAACTATATTTTAGTTAGTTTGTCTTCGTGAGAAAAAAGAGCTTCCGAATGAATCGGATAGGAACCTTACACTCATGGTGGATGCAGACGGTGAGGTTTCGTGAGGAATTGTGGTTGTTGTTTGTCGCGGCGAGCTCCAGGATTAATAGCTTCAAAAGTTCAAAGGTGTAAAGGCTGCACCTTGAATTTTCGGCCATTGACCCTTGAATCGGATTTATGTTTTGATTGGTCGGTGAGATTTGCAGGTAAGCCGTATGTGACTATCGAGGTCTTTCGTTTTTAGAATTCTGCCCCGCTCCTACCAAAAACTGACAGAATTGAGTGATTCACCCACTTACTATTATTAAGAAAACCTCACTATTTCAATGATGTAAAGACAGAAATATTTGAAGGTTTAACTGGGGTATATTGACTGGGCTCACATATATCAAGGGCGGAAAGGTAGGTAGTCAACTTCGTCTTGGCAGCAAGGCTCAAGCTCTCTTGATGTCCCAATTCAAATCCTTAATGCTAACCTCATCATTCGCTTTCTCATCGTACTCATACCATTCTCCCTCTTGTAGATCAACCCCTTCGAACTTAGTTCCGGACTCTATACCATCTGCCAACCATTCACCCTATACCATGATTAGTTTGAAGGCATATTTGACGAAACAGATGTAAAAGCCACTTACCTCTGGAGTGAAAGTTACGAACTCCAAGCCTCGGCAGTCGAATTCGATGATCGTCTGTTGTTTCGGAGGCTCGTTTTGTTCATACGGCTTGGGAGTAGTCTTGATGGAGCAGGATGATTCTCGCTACATCTTCAAGTATTAAATTATAGCTCGTATACATTCGGCCTCATTGCCAACCAACCTTGCAATTCTTGCATTTCCATACGAAATTTGCCTCTCCCCTACTACCACTCAACTCGTTGGTTTCCTAAAGACGGCTCATTAACGATATTTCACCACTCCTAGAATTTATATAATAATATCAGACAATAAAGATCAAAAACTCTTACAAATCTGCTGATGGCAATGGGGTTTCCGTGCGTCTCTCGGCATGAAGTACATTGGACCGTGAAGGTATACCAGAAAGGACTCTCTGCGGTATCCTTAGGCCGCAGATTGGTAACCCTACGGAATCATTCTGATTAACTGGGAAGCAAGGAGCATATTTTGACCATCACTCACCCATTTAATTCTGCTGCCAGCGTGAGCGCATACATCTTGAGCCTTTTTTTTTAATCAGATACCAGTGGAGGATATTGGACGAGAGAAGACTTGAGAGATTGAGTCTCAATCATTCAATATATTGAAGGTAACTATCCGACTATGACAATATAGTTGAGTTAATATAGATATATGTATCTATTGGTGCGTTAGTAATCTTAGATATGCATCTATTAATAAACCCTTGAAAAATACGTCAGCGCGGGACAGCTCGATAAGTACCTGAGTACCCCAGCAAATTGACCTAATAGCTGACATAATATTTTTCGGCAACTTCCTGAATCGCGATATCGAACGATAACTGATAAAAAATGATAAACTCTCCAAATTAGAAGACGAAGCTTCCGAAACGCGGGCAACACCTATAGAAGCCCCGTAGTCGCCAATTGGGGTTCTATCGACCTAGATGGCATACCTCAGGTATGCATTCGTTATGGTCAAGGGCCGCACAAGCGCAGAATTCGTGTCGCTGTCGATTATGCCACCATTCCGCTCACATAACCGTACGCCGATCCACGAATGCGGCCCCGAGACGCAGAGTTTCCCCTGCTGACCTTTTCACCGCGTGTTATACTACTATTCTCGGTGCCGCCACCGTTTTCGATTCGAAAAGGAAAGAGGATAGGAGACATGAACTTGATGAGAGGTTAGAAAAAGCTAGAAATGCGTTAGGCAAATTGGGTGTTCAAGAGTCTTCCGACCGACAAGACGACAGGCCCCGCCAACACGACAGCCATGGGGTGGGTGTGTTGAACGCAATTACTTCCAGCTCTGCACATGCATTGCCACAAGAATTGGTAGCTCTGTGCAATATTGCTCATCGGCCGCTATTATATTCGTCATGGCTACAAACCCAACTTGAGTGGGTGCAGATCGAAGCCGCCATCGTTGCGGAAGAACAAGATCTAGAATATATACATAGAGAACCAAGGTCCGATCGACATTTGGAGATGACAACATCGACGGTTATAGGATTAGTAAATCAACTAATATGGCGGAACCAGACTAACGAAAGCACCCGGAGTCAGGATAATCTAGAAATAAATGGGACACCAACGGTAGTAGATGAATTCTTGAACGAACTTCGAGATACGCTACGGACGTCACATTACCCCAGTTACCATCAACCTTATGCGGATGTCGATGACACCGCAAAGAACCGACTTCTTCTTGGAGAATCCATACGCCGCATTTTTAACCAAGCTACAAGTTCTTCAGAAATTGTAGCTAAGATATCTTACAATCTCTTGACGTCTAGCGCCCCTCCGAGTATTCATACATATAATACTCTTATCGCTGGCTTCAACCGGATACAACGCCCTGATCTTGCCCAGGCAGTTATCGATTCATATATTCACCGGACCACTTGGCCTGCCACCCAGCAGACCATCGTGTGCTTGCTGAACCATTATCGAGGAACTGGTCAAGTGGAAGGTCATCGAGATATTATCCAGCGAATGAGGGGCGTTAAGGATGACGGCCTACACTATCGAATCATTGATAAGAAAGCCATCTACACGCAAGAATGGTTAAAATGGGCCACCGAAAATTGCGCCTCGCGACGACACGCATTTGTGGAACGGGCGCAAAGGGATGATGCTGTATTCAACAGTCTCATTAAAGGTTATCTCCATCGCGGAGAACTTCGGAATGCTAGCATGGCTTTGGTCGCATGTGTGCGCGTTGGAGGTTTCGTCCCCGTTCAAACGCTCCAAGACCTTTTTAGTGCTTGCTTAGCAACTGTCGACTACGCAGCAATACGGAAATTGGTCCGAGGTTTTGTGAAGAATATGCTCAAATTCATGGCCATTGTTAAGAGGATTGTCAACGAAGAACCAGTAGCGGCGTCTCGCCAGGTGGTGATAAGTGTTTCTCGTTTATTAGACATATGCTGGTTTCCAGACATAGATATCTTTGGACCTGTCACTGGAACTTACGCTCGGACGCAACATAGGCTGAGGTCCATATTGACTAGAGTTCAATTTGAACTTGAGATAAGAGAGACTGCAGCTTTATACAGGGCTACGCTGAAGGAGATCCACTCGACTGATCTATTGATTAGTCGTCTTGAGAGAACGACTGCCGCTCTAGAATCTGCTCAGCGGAGCAGGCGAAAGATTATGGAGCCGCTCACCAACTTTTCCAAGATGGCTAAAATCCTTTCAATTGATGAGAGATGCCGTGACATGGAACCAAAAATCAAGAGCATAACGTCGATAATAAACACGTCTATCATCAAATACAAGACACTCTACGATTTCGATCCAACTGGGCTTGTCGCAAATAAACGACCTTGGGATTTAAGCTACCCCCAACAAGTTCGACGAAAGTCGATTATTAATGCTCTTCAAAGGATTCAAATTTATAAAGGCCACATGACGCAAGGGGATATCAAGTTACAACTTCTTCAAAATCTACCCGACCAAGGGCTGGCAAGAAGGCTAGAGAACTCGGGTGGCGCAGAAAACCTAACCATATTTACTCTTACAACATTTTACGCCCCGAAGCTAGGTACCTCCAGGAGATTACGAGATCATAATTACAGCAAGTCTATTAGACAACTGGAGCAGGAGCTCACCGACACTGTAGATACGGCCAAGGCGATTCTATTTGCACGCCTGATCGGTGGGTTTCAGAGCAAGCTGAGGTATAGACACCCGGACTGGAACAAGATGCCTCTCGAAAAACTTGTGGAATATCACATGCGGTATGGCATCTGCAAGGTTAGAAAGACGAAGCAAACAGAGGGTGTTGGATCACGCGACCAACAAAACCCCGCAATAAGAACCAGTCAGGACCCATCAATGGTTCTAGAAGACGCGGACGATGCAAATACCATCGTTCCAAGAGGACATGCATTAGGTGTCGATGAGGGGCTAAATTCAAGCGAGCCGATCACAAAGCCTCGTTCAATGGGTCCATCCGCGTTGCGTGACGAGGATTCACCTTCGCCCGTCGCGGCTTTGGGATGAGGATCCAAGTACATACATAGAAGTTGTGGGGTGAAAATGAGGTATGCCCTGCAGAATAAAGGAGACCATAATTGGATCTGGAGAAGCTTGGCATAAGGACTAGGGAGTCTTGAACCAGGCCTCCGTTCCCCTGTATATAAAAAAATCGTATACATAAGATTACTTACATATATACCTACTTTGACGTTTTCAACTGATCGTTAGCCGATTCCAAAATATTTGGTTGCGCTGTGGTAATGATCATGCAGTTTCCAGACCGATACCGGCTATTAGATAACTGGCCATGTAAAATATGACTATGGTACGTCTAAGTACTATGTAGAACTCATGAGACTATTGGCTTAGCTTTGGATGTGTCTCTTCGTTTCGTGCGTGATATTTGCCATCAACTCTATATCGTGTAAGTGAAGATGCTTAGGTGCGTAAGCCGGTGTGAGGGATTATATTAAGACAGGATACCTACACACATACGTCTATGTAGATACAACGTCGAAATAAGTATAGCAGCATAGAAATAGACTGCCGCATACATTAGATAAACATCGCATTATAACTACCCTACCCACTACATAGTAGCATAGTAGCATGGTAATAAGTGATAAATGATACTGCAACATTGTCACACCTGGGGCTCCCAGTGGGTCTTTGTCCTGTCTTCGGACTTTTTTAAGGGTTCGAGTCTAGGCGGTTCCGATAGACGTTCACTGCAACGTGAGGAAACTCGATAGGATCGGTTTTAATGTCGGCCCAACTTTGGAAAGGGATTTGATGGATTTGATGCCGAGTGGGACTATGTACGAAGTATCTATTCAATGTTTTATAAGATTAGGTACTAGGTAGGTGGTTTGACAGATACATAGGTACGCAGCATGAAGGGGTGAAGCCGCGGTCAAGTCCAGCAAGAAACAAGCACGAACGAGGTACTTAAAGTTCACTAGCGGGCGGGCGGGTCGAAAGGGTGTCTTCGTAACTTATCCCGATTGGCCAATCATAGCTTAGAATCTACATCACGTCTCCCCACGGCAAGGATTTACTGGCCCATGAGATCCCACAAGACTACCTAGGTACGAACCAACAAGAACCTTGAAAAACTCAATGATTTAACCTCACCGCTCGGGAAGGTAAAAAAGCGGAGCATAAATGGGCTATTTAGGGCTTACTGCGTCACTGCCAGTTTGAGAATACAGATAGAGCGATAGAGCGATGGACATCTGGAGCTATGGAGCTAGGCATATACATAAGTATATGTACCTAAAAAGTTAGACCGTTAGGGGTCTCAACTAGCAGAAGTGGCTGCAGAATCTCCCCAGACTTAACCATTAACCACTACAAAGAGGGTACAATTACACAGGCAGTGACACGCTTCGTCGTGTGGATTGTGGATTCTTAATAAGTACATACCTACCCAGTGCTTCTTATCCTCACCTAGACGTTTCTCTTCTTTCCTACCCACTTCTGCTGCTTCTTACCTTCTACAAAGGTAAACTGTCTTCCCTCTCCTCCCCGAGTCTGATAGACATATCAATGGCTCCAGATATCTGCCATCGACAGCAACAAGAGGCACAGTCTACCGGTTACTCATGATACCCACCGGCCACATCATCATCGTTCGATCAACTCAAGACTCAAGTATTAATTGAGGTCGTCGTCGTTACGTCGATGTTGTAGATTTCAACCGTTCGCAATCACAAATTACTTCTCCATCGATTGCCAATACGCAACTCACCATAACCATTGAACAGACGTAAGATCTGCTATCAAGAATCGTAGCTATAGTGAATCTCGAGCTAAACACATCATAGGTATTACATTTGTCACTTGGTCCAAGTCACACGTGTAGCTCTGTTTGCTACTTGGCTTAAGCTACTTAACGCACTACTCAATTTTCATTCTGCCACTTCAACTCATTCTCTCTTTCGTATACGTACCCAAACAAGACAAGAAAAGGACACGATGAAGTTTGGTAGAAAGTAAGTTTGAATACCTAGCTCTATATCCACTCGCGAACAGAGGCTCACAGTTTACCATAGCTTACCTCGCAACCAAGTCCCCGAGTGGGCGGCTTCGTATATCAATTACAAGGGCCTTAAGAAGTTGATCAAGGCAGCTACAAAAGCAGCACAAGCGGGAGAGAATGTTGATCTAGCAGGTGGGCTAATTTCTTCGACGCTACGTCGATGCCGGTTGTATCCCCTAACCTAATCCAACAGAGTTTTTCTTCGCTCTGGATCGTAACCTCGAGGATGTCGACTCATTCTACAATAAGAAGTTCGCCGAAGCCCATCGCCGTATCAAGCTTCTCGAGGATAGATATGGCAGGAGTCCCGATGTTGTTACCGATCTAGATGATCAAGAGAGCGAGGAACTTATGGGAGCTCTACTTGAGCTTCGGAATCAGCTTCGAAACCTCCAATGGTTCGGCGAAATTAACCGCAGAGGCTTCGTCAAGATCACGAAGAAGCTAGACAAGAAAGTACCTGATACGACTACCCAGGAACGGTACATCACGACGAAAGTCGACCCTAAACCGTTCGCCAAGGATACAACTACCGTACGATTGATCAACGAGATTAATAAATGGCTATCGGCCCTAGGGGATGCCCAGAATCTTGACGATGCCGCATCAGTAAATTCTACACGTTCAGTTCGTTCGCTCGGAAGAGTGACCGCCAAGGCCATGTTAAGCGTTTCACAAGCTATCCTCGATAAGCTCGACGCAGCAATTCGCAAGGACGATGTAACGACCCTGGAATCTAGCCTAACCTCTGAAAAACTGATTACACCAGAACAGGTTTCCCAGGAAATGTTGCTAAGCCTCCTCCAACGTTCAATTTCCGCCCGATCAAAGGCTTGTATCGCGTATCTTTTGAAACAGATTAAGACGTTAGAAGAGCCGAATGATTTGAACGAGCGGAACTGCGTCCATCGTCTAGTCATCCATATTGGGAGAAGTAAATCGTCTCTAGCGAGTGATTTAGAACCTAACGCGGTTTCCCTCCCAATCAAATCTCACTATAATAGTCATTATGTTGCACCGGCTCAAGTCAACGGTTCCACGACAGCACGTTCCGCTAATGGAAATGGTGCAGATCCACAGCTGTTGAGCAAGGAAGACGATACAGTACAGGTTCTATGTTATCTTCTAGACTGCCTCCAGGAAGAGCAGCGCGCTGCGCTAGTCAGTAAAGATTCCCTCGGCCGCATCCCCTTACACTATGCGGCGCAATTTGGGTTTGTCGTTCTTTGCCAAGTCATCATGGCAAAAATGCAGGAATGGGGGCAATTCAACGTCGAGGACGGGATTGATGCTCCACAGTGGCAGGATAAAGAAGGCAATGCGCCACTTCACCTCGCTGTTATTGGCGGTCATCCGTTGACTACAAAATGCCTTTTGCAGGGCGAGAATTGGCAGGGACCGACTCACAAAGACGGAAGGAAACCTGTTTCCAAGTCCAGTGCTGTGTTGGCATTGGCTACAAAATCGAATTTCGTATACATAATACGATTGCTGGTAGAGGCTGGTGTCGATATCAACTGGCAGGACGAGACAGGCGAGACCGCACTGCACATTGCCGCTAGGTTCGGACATGCCGAGTGCGCTAAGATCTTGCTCAATGGTTCAGCCGAGCAGAAGGCAAACTTGGAATTGACAGAGAAGTCGTTTGCGTGGACTCCTCTACACATATCAGCTGTAGACGGCCATCTTGATGTGGCACAACTCCTAGTGGAAGCTGGAGCAGATGCCGGGAAAACTGACTCGTTTGGATGGACGGCGAAAGAGCACGCCGCTTTAAGGGGACACCTGAAGATTTCAAAACTTCTTGCGGAGTACACAGTCAACTCCCCATATCTTAACGCCATGGAAGACGACCAAACGCCATCCTCTGGACCGTCGACGCCTCCGGAGACATCATCCCTCGAAGACCGAAAATCGGATGGAAGCACTCGAATCGCAGAGCCGATTAAGTCTTTCGGACACCGCTACCTTAGGGACCGCAGTCTCGTGTTGGTGAGTTTGGGTTCTATGGATATGCGGAAGAATACCGAAGCCGTTAAGCTCGACCGCGTTCCCCTGACGGAAGCCCATACGAATCAACTCGACACAGCTCTGTCTATTGTGGTTTCAGCGCAAGGCGCTCAAGGAGACCCTACTATTATTGACCTGCCCGTGCATGAAAACATCTCCACCGAGCCAATCTTGTTCACTACCTCGGACGCTTCAAATGTCAGGCTACTCTTTGACATTGTGCCGACGTACTCTGGAAACGAGAAAAATAAGATAGGCCGCGCTGTGGCATTGCTATCTTCAGTTCGTCCGTCAATTGGAACGAAACGAATGAACCTTCAGGGTGATGTATGTGTGCCAATAATGGGTGCGAATTTGGAAGTCATCGGTGCAGTCAACTTCAATTTCCTCATTATTACACCATTCTCCCATCCAAACATGGAAATCAACTCACAGCAAACGTACTGGAAGAAGTTGTCCTCTACTATGGTCTTTGGTCATCGTGGCTTGGGCAAGAATTTCCTTGAGAATAAGTCGCTTCAGTTGGGAGAGAACACAGTCTCTTCATTCATTGCTGCAGCGAACCTGGGAGCTCACTATGTCGAATTCGATGTCCAGCTAACTAAAGATCACGTCCCAGTCATATATCATGATTTCTTAGTAAGCGAGACGGGGATAGATGCGCCAGTTCATACATTGACATTGGAGCAATTCCTTCATATCAACAATGAGTCGCAATCGAGATCCGGAAGAGTGTCGCCGGAGAGGAAGAAAACGGAGACGAACGGAAACGGTGCGAAAGAGTCCGGGTCAAGGCAACGGTCTCTTTCTATGGACTTAGCCAAGGGCGTCAAGGACAATCTTAATGAGCGTATGAAATACACGCTCAACTTCAAGCAGAAAGGATATAAGGCGAACACTCGTGGCAATTTCGTCCAAGCGCCCTTTGCCACACTTGAAGAACTCTTCAAGAAAGTTCCGGAAAATGTAGGATTCAACATTGAGATGAAATATCCTATGTTGTTTGAGAGCGAGAAAGAAGATATGGATACATACGCGATTGAGCTCAACTCATTCTGCGACACAGTTTTAGCCAAGGTCTACGACATGGCCAAGAATCGCCACATCATCTTCAGCAGCTTCAACCCAGACATCTGTCTCTGTCTCAGCTTTAAACAGCCTAGCATTCCGATCTTGTTCCTGACTGACGCAGGAACGGAAGAGGTCAGCGATATCAGAGCTAGCAGTCTTCAGGAGGCTGTACGCTTTGCTAGCCGGTGGAACCTCCTTGGTATCGTGAGCAACGCGGAGCCGTTTGTAAACAGCCCTCGGTTGGTTAAGGTAGTCAAACAGACCGGGTTAGTCTGCGTTAGTTATGGAACGCAGAATAACAACCCTTCTCTAGTCCAGGTATGTCGCCCCATTATTTTCAATTGGCTCATGCCGTTTGCGCAAATAAAAGAACAAGAACTAATTGAAATATTTTCCATTTAGCGACAAGTCAAGGAAGGTATTGACGCGGTAATCGTGGATAATGTATTGGCAATCCGCCGGGGATTGACCAAGGATGATGATTGATTATCATGCTGGGTATCTATTGATGTCTAGGACTGAGGGGTGGAATTTGAAGTGTTGATTTTAATGAGTAAATCAGCATTCATGTCATCTGTGAAATAGGTACTAGTAATCTAAATTTACAGAGTGCCAGGTGTGATAATATTTGACGTGTGTTACGGCATTACGGCGCTATCTGTCCCCTACAAATCGTGACTTCCCGTAACAGCGGGGGTTCTAAGATCGGAGCTCCGACTGTGACGACATTTGAAAGCTGCCTGAAACCGATAATACCGATAACATTGTATCGGTGGTTGAGCAAATTGTTGAATAAATTATGCACTTAAAACGATCCCGGCGGCAGACTTTTGCCGAATACCGGCCGATTGGTAAGGACAGCCAATGTTGCGCACCTGCCGGTCATCACATCACCAGAGGCAAAAGGAAAGTTCGAAAGATTCGAACTTCCCTCACAGATTCGCCGCAAATCCACAATTCTCGATTATTTTCTATCGCGATTTCCAATTCCTAAGGTCTTACAGTTAGCCTTAGGAGAATGCCGCCTCTTCCCTAGTTACGAACTAGAAGCTACCCGCTCTTTCCTTTTCCTTAGATTCATTTCTACAGTATTTCCGATTTCCGAATTGATTGGATTTGATTGAATTGGTGGCGGTCGGCGATCCTTTCTGTACTCTATCTATTCTTTACATCATCGCCGTTGTTGCGCATACGTGATATATTTTTCAATAACTTTGTTAAACCCAAGCAGAGAGTATTTTCTACCGTTTGTCTCGGCTGACTAGCCATCTGCGCGCGCCGAGTCAAGTCGCCATGGCGTTCCAAACGTCAGCTCTTCCGAGCATCGCGGCGGCGACAACGGACCTGTGGCCATCAATCCTCAATACTGTGATGGTACCTTTCCGAACATCATCGCTCCCGTCCTTGAATCCGAATGCGCTTCAACCTAAGAAAGTCGAGCCAAGATTACAACCAACGAAATCGAATGTCCAAACTGAGGCCTCTGCCGGTCTGCCCAAGTTCAAGCTTCCTGAATTTCTTCAGAATGCTCAACTTGACGCCCATCTCCCAACCGCTACATATATGAATACTATCCCCGCTCCTTTCGATATCCGTTCGTCGATTTCGACAATGCGGCGTGCCACTCTTTTTGCGGCAAGCCCTGTTGCACTTCGTTTTCAACCGCAATATGTACCGCTTCGATCTATGTCTACCGCGACCTCTCTACGTCCATTCTCGAACCCGCTCATGAAGATCAATATGATGAATATGCCTCAACGGAGATCTTTCCAGACTGGTGGATTGTCTAGGAACCTGCTCGCTCATATGGAGGAATCTGCCAACAGAAACCCGACAAGTGCCACTGCTCAGAATGCATTCTACCAATCCCTCCTGAGAGCGAATATGCCTGCTATTATCATCGAGAGATATCAGTCTGGACGGTTTGCAGCAAATCCTGCAGCAACTGAAGCATACCACAAAGCACTAAGTATGATAAGTCCTAGTGCAGGTCAGGGTATGCGAGAGGAGGATATCAGCCATACTATAAAGAATCTACCGGGAGATCTCACGGCTACACAAATCCAAGCTGTAACTCAGGCTCTAGCCGCCCGATCTCGCGGTGGTAATCTAGCGGTTTCCACCAAAGGTGGTCAGGCAACCGGTGGAAAGGATGGTCCTCTTCATGTTGTCGTCGACGAGACACTTGGTGGTAGCGTCTTCCGTTGGGTCAAATTTCTCTTATGGTTCTGTCTGTTTACTTATCTGAGCTTGGTTGTTGTGACTATGCTCATTGAGGGTTTAAGTGTTCTTAAGCGGCCCGGAGGCAAAGTCGAAAGCGAGGTCAAGGCTGAGCACCAGAAGACTCGATTCTCGGACGTCCACGGCGCTGACGAAGCTAAGGAAGAATTGCAAGAGATGGTTGAGTTTCTGCGCAACCCCGACAAATTCTCGCAGCTCGGTGGCAAATTACCCAAGGGTATTCTGCTAGTTGGACCTCCCGGTACTGGAAAAACTCTTCTTGCTAGGGCTGTCGCCGGCGAAGCTGGTGTTCCGTTCTTCTACATGTCCGGTAGCGAATTCGATGAAGTCTATGTCGGTGTCGGTGCCAAGCGAGTGAGGGATCTTTTCGCCGCTGCGAAGTCTAAGTCACCCGCCATCGTCTTCATCGACGAACTCGATGCTATTGGAGGACGCCGTAACGCGCGCGACGCCGCATATGTTAAGCAGACTTTGAACCAACTTCTAACTGAGCTCGACGGTTTCGATCAGACCAGTGGTGTTATTATCATCGGTGCTACGAACTTCCCCGAGATGCTGGACAAAGCCCTTACGCGACCCGGTCGTTTTGACCGTCACGTCACCGTCGATCTGCCAGATGTACGCGGTCGTCTTGCCATTCTGAAGCATCACTCCAGGAAAATAAAGTCCGCTGCAGATGTAGATCTCCAATCCATCGCCTTGGGTACTTCTGGCCTTTCTGGAGCCGAGCTAGAAAACATTGTCAACCAAGCTGCAGTTCACGCTAGCAAGGTAAAGGCTTCCATGGTCAGGAAAGAAGATTTCGATTGGGCCAAGGACAGAGTTATCATGGGTGCCGAGCGAAGGACTATGGTCATTAGTGCCGAAGAGAAGGAGATGACAGCCTATCACGAAGCTGGTCATGCACTTGTCAACCTTTTAACTAAGGGTTCTGGTTCAAGCCTATACAAAGTTACCGTTCTCCCCCGTGCCCATTCGTTGGGTCATACCGCAGCTCTTCCGGAAATGGACAAGTATTCATACACTATCAGCAACTACCTAGCTCGCATAGACATGTGTCTAGGAGGTAAGCTTGCGGAAGAGATCGTGTACGGACTCAACTCGGTCACCAGTGGCGCTTCATCGGTAAGACGTCTCCGTCATAATGTCCCTTATACTCAAAGCAATATGTACTAACATCCCGCCTCAGGATCTCAAAATGGCTACCGCTGTGGCCTTCGATATGGTTGCAGGCTTAGGAATGTCGGCTAAACTTGGAAACATGGAGTATAGGAGCCGATACGATACTCTGAGCAGTGAGACCAAGGCCCAAGTCGAGTCAGAAGTCCAGCGTACGCTCAATGAAGCTTATGAACGCGCTCGCAAACTCTTAATCGACCACCGTAAGGAACTTGACTTATTAGCCAAGGCTCTCGTTGAATACGAGACACTAAGCAAAGAAGAAGTTGAGAAGGTCATCCGAGGAGAGAAGCTGACTAATCGTATTGCTGTCCCGAAGGGTCCCATGACTGTCCCATCATCTGCTAAACCTCCGGCTCCAGGGGAGTTGGCGCCTATTCCCGGAACAGGAGAAGATGGTGGAGGACCTCCGCCTCCGCCACCAGTACCTCCAGCACCAGGTGGACTTGCTCCAAAGAGTGAATAGATAATCTAACTATTAGGAATGAATAAGATCATCTATTTAAGGTCATTTTACGTGGGACCTGTCGAAGACAGCTAAGCGTTGCCCTGTCATTAGGCATAGTAACGAGATGCCGGGAATGGAATTGTGTTGGGCGGCTCACTACATACACATATGGTACACGTCACGGTTTCCATACCAATCCGAAGGGGTAGAAGAGCACTTGAAGAGCTGTCTGCCTAGGTATGGTCCAGTTGTCCACTTACTATGTGCCTGCGTGAGACGAGGGTGGGATCCGCAGGAATGGACAACGCCTGTATGGCATCGCCGCTTCTTGCTATTACTCCTACCGAATCGATGGGAGCCGCCAGTAGATAATCTACTTTGCTTGTGTATGTGTCATAGGGAGGGCGTTCCTATGTCAAAAATTAAAAAGCATGTATCGAGTGTAACGTTAGAGTGGTTAATCGGGTCTCTTACGTTCGTTGAACGGAGAGACTTTTGAAAAGATTCTTGGCTTTGATGGGGTTTGTGTGTGTGAGATGATTTGAGATGATAGTGATGACATGTGATGACATGTTGTACATCGTAGGTAAAGAGGTGAGGTTAGATTCTTTCTGTTTTGTTCTTTGCCTTTGTGGAGTCTAAAAGTAGCCAAGCGATATAACTTATGTTATTTTGCTTCCTTATCATTCTCATGGCGAGAGACCAGCATCGTCTACCTACCCAGGATTCAAGTTGATATTCACCACCATACCATTCATCTTTGTAGCAGTACAAGATCTCCGAAGAGGCTTTTCATCCTAAGTGTACCGATTCATAGCGTGAACTATATTCCTTGGACTCATGTTTGCCTTTTATATCATAGGAGTCGGCAGTTAACGATACTTATAGTAATTAGGTCAGCTGATTCTAACCTTGGAATATAAGAGTCCACGTCACATGTTACCTCTATCATAAGCTTTTTATCGATATTACGTTGTGCACTACTCTGTAGGTACTCCAAGATATATATTTTTAATCGTGTTGTCGAGTATAATTCAGTCTCGTGGGAGTCTATAAGGGAGTCATACAACAACAACATTTACACGTCACGATTATGGAATTTCAACAAACGTTAATGTAGTTCATTCCGGAAAGCTAGCAATATTATTAAATATAAATGATCGCTTTAACTGTCATGATAGAATTGGTATATAAGGTCACAATGTTACAGGAGGTATTTGAGGTAAATTTCTGCCTCTAAAGATGCCATGAAAGGTTGAAATGGCAATGTGAATTTAGAAAGCATCATGATTCTAATGGAAACCCCAAATGTATGTGTATGCCTACTTCTACTAACCTTTATACACCTAGGTAAGCTCATAGATGGCGAGATCTAGAGACTCGGACTTAATATTTACTCATTCTAAGGATTTTACAATTTTGCCAATTTCTGAATGAATTTCTCACGAGCTCATTCCCGGAGCACCATCGGACATAGTAAGTTCAGACTAATAGATTTAAGCTGCACTAAGAATTTTCCGTAGATTCTTCTTCCACAAAATCCCGTATCATAAATCACGAACGACATGTAGATTGAATATCTACCTAAGGTACGTAGTAAATACCTACTCAATCATTTTCCAAGCTAACCATGATACTAATTTCAAAGTTAACCTACTTAATAAGATACGACGAAAATGGCTTCGGCCATTTTAACTTCTTCTAGGGCACTCTATATTCACATCTTCTTCTTAGGGACTAGGAACATCGCTAGCAACAAGACTAAAAAAAAATAAGACATACAACACCAGGGATTCGCTAGTCGTCACCGACCCAACTACTGGTCCGGCGGTATCTGGTTTATCAAGGGGAGAGCGGACGGGATCCCGAGTTCTCCAGATCCTATGGTCGTATGTGTTTGAGTTCTATACTAATGAGACATATAAGCCATGCTAAAGAGCCACCAACCCCTTTACCGAATTCGAATTTCTGAAGTTGTCCGAATTCGTGCATTGTGATTAGATAGGAAAGGAACTAGTCTTATGGAGTAAGGAGGCTGCCCGATATGTAACGACTCGGCATAACAGCCTCTTGTTAATGACTGGGAGTAAGGATAGGTTGGGAATAGCGCGGATTTTGCATTATCCCCTTTGGGCTCATGACGGCAAGCTTTGAGATGGGATGTCTAAAGCTCCTAACCGACTCGTCTAGATGGATATTAGTTCTATTACTGTTCTTTATGCTTTGGCGGCCCGATGAGAAAAGCTTACTGACGGCAAGCATCATCCCTGAAATAGGACTCGAATAGTGAGGCATCTTGCGCCCCTCTTGGCATATACAACGGCGACGTAATTAGGTAAGTAAGCAACGTCGGTCCAATTCAGGCTTGCGCTTTGTCGCTACCAACGTTGTGCAACTCGGCAGTTTGCTGTATTCGGAAGGGCAAGGTTCTAAACAAGGCTTTGTCGTCGAATTTCAGGCATCAAGTAGACGTCCGTGGTCGCGAAGACTCGGATGTCCTCCCTAAAAGGTCAGTGCGAAACTGATACTTTGGCATATTACGAAACTACCGGCCTCTCCCAATATCAGTCAATTCTTGGGACACGCGAGAAGCACGGCGGTGAGCGTGGATTGGGAAGACGGATTTTACCACGGTGGGCCTTACTTCGTGAGAATATGTCTATCTTATGGCTTAGATGAGCTAATTACAAGACCTTCAGACGATCACGCCTTCAGCTAGCTGTTGTTTAAGGAGATGCTAATCTAGTTCCTTGATGCAATGAAGTCAACTTTAGCCGCGTACCCGTTAAGGCTCTTGGGTGATCGACGATGCCTTACGTCTGGTTTTACACCTTCATCATTGCGGTAGAGCCTAACTTACTACCTAAGCGACGCGTCCTTAAGGTTGTTAGTACAACTCCTAATAGCATTCCGAGATATTTACCGGAAGATGATGCCAGGGGACAAAGTGTTGGTAGCGAGTCTTCGGCTTCTCCTATTACCTTGTGTCTTAATGGGATAACTATGGTTATTTGATTACCCTCATGCTTCGACAAGGTTGATCTATTCCAAATGCCGTACTTTGAACGTTTGATACGCGGCTGAAATAATTGTGTTCGCCAACGCCGCGTGTCCCGAGGCCTTGGACTTGGAATGAATATCGGCTTCTCGTGCCCGAAACTGTGCCGCCTCGTAGGTTCAGCCGCGTGTGGATAACGTTCCTGACAAAGGGCGTCGGGGCCAAATTGTCGGGTTCAGTAAGGGGGAAGTTCAAGTTCAAGACAAGAACTTAGCTCCCTTGCATTTTTACTTTTGCATGTGTAGCTGTACGATATGAAACATACTTTGACAGCTTCTAGAAAGAACGGGTGGCTTGTTAATGGGAAGAACTCATGTATCCTAACTGATTTTGACACTTTAATTAATATGTCACATATAGGGTCCCTATATCGTCATATTTAACTTGAGCATTAGTCAGCTATGATAAACACCATACAACGAATAACTCATGTCTATTAGAAAAATAAGGGTTGGTTTTGATTCCCGGAAATATCCATGATTCTCTTTTCGGTCCCGTCAGCTCCCCGTTAACACAGCCCGGGTTGATGTCTTTGAACATAGATTCACAAGAGGTATGTATGTTCTTGGCTTCTTTCGTGATTCCCAACAGAGAGGATGATAGGACGTAACAATAATAAGAGTATCCCATATTACCAGGTTTAGGTGAATGTTGAGGCCACTCAATCAGCTTCATGTGTGCAATGACCTGTTTGTTTCCATAGAACGGCTACCTACTGAGGATGTTTGCTACGAATCAATTGCTGGGTTGCGTGTCTAAATATGGACCGACATAACATTGCAGATGTCTGTCTCAGTTTATAGAGTTAGTCCCGTGATGAAATTTACTACTAGGTAATGTAATAATATGACTTCTAAGTATTCTCTATGCGGGTTCCAGCTGGGTTGTCTGCCGGCATACCGTCTGTACATGAGATCCCCCCATCCTACGATCAGCCTCACAGGAGGCTACATGTATACCACCCTCTTGAACACTAACCGAGGCAATCTTGATCCCTTTCTCCGGCACGCGTCGAACTCTACTGCGTGGGATAGTGGCGTCGGCTGAAAAGTGGCTTGCAGGACGGCACGTATAATAGGTTACACGGCGTTTCGGAATTTTCCCTCCCGGTGATATGCACTGGAACGGTCCCGACATATGATCTGATCGAGAAACTACCGGTCTGCAACTATCGTAAGTTTTCCGGGTCTAGCAGAGATCGCTTCAATGTGATATCGGCCCCGACGGACATAGGGGTTGCAATGAAAGTGCCGAGTGGTGACCGGGTAGCTGGGTTAGATCCCATCTCAAGCAATCCTTACGTATCGTATTCACTTGTTTGCAGTTGAGGTAGGGAGTGCCTACCAGCTATGCACGACAAATCCTTTGGGAAATCTCTGCGCCATGCACCACCTTTGCTTTACAAACAGACGGCAAGGCGTACAGCGCCTAGGTAGGTAGATAGTAAACTAAGCCATGTCAGCAATCGGGAAAAGAGTGTCTCATTCGGTGCCGAAGGCTCTCTGTTCAATTTTATTTCGCTCTCATGGAATCGATTAAACACGCGGTGAGGGAGAAGGGAGTCCAAGATAACACGATTGTAGATAGTGTACCAATCACTCCACGAACGACAATCTATCTTCGGATGTCGCTATAAGATACCGACAGCATGGTAAGCTAATGATCGCGCAGATCTAAGTTCAATGAACGGATTAGCCTTATTTTCAAATCTAAGATCGCCCTTGAGATGTAAGATTCCTCATCGCCCGACGAGCCGATGCGCTCCATGAGGCTCTTCATGTACGATGTAGTTAATTCTGCGAGAAATGCATCCACGTCGCCGACGTATGTTCAAGTTATGCTAAGGCGGGTGGAATCGTACGATGCTGTCTCACTGCGAGATCCCGCACCCAGTACTCTGGGACGCCGGCGCACCTGCAGTCATCATAGGTAGGTAACGCTTAGTCGAGTCGGTGTTTTTGAGAGTTACTGCCAAGGAGAGAAAGGGCGGTTCGTAGGTTTGTCTTTGAGATCCAACTAGACGAGATGGAGGATGCTAGGAGGTTCTGGAGGGATAATAGACATCTCTCGGCGTCGACATTCGGGATTGAAGGCTGCAAGACTTCTTTCGAGGGCTTCGCGTACCTCGTAACAGATTCTCTATCGATTTCCTCTTAGGTTAATGATGGCCCATAGGCGTATCACTCAGGGGAGACTCTTACTAGCACAAACGAACCTCCTGATGCCGCGACCGAAGATCTTGCAGGACTCCCTAGAGGCACCGCCCACTCGAAAACGTAATTCACTGACGCACCTTAGGGCTATTCACGCCTAAGTGAAGAACACACCAACTACTCCTGAGAATACCCCTTACGTTAGGTCAGAACTTCAGAATTACTTAGCGAAACATCGCACAAATTCAGCGAAAAGGAGACGCATCAACATCTCAGACATTTGCAATTTCTTAAGCACCCAATTTTACCTGATGAAGCTTAGATTACCTAAATCCTACGTCTGAGCACACTCATGTGCTCGGGTCTCTTGCGCCTCTGTGGCTGTAGAATCTTAAGAGAGCGAAAAGTTATCATACCACAAGAAATATCTAAGGCTCATATGAATCTTAAAAGACCACTGTCTTCTGTAAACTGGTTCTAATATCTATGCAGGCGGCCGCATTTGCGTTTCACAGTAGCCTACTCGCCACTGCCCA